CCCCCCGGTTTTGTTCTCCCTCGGCGCTGTTTACAATGACGAGCAAACGCGTCTGATAATACGTCAGGGTGTATATCGCGGATTGTTTTCACGCTCGATTCGAATCCGCGTTAAAAAATCAAATGATGGAAATCCCGCGACGCGTATTACGCGCAGAGTCGGCCCGATGATAATTATTCGCCCGGTTTAATTATTCCTTTGTCCCCTTTGCTTCTTTGCGTACAACTAATGCAAATTATACAGGAATGTATAATACGTGCAGTGAAAGTCAAAAGTAAATATATAGGTGCCTTGATCAACCGTTTCGTCGAGAAAGAATTCCAAATATCCGAATTCGTTCGTATTATCATCGCTATTCTTTGACTCCAAAAACATATTATTCGAAACCATTATCTTTGTCATATTTGATGGTACATATAGTGGAAAGCATAATTGTAGCTGTGACATGAAATGAAAAATTTTAACTGATGTAACTTCGTAGAAAATGATCGTGCAACGATCACCTGGTCTCATTCAAAGCGTGAAGTTTGAAGACTTCGGCAATCGTGAGTTTATTTCTTTTAATGCTGATTTTACATCATGTAGCAGACAGATAAGTGAGGATAATTTTTTCTCGAAAATTGTAAAAATTCAAACGCATCTGGAAACATTAAAAACATTTTTTTCAGGACTAAATCCTCTATGGCCTTGAAGACTGAAATTTTATCTTCACAACAATCTATCTTAAATTATTAATTTATCTCAAAACTGGTTGTTTGATTTTTTTTCACCGTTTTATTAAATTTTGAATGAACATTTGGGTTAAATTTTATCGTTTAATATCTTCAATGTTCAATAAAATGATGAAAAAAAGATCGTACAAGTTTTAAGTCGCTATATAAAGAAGAAACTTTTTACAATTTTTGACAAAAAACGAAGAAACTCACGATTGTCGAAATAGAAACTTCGCACTGTAAAATAAGACCAGGTGACATCTTTATATGATCCTTTCTTACGAAATTATATTATTAATTTTAAATTATCGACAATTCTTCGTCATCACTGGTACAATTACACACTTCACTGTACGTGTCTCGTTCCGTATTTATTTATTTATTTTTTTCTTCTTTCTACAGACGTTCGAGATGCCATATTACCATCTCACTCTTATACTCCATAAATATTATACGAACCTCACTTTTGTTACACGCGTATCCACTTTTGACTCTTGCTGCGTTACACGTTATCCCTCTCGTTGAAATCGGGACGGAATGAAGGCGTGCATAACATGTATCAGTAATAATACAGCGTTATTGAGATTTTCATAATGTCAAGGTTCAACGGTGGCCAACAACGGCGCCACGACGAACGATACGTAAAAGGAGAGGACGTCCCGTCCAGGCGCGGTTCCATGAATAAGAAAAAAGAAAACGGAGGACGAATGCGAGACGGCGAAGATTTGTGGGCTGGACAACGATATTTATTACGAGGCCGAGTCATCTGTAAACATAAAATAAGCAGCCGGATCGCGTGCAGCATACACCGTGCAGCCCTATTGCAGCCAGAGCCAGTTGGGCTAGCCTGGCCTCGCTCTCGCTTCAATTTCCTTTGAGCCGGCGTTCAAGCCCAGCGCGCGGCGCCGAGGATTTGTCAGAATGAAATATCTAAATCCGCGTGTATATGTATTAAAATATACGGCGAGGAACGAAGATGCCAGGCAGCGTTACGCGGCATTGGCCCTTTGACACTGTGGCGCCGGATTTCGCGTCGCGTTTAACTCCTTTATGTGCCTCGCACAAAAGCCAACTTCGCCCTTTCATTTTTTTCAAATGAGGGCAGATAATGACGGCGGTACTTTCATTTCGGGAGCTCTGGCCTCCAGGCAGTGGCGAGTAAATGCTCTTAACTCGTGCATCACGCGGAGGTTCGTGCATCTTTGCATAATTTGAAGTGCCTTCTTTCCCTCGTTGCTACGTTTTATTTTGCTTTCGCAAGGGGAAAGATCCATCTTCGATTTCTTGACTTTTCTTTTTCTTTTTTTGCCCAATTATTGAGTAATTCTCGTAGAATATTGCATTTCGCTCGTGCAACAGCAATTCATTTTTCATTAAAATGAAAATCCCCCGAGCAATGAAATTACGAAAGTGCGACTGTAATTGGAAAAACCAGGTATCGAAAACGTTCGTTTAAATTTGAGCAAAGCACCAGCCAGACGCTGCACTGCGTTACGTACAAGTATTTAGATGGAAGTTTCTTGCCAATGTCGAGAACTCTCGGGAACGTGGGAGGTAAAATTGACAACAGCCAAAGGTTTTCGTAAATGCTGTATGTATTGTATATTATTACATTAATGTCTAATATACATACGATATCTTATTACGTGTATGCATGTTCGTGGCTCGATCTTAACAAATACGATTTCTGCAGAAGGCGTCGGTGAATTCTGTTACTCGCGGCACGATGGAAATATCTTCGAGCGACATCAACGATTCTGCGTTACGTGTATATGTACAGGGTTTACGAGTTATCGTTGATGAAAACACGTTGCAGAGGAACTACGTGGCGTTCGAAGATATTTACATTAATGTTTCAGGCAATACGCCGCGTAACGCTCCAGTGTATCGCGTTAATATTTCAGTTAATACTCCGAGAAAATTGATAATACCGCCGCGAAAGGGTCAGTATCGTAAGAACAATTGCGTGTAACGTGACAAAATATTTCCATCGTGCATTACGAGCACCGGTTTGTAATACAATTGTTCTTCGTAACTCTCTAAAACAACACTGTGGCCTATCCACCGTGTGTTTCCACGTAATTTCCACGAACGATTGTACCGCTGCACTTTGTGCGACGGTTACATAAGTATTCCACCGGTGGAATATTACTCTCTCTCTCTCTCTCTCTTTCTCTCGTTTCGAATAATAATATTTTCGTGTAAATATATATTTATACAGGAAATTAAATTACCGTTATTATCCCGTCCTTCTAGACGATACGCTATCATGGCACGGTGCTCTATACGCCGACGACGATGACCGATACTCGTATTTCCAGAATGCTTAAAACCGGAAACGCAAACAAGGACCCGACTAATATACGTTTATGAACATGATGCGGCAATACTGTGTAAATACCTGAGTATATCTGTGTCTTTTCTCCTAAATGAAGGAAGCAATGGTGAGACAACGAGTGGGAGGCGTTTAGCATAAACTTTCGTACATAGTCGTCTAGATAACAGATAGCACAAACGATGGCCTTAACTGGCAGCAATGAGGTATAATTAACCGCGTTAGAAACTCATTGAACGAACAGTGCAGGGATGGAACCTCTGATCCCGCCCGGTGCAAGCGAAAAAGGAATAAACGAGCCAGCGAATTATCGACTAAACTTGATATAGTTGCCAATCCTCCCCCGAGAGTGGCACTCTCCTTCCTTCCTCCCCCCCCCCCCCCCCCTCCCCGACTATCTCGTCTACAATCAACTCGTTGTCGACTCGTTTCGCGAGTTTAGTTCAATTTTATGGGAAATTGATCACTCGGGCCGAGCCCTACGATCGATCACCGCGCATTCAAAAACGAGCGTTCTACGTAACAGCGGCGCTGTTCAGGAGCTTCCTTTGTTTCCCAGCCAGTCTCTTCGCTCGCGAAACTTTCGAGACGCGAATCGCACAGTCGCACCTCGATAGTCTTCGCACCGCAGGGGTAGAGAAACTTTTGAAAGCCACGCGCTGCATGTTTTTCGGTTTCTTCGACTCTTTCCTTTTTTTTTTCTTTTTTTTTCTTTTTTTTTCCCTCCTTTTTTTCACTTTTGTTCCAATTCTCTCAGACGATTCGTCTCTCCCCTTTTTTCCCTTTTCCTACCTACTCTACTCTCCACCGTTTTGCGTTTGGCTCTCTTCGCGCCGAATTTATAACGCGCCGCGGGTGCATCCGGCCGCCTTTAAGACGGCGAATCCTGCAATTCCTGTTTCTGCTGCGCTTTGCCGATATTCTCCGCCTCCCACACCGTGTCCGGAAGTTTCGTTCCCAACGTTTCCGGGAAGAAGAGAGACAGCAACCCCGCGGCCAGCGCCATACATCCGAACAGAATCAACGGCAGTTCCGGCATGATTTGTGCCTGCGTGACAGAAAGACACGTGAAAACGCGAGAGAAACGACACGGTGCGTATGTTCCTCGTGTCACGAAGATGATTCATGGATTGTCTTTGGAGCGCAAGGATAACAAAATCATATACAAATGTATTATACAAATCGAAAGCTCTCGATTGGTGAAAAGATGATTCGCAAGACAAGTGGCAAGAACAAATTTTAAATTATAGGTTGCGAGAACTCTACTTTTTCTACTTAAGACGAAATGATTTATTAGCCAACCGATGATATTAATTTCATTGTATTAATTCACAAAAGCTCGAAACAAAAGAAATATCTGCAATAATTGCAAGAATTGCACGTCTGCCAAATGACGAGCATTTCTTAACACTAGAATAACAAAATGGTCAAAATGACCATTTGAATATTTTTGTCAAACATTTTATAGATAAATCAATTATAGATAAAACAGTATATTTCTGGAGACTTGAATGATCCTTCATAAAATACATAAACAAAAGTTTGTGTATCCTATTGTACTATAAAGATTTTCTGCTTCGTTTAGTTTCAACGCGTCTCTGATCATGACAATTTTATGCTTTGATCGTCGGTAATTCCAGTGTTAACAGACCGATGATTCAGAATCTTTATTCCCGCGTGTACTGTCCATGATAAAGAGCAAGCAAGGCTCGTATCGATGCACATTCTCGCGGTGTGGTCGGACTCACCAAAAGAGGTGTTTGCGGTGACAATATTGACCCCATGCGGCCAGTCATGCTGCAAATTCCAAGGAGGGAGTGTCTCAGGTTCGTGGGGAACAGCTCCGTCGTGTAAATGTAAATGGTCGAGAAGGACATCGTGATGCACCATTTCCCGCCCAAGTACAGGACCAACGGTAGGAAGCTCATCGAACCTGCAATAGGCAGGTTGGCCCGTCGACACTTAACATCTCCCTTTATAAATTAATCGAGATCCGTCCCCGAGACGTTCTCGAAGCGAATGGCACGAAAGAGAGGAAGAAGAACGGAAGACAAAGCTGCCGTAAATTGCAGAGGGAATTCTAGAGAGAAAATCCAGGTTACCTGTCGGTACGAATTGTATAGCCAGACAGAACGCCCCGCTCAGTAAGAAAGACGAGGAGAGGGTAGCTTTACGGCCAACGTAATCGGTGAGAAACCAGGTCAGGAAGTAAGCCGGGATTTCCACGATGGCGACTAATATGAAATTAACGTATTTGTCACCGGCGAAGGCCACCGAGTTCAACGAGAGCCCGTAGTAAACGAAAGTGTTGGTCAGCCAGCAGAACGAGCAGGTCAGCAGCCGTGTGATCATCACCGAGCTGTTCAAAATTTGCATCGCCGGTGACTTCTTTTCGGTCGCCAGCTGCTCCGTCTGAAAGACGAAACGCCATTGTACGCGTATTTAATTACAAGTCCCGAGTCTCTTCTTTTGCTCGAGTTTTGCGATAGATTGCGGATTTTTCTGCAGATTTTTTTATACAATTCGTGTTCGTGAGTGTAATTGGAAAAAACGGAATCGAGATGAAAAAAGAAAAGAAAGCAGATGCAGGATATTACGTAAAATTATCTTACCTTCTCCGTTTTCACCATGTTTATATCTTTGAACGCGCCGAGCGCCTCCTCGGAGATTTGCAGCCCGTTAATACGCGCCATTTTCCGATAAATACTCTCCACCTTTTCGTGTTTCCCATTCGCCAATAGCCACCTTGAAAATGGCATGTGTGTGTGTGTTTTTTTCTGTTCTCTATTTCTTTCTTTTTTTTTTTTTTTTTTTTACAGTAATTTTCGAAGGTAGAAACGATCGAGTGTATCTTTGCATAAGACACGCTTTATCGATAACCTACGGCGTAGATAAAAAAAAAAAAAAAAAAAGGAACAGTGAGAAGAGTGATCTGCTGGAAAGCGGATTTTGTTCTTTTTTTGAATGACCTAAGATTAAAAGCGGCCTACGACGACGACGATACCTCGTTCGGTATCGGGATCCGCGTTAATTAATTAGAGGGTCGCCGATCAAGGACACGGTGACGCGGAAGGTCCACCAGTTAATTAGCCGGATGTCGTGGAACGCAACAACGACGACGACATCTCCGGTCGTTTAAGGCGGCTCGTCTCTCGAGATCGTTAACGAGGCCCCACAGACAATGCGAATTAAACAGTCGCTAAAGGAAATTACCTGACTGATTCCGGGATCAGAACTGGCAACAGTATGGCCAGCAATGCCGGCCCGTACACCATACGAAGTATCACACGCCATGATCTAAGCCACATGGCGATCAATCCAAGCAACATCTCACCCACAGCGAACAGACAGCAGATAATCGTACTGGCCAGTACTCTACCTTTTACTCCTGCCATTTCCATCCCTGAAAACAATCACACGCTGGTTATACGGTAGACTTTCAGTTACTCAGCTACCACCGCTCTAGGCTATCGTTACAGTGGATACGTTTCCTCGTGAACTGCGTAGCTCTGATGAATATTCGTTGGAACAATACAGATATACAGTACCAGCCAAAAGTTTGAATACACTTTTGCTGCATATATATATATAGTGTTTAATTGAATTTTTTCTATATTTTTTGGTTGCCAGACACGTTCATTTTTTTATGTATTTTTTTCTGTATTTTTTATACAGAATGTACTGAAGTATTGAAGTCAAGAAAGTTGTTATTGATATTAAAAGACGTCAGAGTAGCTACATAGTAGAAATACTTCATTCATGAATGAACGACACGAACAAAAATAGCTACATTGTTCAAACGTTTCATTCGTCATAATGACAGTCGGTCAGACGACGCACTTAATTTCTTGCCGCTTTAATCAGTTCATGTTCCCGTTGGAACGAAACCAATTAAGCCGTGATTGTTACTTTGCTCGACAAACTCGTGTTAAAAAAACGTCGCCGATCTTTTTACGCGAGAAAATGTTTAACGATCGCCGAACGATAATTGATGCACGTTGTTCAATTAACTGGCCAGAATTCTATCGTATTCATCGATTACGATCCGAGTCATTTATCTGATAAAGCCGCGCGATAGATGGCCAAATGGCTTTTTCGAAAAATTATTGGCGCTATCACACGTGTGCATTGTATAATAGACGCCGAATGTGTGTGTGTGTATATATATATATATATATATATATATATATATATATATGTACGGGTAAATGAAATATCGATGAAATTACGACGGTGGGCAATGGCAAACCGGAGGGCCCCGCGATGGTTACCTTCGGTTACGTTTTTCGATATCGAAGGGTTCCTGCATCGAGTTGCCGGGCGGCATGTGAAACATGGCCGTTATTTATATCAGCATTATTCACGTCGAACATCTTCCCTTACTTTGCCTTATTAACTCACCTAAAATAAATCCAGCGCTGTAGATACCGGCCGCGACAGTCGCGTCGATAAATTCGAACGCGAGAAACATCCAATAATTCACGGAGAAGGAATGTATCAGGCCGCTGATTCCACTCAGGAATGTGGTGAGCGTCAGTATCGTGCGTCTTCCGTATCTGAAAGTAACGAAACAAAGTTTTTACGGCCGCCAAGAATTTCGCGACGAAATTTCTGCAAGCAGTTATCTGTAACTGTTCTGAAGACTGTCGACGAACGATGCGTTCGACGTAACACCGCAAGATGTTTGATAAGAACAAGAGAAACGAAAAGGGTTTCTATCAAAAACTATCCATCACTGTTGATTCTGATCTTTCTCGGGGAGAATACAAGAACATCTATTTCAGGATCTTTATAGATTTCTACTTCTCTAAAGAACTATCGTATAATTAATCATAAAGTCATGCCAAAGTTGGTGCAGCATCCTCTTTGCAAAATAAGAATAACAAAGGAAAAAACACTTGACGTATCAATGTTTTTCTTCTTCGCCGCTGTTATCGGACTAAATTATGCCAGTACGTAAATCATTGTTTAAACGATTGTGATAATAGTAGCAACAGTGGCTTGAACAGCTTGCGCAAGTATTATTCTGATAAAAAGTGGCTTTGTATATTTTTTGAATGATACGCAAGCGTATTTCCATCCAATCATTTTACGGATATAGAATATTATCAAGAATATTGAAAAACATTTGACAGGAGTGATTTTGGTTACCAACTCCTTGAAAAACGTTGTCGGAGTTCGAATCACTGTCATAGATCCTCGAAGTTCGTGCAAAGTACAGTTTCATTTAAGTACAATCTCCCCTCTGAACAATCTCAAGTGTTCCCCGACTTCGAATTAGAATTTACGAACCAGCAACTCGCGAAAGTCGTCTTTCTGAATACCAGAGTTTCGGCTCCCCAGGGATGACCGTAGCACGTGTGATAAAACATTCTAAAAAGCTCGAATATCTACTGCAAGTTTGAACTGCAAGAAACGAACTTGAGAGAAACTTCATAGATCTACTGATTCGTCGCGATTCGATGTTAATCGCCTTAATTATTTCATGTTTCGCGAGGTGATTTCGACGAGGTGAACTAACGACCTGTCGACTTCCATCGAATCTCGACTAAAGTGTTACATCCACCCTAAAAAAAAAACCTCTATTCCATCCTCTTCTTCGAGCGAACGTCGTTGGATATCCGGTTCGAGTCGGAGACTCCATTTCCTGAATTTAATTCGAACCGATCGAGACTAATTATTAAGAAGACGGTGGAAATTTCAAAGCGCCGATATTCGCGTGAAAATTTGTTCAAAAATATTCGAAACATTTAAAATACAACGCCTGTTACATATGTAACGTCGAATTTTCTAATTTTCGAAATTAGAACATTTGTAAAAATACAAATTTGGCCAAACGTCCACAGTCTTATCAATTAACTCTCTTGCACTTTTTTCAATCGTTCTTCTTTTAACTGGCAAAAAGGAAATGTACGAAAGATTCTTTCTAGCTCCAAAGATTTGGAACTATAAAAAATTCCAGATTCACAGCAGCAAATTCCAATGATTATTCATCTTACTTGTCCGATATGTATCCGGCGAAGATCAGCCCAACGAATTGGCCGACGTTGTTTATCGTGCCAACAAGGGCGAGTTTCCATCGATTAGCGTCGCATGTGAGGTCCCACTGTATCGAGAAAACGATAGAACAAACGTGAGTCATCTAACGCTGATTTAGCTTCGATCGGTCGGAGGAGCTCTTGTCGGTTTTACCTCGCTGAGCACCGTGTTCTCCGATGGCTCGTAGATCCACGATTCGCATTTCTGGGTAGCGTTACTAAAAGTCTGATTCGTGCACAGCCCCGTGTGATTCCGGACGACGTAACGGGTGCACTTGGACATCTCCGACACGTGCGGCACGGAGTCTGTCATCCACGGCACGTCGAACTTTGTGTTCAATGGATTCTCACATTCTGGCACCGCACACCTGTTTTTTTTTTTTTTTTTTTCGAATAATTAATCACTTGTTAAAGTAGAAATTTTAAGAAATTAGAGCTTGGCGAATCTCCTTCGTTTTTAATAATTCTAATGTCTTCTTTTAATAATTTCCTATTCTCTAACAGAAACATCGCAAAATCCCCTTCCGATTCTTTAGGTACTATCTTTCATTCACATTCGTTGTAGCGAAGAGTTTAAAATGAAATGAAATATCAACGAAAGTCAATATTGACCTTTTGAAAAGTTAGCCGTAGCGTATTCAGTAACGAATGATCTAGTGTAAGTTCTAGTATATGAACGCGACGCGTGTTAACGTTCGTTGATCTATCTCGACGATTCGTGCCAACGATATTACATTGAAAGAGACACTGAGAATAATATACGGAATGAATTTGATGTTGATCAAGGAAGTTGGATTCGCTAACAGCGCGGGTTGAGTTACCTTAATAAAATACACTTAATCGGGCGAAAGTTATCCGTGGCGCTCGACGTGTACGCGTCTAACGCTCGTCTGCCGCGAAGGGGTTAACAAGCTGGCTAATAAAGTAATCGATTATCCGTCGCGTCGATTACATAATTCGATGTTCGATCACTTCGGCGTAGTCGCGGAGCATTAAGTGCTCATCGTTGAGTGCACTTGACCGACGCGACATTATTCGTCCGAGCACAAGCTCATAAACGGCACTGATTCACTCTCTCTCTCTTTCTCTCTCTCTCTCTCTCTCTATATGCAAATTAACAGCGAATCAGTATGCGAGCAAACAAAGCAGCCGTGGATACGCGCGATAAATTACACACGAAAAGAGAGAGAGAGAGAGAGAGAGAGAGAGAGAGAGAGAGAAGAAGAAGAAAAAGATCTGAAAGAACGCGAAAGGAAAAAGAAGAAAAAGAGAAAAAAAATAAAACTGGCGGTTGCATCAGTGGTATACGTACCTGTATTTAACTTCGCCGGCTGTGAACACGTAGGCAAGCGTAAATCCTGCTGACAAGAACAGAGGTAGACTGATTATCGCGAACATAATCATTTGATAGTATCCGAAACGATCCACTTCCTGCTTCCTGTCCGATCCTCTCTTCTCCCCTGCGAAGAACATGGTTTTCTAAATGATCAACGATATCGCTCGATTCAGCCGGGTCTGGAAATTCTATCGTTTAAAGAAGGAAGGAGAGACTGCGATCGATCGCGAGATTTCTTCCAGCTGATTCTTCGGAGAAAATCGTCTACTGTTGTTTCTTTTCTTTCAGGAAGGTTAGAAGGAGGAAAGTAAAGAAAATCATTTTTCGTTTCACGATCATTGGCCAAGTACCGTCGCGCCATTGATTTCCTTGTCATCGTTAAAACCGATTCTCCCTGTCTCTCTTTCTCTCTCTCTCTCTCTCTCTCTCTCTCTCTCTCTCTCTTTTTCTCCTTCTCCTGCCTCCTTGTCGCACAAACGAACATTGTTGTATTTCATTTGACGCAAACTTCGAGCCGGAACGTCACTCTAATTGATTTAGCCGGCGTTGTTAATGAATCGCGTCACTAAACAACACGAAGGCAGTTCGTGATTTCCTTTCGCGAAAGAAGAAGAGAGGTAACGGGGATTCTGCTTGAGGAGCAGATAACATTGAAGAGCAAGCACGGTCTTCGAGCACGTTCTTTGCATGCTTCGTTGCAGTTCCAGCAATAAGCAACGCGCAACAGTAAACGATTAACTCGAATTACGACCGATCAAGACAAATGTATGTCATCGGGCAAGTCGTGTCGGTAGTTCGCTGGGTACGCGTGGTTAATTAACACCACTGATAGTCAAAAGTGAATCTTTTTAAACGAATGCTGCGCTCTTAAGAGGTACGTTCGTGAGGTCGATTCGATCAAGGTTAATCTAAGAGGAAATGAAAACGATAGGAATGAAATCACTCGATTCCGAACGCTACCAGATTTAAATCTTTTGTTTGAAGAACAAGAGGAAAATGGTACAGGCACACCACTCTGAAGATATTAAACGATATTATGTGGAAAAGGATTATTATTATATACAAGAGTAAAATATTAAAAATAAAATATTAAATTCTATAATATCTGCAAATGTTTTGTATATAATCTGCAGGATTATTATTATTATTATATACAAGAGTAAAATATTAAAAATAAAATACTAAATTCTATAATATCTGCAAATGTTTTTAGGGTTTCTGTTTACGTAGGAGATTCCTTCATAAATTTCAAAGATTTTACGAGTATGTAAAATAATCTGTTTCAATGTTTGTCAGCGTTTTTTCTATCGTCTACGTCTTAACGCCTCACGTGCGATTAACATATATATGTTGCATACCAAATATTTGTTTTCTATAGGAATGCTATTTGTACATCACCTGCGAAGATGACACCAAATACCTATTGTATCTTTATCGCTTGTACCATCTTCCTTCTAAGTTCTTCAATATTACACGATAAACTTCCATATATGCTAAAATTTTGAATATATGATAAAATTTTGCTTCTTGCAAAATGTGAAGCATATCATCCTCGAAAAGTTTCCAATTTTTTCACGTACCTGGAAATCGGCACCGCGTCGAGAATGCGTACTGATTCCAACCAAAAGATTAAAGTAAACGTTAAAGCGAACACAGTTTGGAAAGGCAAGGAATTACCTGTGCCATCTTTGATCGTCGGCGAGTCGTCGTTCTGCGAGCAGAAGAGCTTCATGCTGTCCTCCTCGTCGCCTCTCAGGCTGCAAACACACAGAGATTCGAGAATTATGCCTGATCCGCGGGCGTTGTCTCTTCATTGACCCTGACGTCGAAGATCAATACGCCGTTCGATCAGTCGGCTGGCCGTAGAAATACGCGGGAACGATACGCAATTGAACGCGGAGACATTACATAAAAGCAAGAGGAGATCGGGCTGCCGGAGCTTTTACCGCGAGATCGGAAAGGGGAGAGAATGTGAAAAGGGAGAGAGGAGGAGAAGATGAAGGAACCAGTCACGAACGGGACTTTCACGCCTGTCATCCATCGAGTGTGTGTCCAGTGGTAACGCGGTGCCGAGACGAAATAACAGACACATGTTGCTGGATTATCGTCGCCCGTTGGCCAATCGGTTATCGCCAAATCGACGCAAAAAGCGAAATCGTCGATGTGAGACCAACCGTTGCCAGAAAAGTTAGCTGGAAACTGGATAGAGCCGTAATCGTCGGCGCAAGGTCCGGCCGATAAACTCCCGATAAAAAGGGAAACGAGCTGACCGCGTGTTCGCGCGAGCTCGATGCGCGATCGCGACCAACTGCTCGCGGCGGTTCTCGATTTTCTACTGGCGTGAAACGAAGCGGAGTGGACACTGGAAGAGGAAAAACCAGTGCAAACGGAGGCGTTCACATCGTCCATCGTCCATGCACACGCACGCTATAACACGGATAGAAAATGAACGCGTCATCGAATCGTGACTCTCGAACCCTGGCTGCTGACCGATTTTCTAAACGGAAGTGACGATCCCAATCTTCTCAAGGATTTCGACGTACAAACATCAATGTACAATGTACACGTTGCGAAATAGGTGAAGAACCGATCGATCGAACGGCACGATCTTCGCTGAACGATGACCTTTTTCCGTCAGAGGAACATCATTGACTTTCTAATGGGAAAGAGCGCACGTTTGAAAGTGTTGCACGTTTTTCCGATACAAGTGGATACATTTGTATGCGGTTCGCGGCCAACTGTCTCCTTGACGATCCTTCTGTAACCAACTGCACGACACCGATTTAATGTTTCAAGGAGGAAACGATCCGTCGCTGCCCTTCAATCTGCGCCGGAGGTTAAATATGGACGTTGAAGCTGGCTGACGTTGGTGGAAAATGAGCACGTTCCGCGTTGTCGTCGTAAATCATCGGGTTTATTGTTATTTATCGCCGACATACAACTCCCATGTAATTCCTCTTTGGGTTTTTCTTTTCTTTTTTTGTCCCGAACACGCGCGAAAGGATAAATAAATTGTGATTATTGGCACGTGGAATCGCGCGCGGAGGATCTCACAACCGAGAGAATCTCGCGACGGAAACTCGAGTCCGGATCCTTCGCAATTGTTAATCGCTGCAAGATCTCTCGTTTCCTAAATTATGTTACAGCCTTCTTCATTAAAATGTCCTTCTGAGGTTTTACCATTCTTTTTGCGCCGTCTCTCTCTCTCTCTCTCTCTCTCTCTCTCTCCTTTTTTCTTCTTTTTCATTTAATTTAAAATATTTAATCCATTAGCCCGCGACTGTTTATGTAAAGAATCTTGCTCGAATGGTGAAACACGGCACAAATCTTGAGAGAATAAGAAAATGCTAGCGCGTATATTAACCAAGGGAAATGGTTATGCTTCTTCGTGACGTTTCCTCTTCGTGTTTCCAGCTTTACGCCGTGTAGAAAATCGCGTCGCGATAATTCGTAATGATACGGAACGTTACGCGACGTTATTGCACGCGCGTGTGGCGAACTACCTAAAAACGCGAGACCAAGGAAAAAACGAAACGACACTTCGCTGAAACAACCGTAAAGATTGGATTCGCAGCTGAGGATCCAGATTGTTCGTCCTTCGCGCGTAATTTCGCGATGGTTACCGCTCGTCGTTTAACATATGTTTAACGATCTAAACGATCCGTCACAGAGAATCCTAATTCTTCAATAAAGACGCCAATGTACGCGTTTCGTATTGCGTTGCTGCTCGTATCTTTTCCACGTTTCCTCTAATTTTTCATTCATCGCCCTGCGCCCCGACTAGCTTCAACGAATAGTCTGATTAGCATCTTTGGAAATATCTTTCGCGCAAACAATCGCTCGAAAGTCGTAATGAAGCTCTTGAAACATAAATGTTTCCTTCAGTTATGCAAGAAATATTTTTTTTTTTTTGTTAATTATTGATGACACACACTACCGATACGCTGTTTTCAATTTTACGTAACATTTATTACCAATATAATTCAACATTTATTACTATAAAATTATTACCAATTTTCAAACCAAATAATTTTTATTATTTTATAAATTGAAATTAAATTAAAACTTTTATAATTTTAAAATTTTATAAATTTTTATTATCATAAGATTGTTACCAATTTTTAATCAAGCGTAAAGTATAGTTAAATTCTTCTTACTACTCAAATCCGCAACAAACTGCTGTGATTAAAGTTGGTAAAAACAACTGCCCGGGTAGCACACGATTCAGACAGAGACGCCAAAGTCGACTAAATTGAAGTTGAACTCGGCTGGTCAATTACAATATAGCGACTCGATCAGTCGAAACGAGGCGGAACCAAACAAACGTAACGAGAGTGTATCCTCTACCTTGAAACGCAGTTCAGTTATACGATCAATTGTAACCATCAGCTTAAACGCTCCCATCTGATCCCTATTCTTCTTAATTTGACGTGCAATTGGGCCTGCATCTTCGACGAACACGGCGCAACTTCGTGCTACCATACGCGAGCGAAAAGTATAATTGGAGCCATTCGACGCTGCTCCGAATCAAGAGCTATCTCGATCAAGAAACAAACCATCGCAGATCTAATTCCCGTGTACTCTTGTAATTACGATCGCGTGTATCTTTGATCATTGCGTTTGTTTCGACGATTCGCTTCCGGAATGAACGGTGAACGATGAGGGAAATACGGGTGGATTTAATGAGAACAAGTTCAAGACATGACTGATATTGTATCAGATTTGATAACTGAAGCATCCCTTAACTAGGAACTACGGAGCAGAGCACTTGATGTCTAATTACTTACACTAACGAATCAACGTCTGTTTAATGAACTTTTGTTGTATGAACTTCAATTACTACGTAAGCTATTAATCGTTGAGGATAATTTCATATAAGTGCGGCTTTATGCTATTATTTATTTAATACAGGGAAAATGAAATGACGTAAAAGTGAAGTGGAACAACTGAAAATAGAGGGACAACTACATCCAAGAGAATTAGTGATCGAAACTCTCCCCTTTTTAACATTCAACGAGTTGAAACAAACTACACTCACACGATTCGTCGCTGGAAACGAAGAATCACGTGCGAAACAGGTGTCCAGCCACTTTTCGTTTCCTTTTGCGACTACGCCTACTCTATCTTCTCCGTGTCCACCGTGTTGCGTGTGACTCGTTAATTTCGCGACACGCGGTTGAAAATGGAAAAAAAGAGAAATCACGAATCGACACACGTGTTGGCGGAGAAACACTATCGTCGTCCACAGCCGTCTCGTTGCTGCAGCAACTGTCTTTGAAGGTAAACGTATGACCACAAGTCAGCTCTGTCCCCGATGACCACCCGTGAGGACAGTGGGAGAAGTGAAACAGACGGAGAGGGGAATGATCGGTCCTTCTTAAGTTCTGGCCTTCCCGATCGGCCATACCACTCGCTCTCCCATCGCGCAGGTCGTCCACCGTGCAGATTTCATGTAAATTACATACCCGTCGTAAAGTAATCTGACGAAAGGGTCTGTTCGTTTAAAATAAAAGATATAAAGGTGTTTGAAAAGTAACGAAAGTTTATTTCCACTTGAAGATCGTCGGGATAGAAATAGATTTGCTCCGACGAACAAACACGGAATAGTTAAAATTCGTCGAGTCAAGTCCTGACGTTCAAATAGGAGGAAACGGACGATCAAACAGGATGTAGGATCGTGCAACACGATCGATTTGGTATAGAATTGTTTGGTAAAAAAAGGATGGAAAATCCATCAGTTGCAATCTGCATGCCTCGCAATTAAGGTGCGGCGAACGTAGCGTTTCAACGTAGAAATTGTATTGCCATCGGAACGATTACGTAAAATATCGGGATATGTACTTCACGCTTTAGTAGGTATCGGTTAATTACTGAAATTCTACGGTTCGAACCGTGGCTCTTTTCAAGTATCCAATGACTGATCGTATCTGGCAATTACACAATCCTTGACGAGGGACATTATGTCGCTCCTTGACGTTGACGATCATATTGAAAAAATAAGTTCCGAATCGTTTCAACTTAATTGAAAAACTACGGAGAAGCTACTTCCTACTCTCGCTTCATTTGCAAAAATAGTTGCTTTCTTAAATATTCAAATTTTAACCAAAGGAACGAGTTCGTTCGTAACTCAGTTCATATGTCCTTGATTATCACAATAATTTCACGAAAATCGCACATTCTGATTCTTTGTACGTCTACTTAAATAAAAGAAGTTTCAATGTATCAAAGAATATCGTAAAACTAAAATAAAAGAAAAAAAACGGAGTTAATTATCATCCTGCTAATAAAATGCATTATCGAAAATGTCTGAAATTGCAAAAGAATTCCTCAGCGCTCTTATCCTTCTTAGAAAATATTTTAACATGGAAATAAAATAAACAAGGAAACGGGCGTGATTATTTCATCTCTCGAAATTTATTAACAGAATTGAGCCAAAAAAAGATCTGAAAAACACAAGTAACGTCAATTATCGACCCACCAACGAGATATACGTACATACATACATACAATGGCTCCAAAATAATCTGCACGCTCGATGAAAAAATTGTTGTTATTTTAAACTGCTATAACTTTGTAAAAAAAAAAATTTCAGAGAACTGAATTCGCTATCTTCGCGACATTGAACTCGTTTCCTCCAAAAATTATATTTCTACTCACGTCATCTCGAAAATTTTGCAAATTTACGGGCGATGAAGAATATTTTTCATAACTAAATGTATCATAATCTTGAAGATTGGATTCTCTCTCGTTTACATTACTCTCCCTTTAATGTTCGCTGTACGATTTCTTTTTTCCTCAGAAAATTATAAGACTTCAAAGCGTCGATAACTTTTTGATCGAGGATACTTTCCGGAGTCGTTGCACAGAAACTGAAGTGATCGTAATTGCCGAAAATGGCGTTAAACGCTCTAAACGATGGAATTGCCGTTTCATCGATGAAAGCGTCACTCTCTCGTGGCGAAAATGCTTCTCGGAAACGCGCTCCGAGAATATCGAGCCTCCAGGGTAGAGAAATCCTCGGGTTAAACGTCCCGTGCGCGCTGATTAATTTGTTTACCGTGGCGACGCCGCGTTGAAAAGTGGCGGGTTTTGCTCGGGTTGGATGAAGCTCGATCCACGTGGGCAGAAAAACCCGAGCGCGCGATTTTCCCGTGGTTGGCACGCCGACAGATAACGCGACAGATAAGAGGCAACGCGGGCGAGCACGCGCTCGTGTGCGCGTATTTCTGTCTTATTCAGTTCATCGGGAACAACCGGAGAAAAATCAAATAAAACTGGTTTACGCCGGCTTAGACCGGATGCGACGGCTTAGTTGCAACTAACGTGCGACGGTTTATTGTTACATCGACCGTGTATATGCAGCACAGGCCTATGGAAAAATCGGTTTTCCCCGCGCCGTTCGATCGTCCAGCAAAATTGAAAGCCGATATCGGCGCTCCGTTTTCGTTGATCTCTCGCGATCTGCCTGGCACGATTCCATGGCATTTTATCCACCATGTTCCGATCGGATCAAACACGAAAGACAGAAATGATAATGGATCGAACGTAGAATCGGCTTTTGTAAGTGTTGAAATTTTCCCTGCGAGATTGTCGGCCATTTAATTTCCGTAAAATCAAAACTCAATCGCGTATTTTGAGATTCCTTTGGTCAAGAAGTTTTCAAAAGCTGGTGGTGATTGCCTGAACTTCCAGAGAAACAGAGCTCGTGAGAATAACAAGAGAATTAAGTTTGTTTGATGCGACGTTTTCAATTCGAGAATCGAAAAAAACAGATAATAACTGATAATAATTTTGACTTTCTGAGAAATGGCTTGTATGACGTGACGAACCTGAGAATCATAAAACAGCTGCAAAATAATGAACGCAGTTATGAAGACCAAATGTTGCAGAAAAAATGCACAGTAAATTTCAGAGGAATTTAGCAAGTGTTTCTCATGCTCACGCCTCTCTCGATATGCAATGCCACTGTGTTTCAATTGGATAGCTGTAATCTATCGTCCCGATTGCATCGTCGATATCGACACACTAGTGCATTCGAAACTGATCCATGAATCTCGTAACTGAAGGAGGAATCGAATACGAAAAATGGCAGAAACTATTAAATGTCTTATAATGCGAATGCAAAATTACGAATAATAACTTCCTTACTCGCGACGACGTGAATTATTCCTAACGATTTCTAATAACATTCAAAGAACGAATCAGAGATAAATTTGTAAGAATGTCTGGAATCTTTTCTTTTTCTTTTTTTCTTTTCTTCAATACTGATTAAAAAGAATTCTAACAAACTCAAAGCTATGTCTTAAACTACATAAATGTCTTAAAAATATATAAAATAGGAAAGTGATAGCTACTAATTACCCGAACATAATTTATCGAAACGAGTTTGTCTCATTAAAGATTCATCAGAACATCGATAAAATGTTATTTTCATAATCGAAGCAGTATCTAGAAATTTGCTTCATTGATCATTCGCCCGATAGTTAGCCTCAATGAAATATTTTCAATCGGCAACGATGATAAAAAAACGAGGTAACGAGAGTTTATAACAGAAAGGAAAGCATAAGAAGTGAACCGTTATTGTCCGCTGTATAAATGTTTGCCAACTACTCCAGTTTGTTTTCCAAATTAAATAACATTCAATGGCCTAGTTGAAAAAGAATGAAGGAATGTAATTGACGGGGATGGAAAAAAAAATAAAATAGATAATAATGAATATTTATCGCGGCCATTGAAGAAAAACTGCGTTCACGTCGTACGATCGACAAATAGTTTGCACGATGATAAAACGCATTTGTTTAAGATTTTACGTGATCTCGTAGATCCAGTAATCTTCTTTGATGATCGTCGATCACCAAGGAAATAAGAGATGGCAAATAAGTCTATCTTGGTTTTTAAAATTTCTGTAGAAGATAATTTCTGCTCTCTTCCTAATCAGTTTTGCAAAATCTTCTTAAAATTGACCCTAATGTAGAAGAATCACGGTTCACGTTTCCAAAGATTGGCATTAAATTAATTATAGACTTAGATTAATTATAGAAATCTTCAATGAAAACAACTCGTTAAGAATTTTTTTTTCCTCGATCGTGCAATAGATTAACTCGGACTGCATTCATCATTGAGTATCTGCAATTGATACAAATATCTTATCTATCTGCACAATAAGACAAATATTCAAAGAAAAACAGAGTCGCGTGACTGTTTACCTTCGAAAGATCAAAGAGCTTTACAAACGCTTCACGAGAGAAAAAGTTATTTGCTCATTATTGCCTCTGCTAAATCCTCCAATTTCTACGTTATGTCATCTTGTTCGATAACGAAAATATGTGAAATAAGAAATCTCGAACAAGTTGAGAAACGAAGACCATGGATCGGACGCGTGAATTGGCATGATTACGAGAATCTAAACGTTCCCGTAAATAGGAGTTAAATTCCGCAAACATTTCGAAGGTCGGTTTCGACGTGACACTAATGATTCCCCGTGTGAATTAGTCAGCGAAGCATAATGGCAAGGTAAATGAGCCCAGGCCGTGCGTCGCGGCAGCCCCGGAGTAATTTCCATTCGATTTCAGCGCGTTTGACCGGATGGTTGACGAACCCTGCCCTCTACGCACAGCCTCCGTTGCGTTACCGCGTCGCAGCCATTCGCAGACATGATCAAACGATGAAAAAGAAAAAAAAAAAAAGAAATGAACGTAAGAAATTGACGCGTTTAGAAAAATACGAATTACGAAACAAAGTGCTCAAGTTCGCCGGATAATCTGGCGGACATATAACTAAAACTGGTGAAGAAAATAATTTAACAGATCAGTTGTTGGCACAAAGGCTTGTGCGATTTTTTTTTCCTTTTACAATTTTTCGTATTTTTTAGACATATCAGATCGCATTGGTAATTTCGCGAGAAATGTGATCGGTATAGTTTACGAGAGACTTGCGTATAAGAATTAACTTCTCGACACACTTTCCTCATTTTTTATCCTCGCGCCAATCATGCGCAACAAAGACGCGCTGTAATTATTAAACTACTTGAGCGTGATACGTATGAATGTACGTCAAGCCTAGCGAATAATTTCCGAACATCGTCGATCCGTGGTGCTCTTTTCTCGAAGAAAATTGTCAATCACGGGATTGTACGCGGCGCATCGTAAAAAGAGAAAATGAAAACGATCGGTTTGGCCATAATTCGTCCTCGTATGCGAGGTCTAATAATATGTACATTCTGATGAGTATAAATGCAAAGTATTATTTTTAGATGGCTCACGATTTAAAACGCTTGATTACTTCAATAAAGCGATAGAAAACGAAAAGAACTACGAAATCACAAACGTAAAACGAAGAAAGATCGAAGCGAAGAAAAATCGAGTATATTTAAATCGCGGAGCGTTGTTTCGCTCACAATCGTTCGTAAAAACAAGCGTCATGCAGCCGAGCGTTGGCCTCTCGTGCTCGTTACGCGTGAGGCAACACGCGCGGCCAACGAACGACCAAAAGAGAAGGGTAAAAAAGCTCGTGAGCAAATGTGAAACACGCGTCGAATCTACTTACATTCCGTGCGAATTTACTTACATTCTAGACCCCATCCTGGACCCCATGACGTTGCTACGTAGAAACTCGTCTAATATCGTGGCTCGAGCAACGAGATGAGTGGCTGCCGTTAAAGCGGAAAAATGTTTTCCCCTTTACCCGTCGAAACCGCTCGACTTAACGCCTCTCTCGGAGGGCACTCTCCTTTGTCCTATATTCTCAGAGCTCGCGAAGCTTCAGACACTCGAAAGTTTGTCGGTGCTTAGTCATACAGTGGCGATGGAAGTTTGTACCCAGAACTAAGTAGGAGGTGGACTGTGATGCACAGTGGTCGGCGAATGCGACGAAAAGTTGAGGGAGAGACGCGAGGCTTCGGTGGCCAGCAACATTTTTTTTTTTTCTTTTTTTCAACTTCGTCTCACTCTCTTATCTGGATTATTATAAAAGTTAGGTCAACAGCTTTCTGTTTATCTACGGATATGAGAGACGTTCTATAAGACTGATTGGACTTCCATGCCCGTATCTCTGCGTTCATGAGGATATCCGCTTGTTTTCGTTGCTCCTTCTACAAACGCCACCTCTTTCCACTGATAGAAAGTCGAAGAAAGCAAAAGCGGCACTTCTTTATTTGCTCCGGTACCATTACGGAGTACACCGGTCATGACTGTGTTACGTACTCCATAGTACGTTGCTTCGAAGAAACACCAAGAGATAACTAACGACACCGATTTAATAGGCCGTGTTCCAGATGATCGATACTCTGCCGATCGCGTTCCAATAAGCGCGAAGCATGATCACGCTTGAGCGATACCGATTGCTGACTAAGATCCCCGTCGCGATCCCCCGATAGATCGTCACGGAGAAAGCTTTTTAGAGAGATACGAGACTGTGCGTGTTTCGTTTTCAGACAGCCGATATGTAATTTCACTGTACGATATATAGACATTTGCGCGAAGACTGATATAACCGTGATACTTCCCTGGCTCGTAAGAAATATCGAACGTTATTAAGCGATTTCGATTTTAGGTAGTGGGAGGGAGGAAACGAATGGAATCGCGCCAATAGAACGATATCGCGCTGTCACAAAGTTTGACAGAGCTATCGATTTGGTTTTGTTTGAATTCATCACACGGCTGAAATATCTGTTTATCTGTAAATATTGAACAAAGATTACCTCAAGTAGAATACTTGAAATAAAAATTAACTTATCAAAATACGATCATAACTTGATAGCGATTTTCTAATCTGTCATGCATATGTATTTCAATTATCTACAGACATTACATAGTTACCTTTATCAGAGAAGCATTCTTAATGGCATGCTTGATTTCAAAGTAAACCGCTCTTTTTATCTTTCATTAGTTCATCGATGTATCGTTGTATGGCGCGCGCATTCATCTGCATCTTGAAATTCGTTGTTTCTGATCTATCAAAAGATACTTGTCACTGTGATTTATGGTATGAATTATGTTCATTGTGTTGAATGTCAACGGAGTTAGTTAATTTTTGATAACATATAATTAACCAACCCGGTGATCTCGTTCGTTTCTCAATAAAAGTGCTGTGCATATAATAGCCCGATAATTCTACTCTAAATATCTCGTCCACGATGCCTTGACGAAAGGAATTTAGCTTCTGAATCCACTGCATTTATTTAATAAACAAGCTAGTAATCCTTCATTTGACAGGACTTGCCTAAACAAAAGTATCAGAAAGCGTTTAACAATGTCAGCCACCGAGACTACGGTCATTTTTGCAAAACTGGAAGCACTGAAAGATATCAAGTATATATACATACATACACACACACACACAGATATATATGCATAAAGCCACAATATATATATATTTTATATTATTTTATATTTTCAATAATCAAAAATCTTATGCAACATCGATACAGTAAAACAGTGTTTCTTTTTCTAAAATGAAATGCTGATGTATTCTGTGTATTTTGTTAGATCAAAAACACTTCAACTAGAGAAGATGAAGCAAAGAATCCTGCAAGAGGTAGAACAAACTGAACAAGAAGAGAAATGTTTACTCGAGTACAAACAGGAAATGGATCTTCTTATGCAAGAAAAAATGGCACATGTCGAAGAATTACGACAAATACATGCAGATATAAATGCGGTATAATTAAATATAAATCCAATATCTTTGTTCTAGATTATAGGTGTAACTGTTTATGTAACTGTGATAGATGGAGACTGTCATTAAACAAGCAGAAGAAGCTAGAAACAAAGCAAGAGAGACTGCAAAATTAATCCATAATAATGATTATCAACCTCTAAAACACGATATTGATCGCATGCGTAGGGAATTTTTAGGATTGGAAAGATTACCAGAATTATACGAAACAGAATCTGATCTCATTTCACCAGAGTAAGTTGAAATATGACTGTTTTTAATTGGATTATTACTAATAAAGATTTATTGATTATAGCTACTTTGATCGTCCAATGCAGAAAGCAGAATGGAGAGTCGAAGTAAGGGGAGAAGATTTGTTACCCCCACTTACTCTACACCATCCTGGTCATCCAGGTGGTTCCACACCTTTCCTAGCTCCTCAACCTCTTCAAGGTCCAAGTAAGCCAGAACCAAGACCATTGCCACCAGCCCCAGGCCCACCTGCTCCAACATTCAGGTACCACTGGTATATCGCAATTTTATATTATATTTCTATACAATATATAAGTCACATTAGTCAAATAAGTGTGTTAAATCATGCTACTGATGACAGTATTAACAAAAAAATATTAATATTCTGTATACAGCAATATATTAGTTTTCATGTTTTATATCTTTGCTTGTAGGCAACAACCACCACCTATGAAATCATGTTTATCATGTCATCAACAAATTCATAGAAATGCACCAATTTGTCCCCTTTGTAAAGCTAAATCTCGATCGCGTAATCCCAAGAAGCCAAAGAAAAAAGACTAATTGTATTCATAAGTATTATTTATATGAAACATCAAGCATTTCTGCCACATAATTTTAAGGGTACGTTTTTTTTTTTCGTTTTTTTTTTTTAATAACAAAGTAGCTCGAATACTGTAAAAACATGCATTCATGCAAAATCTATAAAAGTGTTTGCAAAATGTATGTATTTATAGTAATGTTTTTAACTTTTCTTACAATTTTATCCTTGATTTTTATAATACTTGTATCGACAGTTATAAGACAATTGAAATGTCACAATGGTTGATAATTAAATAATTTTTACTTTCAATAAGATGTACAAATAAATCTAAATAATTCTTATGATTTCTTAAATAAGTTTTTATATAATTTTTATAAAACAATTCCAAATTAATTTTTTTAAATACAAACAAATAATATAAGTAATATAAGTAATATAAAATATTACTTTAGACACATTCTTTATTGCACACACTGTTTAATAATATAATTTTAACATTTTAGTAAAACATTTTAACATTTAGTAAACATATTTCACTAACTAAAATTATCCTACCACAAAAAGTTATGATTCTTTTTTAACTTATCCAACTATTTTCGTTTACTCATTCGTTTATTTGAATATATAAAACATCATTCAATTATTTATGGTAAGTACTTACAAATTCAGATTATTCTGTGAAAGACATTTGCTATCAAATTTAACTGCACTCTTAATTTGGTATAAATTGAACTAAATATCAGTCTTCTCTTGCTATTATGACAATTTTGTACTATATATTATTTTCATTTTGTAATCTTACTTTCTCTACAAGATTCAAATATTTAAAAAACTCACGACTTACATTCTTTTAAAAATTACATTCTTACAATTCTAATTATATTCTTGCATTGTTTTATATATATATTTATTTATAATCTACACATTTATATATGTAAAATATGTATTAAAAATCTGTAAATATCCATAAAAAATATATCTGCATTTCGTAATATTAGAATTGTATTTATACCCAACTTTTAATGGCAGTTGCATGTAATCAATATACTTTCGTAAAATATAAAATCGAATTTTGAGTATAATATTTGTTACACTTTGTCATATCTCTCATATTTATTATTTTCCTGTGTATCATTTGATCCTTGAGCATCATTAGATTTAAGATGAACTAATGGGATTTCCGCATCTTTTGGTAAAATTGCTTTTGGCGGAACTAGTCGTTTGTTTACGATTTGTAACCATATCATACATACTATTAATGTTAAACCAGTAACACCAAACGTATGATATGTTCCAAAACGATTATAAACTACACTAACAAATATTGGACCTAACACACGAGAAGCACATCCAGCACCTGTCATAAAACCCATCCAAACTCCTTGTGGACGAGGTCCTAATACTTTACTAAAGATAGTTTGTATTAAAGTAACACCTAACGGATATCCTATAGTGGTAAATCCATATCCAATGAAAAACTGTGTAACAGTAAGTTGCGGTGTATAAGTACACCATTCTTGATTACGTGGGCATCCTACAATGTCTGTGCCATTCGCATCTTTTGTAATGTTGTTAAATGCTGTAAAATAAAATAATTTTAATGTCTCTAAATTTAAATAGCAATCTAAATAGTATATTATATTTATTTCTATATCTATTTACGTCCATAATCAGCAATTTTCGGTGGATCTGGTCCCCACGGAATATATAAAATCCTCCCTATTACCATAAATAAAAATCCACCCCATAACATTACCTTACGTTCGTTAAATCTAAAAATATTTAAAACATAAATAATGAGTCACTTTTTTGTAATGTATCTCTATAAAAATGTTTATACCTTTTGCTTAAGGGTTCAATCATAACGAATGTAATGCATGACATAATTGCTCCAATGCTCATCAATAAACCCATATAATACAAAGATTCCGTTTTTGACCACGCAAATTGATCCATAGTTAAAGAAGTACCAAGTCTATAAATGGAAAGATGTAAAATATGACACATGAAAAATGATTTTATATTTTGAAATCATACTAACGTTTCAAGAAGAACAAAATTAAATACTAAAACAAAAAAGGCACATATTAATGTTAAAGCAGCGAGATTGTCTGGTTTTATAGCCTTCAGTGTTTCCTCCTCTGTAATTAATAGATAAACTTTTCAATTAAATATTAACGTATCTAATTTTATCATTAGTTAATTTAAACACATTTACCAGTTTGTTTCCCTTCATTTCTCATTGCTTCACGAATAGCAATTCGATGTTCCTTAAAATTCCATGGAAGGAATAAAACAAAATTAAGAATTCCCATTATAACATTTATCCAACCTGTCATAGTGTACATATTAACAGGTATGTTTATGAAATGTAGCCCCGTTTCTCCAAAAGGTGTAACAGCAGCTTGCAAACCAGGTCCTACCACAAATCCTAGTACCTAACATATTTTAAAATAAACTATATACAAGTTAACACTCATAAGGAAATGTTAAATTAAATTACCTGAGCTAGAGATACCATAGAAACAGCATGTGTTCTTTCTACAAATTTTGTAGCTGCTGAGAGATAAGACCTAGCTACCGCAATGTTAGCTAAAAGCATAATATTAATATAAATATCGAATATAAATATAAATAAAGACCGAAATTTTTATTTTAACTTATGATGTCAAAATCAAATAAAATGCTAACCAGAACTAACTCCAACCAAGAATCTAGCAACTATCATATACATTTTTCGATCACCTGGTATAATCTCAAGGACACTATATAATCCTGATGCAAATGTAAATAAAAGTAATGTTGACAAAAGTGGAAGTCTTATAGAACCTCTCCTATCTCCCCACCAGCCTACTAAAGGAGAAAATAACATTTGTCCCAAAGGGTTCGCTGCAACTACATATCCCATGAATTCTTTACCAGCATTTTTGTCTAACTGCAACATCAGTGCATATTAAATATTAATATTAATATAATATAGGATATTAATATTATACAGCATGGTCTGTTTAAGTGAGATCACCTAAATATCTTTTTGAATTATGATGACGCAGAAAATTTTTTTTTCCAAAGTCATTTTTTCAGAATTTCGTGATGAATAATTGAGATTAGAAATGTACCTTTGTACACTCGAATTGCTTTTTTCAAATATAACAACCACTTTTACCATAAATGAATATTATATCTTTCTTGCGTTAAGTATTTCGTGTGCTGATTTCAAGCTGCTAGAAGAGATTATCATTGACGATGTAAAAAATGGTAAACCTCTTTCTTTATTATGAAGCTCTCGATTGTCGCGTCCTGGCCAAGGTTTATAATCTTGATAGAAATAAATGTATATAAAAATAAAATAAAATAAAATTTATATAATAAAATTATAAAATAACATAAAATTTTAATTTTCAAGGTCATGTACTTTACATATCTGGAATTTTTTTACTAACTACATAATAAAATTTTTAAAAAAAGAAAATAAGTAGTTTTATGAAAAAAAACATCAATCTTGAAAACTCCGAAAAAAAGAGATGTTGGAGAAAAAATATTCTTATCAGGTATTAGCCTTTTAATATCATTCATATTAAGCGAAAAATATTTTTTACATCATCACAATTCGAAAAGATATTTAGATGACCTCACTTAAATAGACCTGTAACTTGGATAATAGACAGTATAATGAACTATATATTAATTTTATTTTTATTATTATACATTTATCTATTATATTTACCTTATCAAGATATGGCCATACTCCTGTAAGTATAATACTAAATCCAAGAGACATGAGAAACATGGTAAAATAAATTGCATAAATACTTCTCCATCGTTCTTTTCTTTCAGCAACAGTTTCCAATTCATCATCTACAGGAATAGTATTTCTATCAAAATAAAATATTAGTATATCAATGTATCAAAATAATTAAATATTCAAAAATTTTTATATATTTTCGTATACTACCTTTTTTGTAGTAATTTTCTATACCAATCCATTAAAATATCATATAGTATTTACTTAAAACAAAGAAGCACACTTTTCTTATGTAAGTATAAATTTTTTTATTACAATTATAAATTTAGTAGAAATATAAATTTCAATCCCCCATAACTTTTTTAATGTTATCTGATGTGATCTTCTGTCTAATTTACAAGTTATCCGATGTTCTATCTACAATATAATCTACAATATAATAATATATAATTTTAAATATACATTTTATTCCTAAAAATAATATATATGTATCCGTTAATATTGTTAAATTTTTATTTAAAAAAAAAGTACTGATTAAAATATTGTAATGCTTTTTTTAAACATTTGAATTTTGTGAAAGCAGTATTTAAAAAATTGTTATTAATACAAAATATTATAAAATATTTATATTCTGAAAACTGAAAAAAAATAAGATAATACTCACTCTCTTTAATAATTAAAGTACTAAATTATCGTTTTATCAGCGTATTTCAGTTAAACATATTTTATACGTCAGAGATAAAAAGTTCTGGAATGCAGTACTTTGTACTTGCTAATTCCTCTTAAAAATTTGCTTGTACACATGTCATTTGAGAATATCACAGCCAGACTAAATTCATCGTCGTCGGTTGAGTAAAAAAAAGATTGAATCCTGCGTCACCGCAAGTGTTTACTGAATTTATCCATGTCAAGCACTCATAAACACACTTGCAATGTATCGTCGCAAGTTACATTCAAGCACAATCAAATGAAAATGAACACTCAATTGATTGACGTTGTATTGTGAACTATATGCATTTCACTTGCTTACATACATCAATATTAATCACTCTTTCTTAACTATCAATCTTTGTTTCAATTCGACGCGTATATTTCTGAATGAATAGCTAACTCGTGATATGTTTCTTTTCTTTGTTCAATTACATTCAATGATATAATGATATACCAAAAATAAAGAAAGAAACATATACCTAATGAAACAAGTGATTGTCTCATTTAATGTATTATTCTATGTGTATATTTGATATATTATTCCATGTGTATATCTTACATTTTATGAATATGTATATATGTATTACGATATCTTGCAATAATATTATATATAAGATAATATACATAATATAGTACATAGTATATCCAGAAGCAGATAGTATATATCTTTTTATATCAGAAATTTTATCATTTCATGGTAGAAAAGCTGATGGTAAATACTAAATATTATGAAGAAACTTCTGTTGTAAGTTTATTATATACGTTACGAATTTTCTGTAACAAATATTTTCTTAAATTACATTTCTAAATATCTAGGTTATTTAAAGGAAAGATAGTTCATTCTTATTCTTCTTCTGTTTTTCAAGTATCTCAAATATCAAATTTTATTGCACATTTCAAAAATAGAATTTCATTAGAACAACACTTATTATTAAAATAAATTTTAAATAAAAAATAGCATTTAATATAAAAATTTTTAATATTATTTAGTTAATGTTTGTTTGGATCAGTTATAAAAGGTTCACTTTACTTCATTGTATTGAATATTAAACATTAGTTTATTTTAAAAATCAAATTATACAATAATTAATAAAAATTATGTAATAAAAAAAGTATTAACATTTTGATGGAGAAATTATACACATTGCGTGCTTAAATACTTTATTATACAATAAATGGTTACAAGTAAGTTATGAAAATATTTACAAAAATTTATTTGTGGATTCAATTATCATGGATAAGGTCTATAGCGGTGATGAGAATATCTATTAAAATGTCGCCGTCTGTCATTCCTATCATTATTATATCTTCCATTCATAGGGTACGGGTCAATGATTGGTGGTTTTTTTAATTCCATATTTTTAATTTTCATAAATTCTGCTTCTTTCTCAGTATATCGATCTTTAAATTCATTTTCACATTCCTCTAAAAATTTCTTTTGTTCATCAGTCAAATTTTTTTCTCCCATATTTATATTTCCTTTCTTTATATTTATGTAATCTTGATAACAATAATAGTAAACAGCTGTAAAATCATTACACAATTTTAAAATCCATTATATGAAAAATATGCTATTTTTAAAATAAGAACAATGTCTTTTTATTTCAACCTTTCTATTTTCAATGTTATTATTGCTTATTATTTCAACATGCAACTTTTTGTTTTGTCTATGCAACAAGAATACTAATGTACTTTTCAATACAGATATATTTTAGAAATTTTTCTACATTACACAATATACATTTATTACCTCTATCCTGATTATTTAACTCATTTATTCACTGACAATTTTTATATTTGTTAAATATAAACTCGTCCCTTCACAGAGAATAACTCCGAAATTTAGCTTTCTAGGTTATATTTATGTTTGTAAAGAAAGATCAAAATTTTGTATCAATCACATCATTTACGAAATATAATGTTTTTATAAACAACATTTATATTTTTTAGCGAATATTATTTTTTAAATCAGAACATGTTTACTATGTATGGAATGTAAACTATGTATGTATTTATGTATAGAATATATTCAGTTGTGCAATCATACTTTGAAATACAATACGACTTTTAAAGGATGATACTTAAATTAACAATTTGTTTGAATTAAAAATAATCAAACATAAATAATCAAATAAAAATAATTAAACATATAAAATAAATAATTAAAAATATAGAAATAAATAATTAAAAAAATGAAAACAGATTATTTTTATATATTAATGCAATATCAAGCATGGCACTTTCATGTAAACTAGCTTTGAGAGATTTTGGCGGTACAACCGTCAGTATCATGTTCTTATCATTATGTACGTATGTGCTATTCAGCTGAAATTTGTAGCATACTATTAATTGAAAATATGAAAAATATGTTCATTTATAATTATTTTTAAAGCTATAAATACATTCCTAGTGTATTTATTTTGACATAAATATAACAAGAAATTGATATTTTTACGAAAATTTTCTATCTACTACAACATGATATCTACTATCATACCAAAGGCGGAAAACTACAATATAAAAAAACAAATACAGAATGAAAGTGATATAAAAGAGCAGCAAATATCTTTAAATGATCAAATTACTGATACAAACGGAACAGGTAAAAGCAATTTAGTATTTAATATATAGTTCACAATCTAAACAATATGAGTTAAATTTAATTTGTATTTACCAGTGACCAGTACTATGATATTCAAAGAAAACAATAACGGTACAAAAAAACTACGTAATGGAAAATATATTAATATAGATTCTACATCTGGTTTGAGTAAAATTAATGGAGATTCAAGAATTGTTAAAAGAAAAATTAACGGGGCTGAAGAATTGGAAGTAAAATCTGCTATGTTGACACTAAAAGAAAAGATAATTTGTAATGACAACCCTGACCTAATATTAACAAATCAACAACAATCAGATTCAGGTGATGAATCTGAGAACATTCAAAAGAAAACTAAGACTGAAAATACAATAAAAACAGAAGAATCTAAAATATTATCCCAGAAATCAGTTAATGTGAATCAAAAATGTGAATATTGTTGTCAAAAATTAATAAGCCCAGATATAAAAATATATCCTGGTCATCCTAATGGTGCAGTAGAAGAAATGATTGCATTAACAGATCCTAGATTATCTTTATTCACAGGAGAAGAAGTTGCAGTTCATGAAAGTGATGTAAGGCCACAAAATAAATTAACTCATTTCTGGTAAGCATGTAATAAAAAAAAGTATATAAATCTATCTTTTTCCATTTTATGTATGTTGTTTCATCTTATCTTTTTATAGTGTATATGATAAGAATGGGCATTTGTGTCCTTTTGATATTGGTTTAATTGAGAAAAATGTGGTCCTTTATTTTTCTGGTTACATGAAACCTATATATGAAGAAAACTCATGTCCAGAAGGAGGTGTGCCTACAAAAGACATGGGACCAATAAATGAATGGTGGGTGTCAGGATTTGATGGTGGTGAATTAGCACTTGTAGGATTCACCACAGCATTTGCAGAATATATATTGATGGAGCCTGCTGAAGCATATGCTCCATTTATGGATTCTGTAAAAGGAAAGATTTACATGAGCAAAATAGTCATAGAATTCTTATTAGATGAAGACAATCCTACATACGAAGATTTGTTAAATAAACTACAGGTAACAATTTTTGTCTAAGATTCACACTTTGAGTATAAAATATTTCACATTTCAATGTATTAACGTTTATCGAAATATATTTTTTTAGACTGTAGTTCCACCAAAAGGATTATCTAGATTTACAGAAGATTCTTTGTTACTATATGCACAGTTCATCTGTGATCAAGTTATTTCTTTTGATGCATCAGCAAGACCAGAAGATTCTTTATTAATTACAAGTCCGTGCATGCGAGCGTTAGTAACACTTGCTGGTGTGACATTAAATAAGAGAATTGCATTACGCAGAACACAACCTAGAGATTCAAAAAATAAAAAGATTACCTGGACAAAAGCTACAACTACAAAATTAGTTAATAATATGTTTGAAACGTTTTTCTCTGACCAAATAGCTAAAAATAATGACAAAGAAATGTCGGTATGTAATAAAAATTCTTGTAATAAATAATATATTATGTGTATATGTATATATATATATATATATGTATATATATATATATGTGTNATATATATATATATATATATATATATATATATATATATATATATATATATATATATGTATATATATATATATATATATATATATATATATATATATATATATATTATACACTTATATTATTACAGGGACCTAAAAGACATAGATGTGGGGTATGTGAAACTTGTCAGCAGCCAGATTGTGGAGTTTGTATATCTTGTAAAGATATGGTTAAATTTGGTGGATCTGGAAGAAGTAAACAAGCATGTAACAGACGTAGATGTCCAAACATGGCTATACAAGTAAAATATTTTAATAACATTATCATTAATATAGAACAACATATATTTATAAATGCATATGTTAAATATAATTAATTGTAGGAGGCGGATGATTCAGATCAAGAAGATGATGATTTTAATGATACTTCGGTAGAAAATGTAAAAATTACTCAAAAAATGATTTTGAAAGAATTTAAACACGTAGAAAAAGAAATTACATGGGTTGGAGAGCCAATTATAAATGATGGACGAAGAACATTTTATAAGTCTGTCATAGTTGTTGATGAAGAAATAAAAGCAAATGATTGCGTTTTAATTGAATCTAACGATCCTACTGTACCATTACAAGTAGCTAAAGTTATTTATATGTGGGAAGATAAAAATGGTGCAAAAATGTGTCATGCCAATTGGTTCAGAAGAGGTAGTGACACTGTACTTGGTGAAACATCAGATCCTTTAGAATTATTCTTGCTTAATGAATGTGATAATGTTCCTTTTACTTCCATCAAATCCAAAGCTATCGTTATTTATAAAACTTGTCCGAAAGATTGGAATAAATTAGGTATTTTTATTATTTATTCTTTACTTTACTAAAGTTACAATGATTTGTTTTAAACATAGTTAATTAAATTTCAGGAAATACAGATATATTAGATGAAATACAAAATAAGGATGGAAAGGTATTTTTTTATCAAAAAACATATACTCCCGGTACAGCTCGTTTTGAAGATTGTGCTCCGGATCCTGAATGTCCACGAAAAGAAATCAGTCATCGATTTTGTCCTGCCTGTGTACGTTTTACTACATTGCAATGTTATTATACACCAAAAGTTTTTGACCGCAGAGAAGAAAAGAGCAACAAAGAAGTAACATATAGTATGGTAAAATATAAGGACGAAGAATTTAGAGTTGGTTCTGCTGTATTTTTAATGCCAGCAGCTATAAAATATAAATTTACATCTACATATCATCTTTCTCCAAAAATAAAGAAGGGCAAAGTAGATGAAGATATGTATCCCGAATATTATCGAAAATCATCAGACCATGTAAAGGGATCAAATTATGATACGCCAGAGCCATTTCATATTGGATACATAAATTCAATCTATGCAACTACTAATAATAAATTAGTTGCATCATCTGATATATGGATTAAAATAAATAAAATGTATCGACCAGAAAATACACACAAAGGACTTACATTAATGCAACAAGTTGATCTTAATATGGTATATTGGAGTGACGAAGGTAAATTACTATTTAAAAGGTTTAAAAATTATTTAAATTAATATATAAGTCAATTAATATATTTTCTGAATTCAAACATTTCAGTTTGTGATGTTAAATTTTCGGATGTAGCCGGAAAATGTTATCTAGCGTATTCGGAAAATTTAGATCAATCTGTAGAAGAATGGACTGCTGCTGGACCAAATCGTTTTTATTTTTCTCAAGCATATAATGCCTTAGAAAAAACATTTATTGATCCACCGTATCATGCTATGAACATTGGAAAATCTGGAACTAGTAAAGGAAAAGGAAAAGCTAAATGCAAAAGTAAAAAATTAGAGAATAGTGATAAGAAATTAACTGATATACCAATAGAATATAGTAAAGTAACAAAAAAGTTGAAGACATTAGATGTTTTTGCCGGTTGTGGTGGTTAGTATAATATTTAAAATTGAATTACGTAAAATATTGAAAATTTTTCTATATGAAATTTACATTACAGGATTATCTGACGGATTACGACAAGCTGGTATTATTGATAATCGATGGGCAATTGAAAAAGACGAACCAGCCGCATGTGCATATCGACTCAATAATCCTAATACAACGGTATTTTGCGAAGATTGCAATATACTTTTACGGAAAGTTATGAGTGTAAGTTCAGCAACAATGCAGGATTTAAAAATAAATACGATATATATGATATAAAATATATTGTAGGGTGATCTTTGTGATAATAGTGGACAACGTTTACCTCAAAAAGGAGAAGTAGAATTATTGTGCGGTGGTCCACCTTGTCAAGGTTTTAGTGGCATGAATCGTTTTAATTCACGGCAATATTCATTATTTAAGAATTCTTTAGTAGTATCATGTTTGTCCTATTGTGATTATTATAGACCAAAATTTTTTATTATGGAAAATGTTAGAAATTTCGTATCATTTAAACGAAGTATGGTACTTAAATTAACATTAAGGTGCCTTGTACGAATGGGTTACCAATGTACATTTGGTATTTTGCAAGCTGGAAACTACGGTATTCCACAGACAAGAAGAAGGTACATCTATTAAACATTTTAGCTTATATATTTTATCTATTCTTTATTTACTTTTAGGCTAATAATATTAGCTGCTGCACCTGGTGAAGTCCTTCCAAAATACCCTGAACCAACCCATGTATTTAGCAAACGGGCTTGTCAACTAAGCGTTATTGTTGATAACAAAAAAGTAATTGACTGAATTAATTAAATTTATATAAAAATTAATACACTTATCTGTTAAGTGTTTATATATATATATATTTTTTTAATAGTATTCATCAAATTGCGATTGGGTGGAATCAGCACCATATAGAACGATTAGTGTTCGTGATTCGATGTCTGATTTACCTAATATACGAAATGGATGGAATAAGGAAGAAATAGCTTATAACGATGAACCAATATCTCATTTTCAAAGAAAAGTAAAAAATATAAATAAAACATAGTATTATTAACATTATAACGACTGGTAATACTACTGTGGCATATGATTTGCAGTGGTTCTAAATTCTTAATATTTATCGACCTCCAATGAAAATTATGTCCAAAAAGAGACAATAATTATAGTGTTAATATTAACTTTTTTCTACTATATCTATATTCTATTCGTGCGTAGGTAAGGCCCAAAGAACCCGATACAATATTAAGAGATCATATTTGCAAAGATATGGCTCCGCTGATTGAAGCGCGAATAGCACACATTCCGACTGCAAGTGGGTCTGATTGGCGAGATCTACCAAATATAATAGTACGTTTATCTGATGGAACATATTCAAAAAAACTGTAAGGTTTATTTAAAACTTTATTAAATTTTTTAGATATTAGAATAAAATGATCGATGTAGAATCCAAATAAATAATCTCTCTATTGTACATTACAGAGAATATACGCATCATGATAAGAAAGCAGGTAAAAGTTCTACTGGTGCATTTCGTGGTGTATGTAGCTGTAGTGTTGGTAAGATATGTGATCCAATGGCTAGACAATATAATACTTTAATCCCGTGGTGTTTACCTCATACTGGAAAACGTCATAATAATTGGGCGGGCTTATATGGTAGATTAGAATGGGATGGATTTTTTGGTACTACCATCACTAATCCCGAACCTATGGGTAAACAGGTATGTATTATGCTGCTTTAGAAACTTCATTTATAAATATTAAATTCTATCATTTATCCATAGGGCCGTGTTCTACATCCGGAACAAACCAGAGTTGTGAGTGTAAGAGAGTGTGCTAGATCACAAGGTTTCTCTGATTCTTTCCGCTTTTACGGAAGTATACTTGATAAACATCGTCAGATTGGTAATGCAGTTCCACCACCATTAGGTGCTGCGTTAGGTTTCGAAATTAGAAAATGTTTAAAAGATGCCGATGCTAATCAGTTAGAAAAGAAAATGGAAGATTTTTATGATTGATAACAATATAACACGCATATTCTTTACGAAAAATACTTTAAATATTATTTGAAATCTTAATGGTAGCATATTAAGTTAAAAATTTTTTTTTATTTACATAAGTTTTTCTGCATGCGTTTAGTGTGGATGTTTTTACTAGTTACATGACCAAAAGTATTATGTGATGCATATTTATGCAATGTTAGTCGTAAAGAATATATTTTTTTTATATGTAATAATTATCAAAGGTAGATAACAATATTAACTAAACTTTGTCTACAACAATGAATTGGAGAATTATATTAAGTAAAATGATATAAGTTGGTTTAGTAAAATCCCAAACGAGATACATGGATGGACCTACATGCAATGTAGTTTTTTGTCCTATATTCGTGAGGTCCTAGAACCTCAAACCGTCGTACCAATTGTTGATGACATTTGTTGTTGAAATGTTGATATTTTTATCTTAAAAATTATGTATGTATTGAATTGAATGATAACATCGTTAATAAAAAAAATATATATAATAATTTAGAACAAGTTGACAAAAATTAGGACAAAAAATTTACTATATATTTAATTCATATCTATTTAAAAATATTAGAAAAAATTGATTATAATCTTTATTAATAACACATAATTAGATATGAATTATGTACGACGATTTTTACTTATTTTAGTATGTAGATTCACACCTTAAATGATATTTTTATCATTTATAAATGTCTTTATCCAGCAAACCTGATTTTGTAAAAAAATGGACCTATCAAAAAGTTTGGTATAAATATATATAGTTTGGTGGACCACATTATGTGATGTATTATTTTTCGCAGGTCGTTCAGTGGGAGAAATTTCGAAATCAAATTCATTTTTTTAAATGATACCATATACATATTTTCGTTTTTGTATGATATTTGTTAAAACGAATTCAGTGATTTACATATAAAATAATTTATTGTTATAAATTATTGGTAATAAGACTGCACTTTGTAACTTCTTATTTCTCCTTATATTTTCTGTATAAGGAAAACACAACAGGTCCAAATAATGTGACATTCGTTGTATGAGAGTTAATAAAGATGGCATAAAATATGGATGATTTAGTGATATATTTTAGCATTAAAATTTTATACAAATTCAAACTATTACTCGTTCGTATTTTTCTCCGCTTGTCTCTTTCCGATTGCCGGTGAATTTGTAGATTAATAATTCTCTTATCTATTTCGACGATTTTGAATTTGCTATATATGTAAATCGAAATTTTGAACAATTTTTTTCTTTAACAAAAATGTCGAACTCTTGATTTACAAAAAAACTACTGAAAGTGATTAAATTCACCTAACTACCTTCATTATGGTGGAAAATGCAAGTTAAAAAATTAAAAAGCGTGTTAATGTTGGTATTTCAGAACATGAGACATGAAGTTCCAAAAGATGCAGTCTATTCATATATCTCGTTTGTGGGAAAATGAAATCATTACAGTGTTGTCAAATTGTATATCTCCAGACTCCAAAATACGAAATTAGTAATTGAAACCATTTTATTTTATATTATTAGACCTTAAAAAGTGGAATATTTAAAATTGAATGTCCTATCTATCCTGATTAATGATACCAGTATTTATAGATATAAGTTAGCTTATAAAAATGGTTTTTAATATGTTTAAGATTTTGTACACCTTAAGAATCATTTTGTATAAAATATATTATATCTATTTTGTATAAAATATATTACATCTATTTTGTATAAAATATATTATATCTATATTATATCGTGTGTATATATTGTATTTCCATAGATTCAAATTACTATTTATCAGTATAATTTTAAAAACAAGTAAATAAAGTTTAAAAAATTAATGCAAAAAATATGAAATAAAAAAAGTTTTATAACAAAATTGTGTCTTTAATTTTTAATTTTATATATATTATTTTTGTATCAATAAAAAAAATTTCTCTAAATTCTTATAGTAAACGTAAATACACATGTAGTAAAAAGAGATAATAATTAATTTTTTCCCATTCACGGCTGTTCAAGTTTAAGAGCAGACATGGTGTCTTTTATATACGGATTATATGTCTGAATAGTTTAAACAATATCCAAAGAATTTTTTTCTAGTATCATGTGGGCTGACACTATTTTAATTGTATTTATTAGTATCTGTACAGCTTTATTAGGAGAAGGTAATAACATTTTAAATATTGTTGTTTTAAGTTTAAGGTTATATTTATTTCTTTAAATTTTTATAAATCTCTATAAATATAACTTCTTTAATTAATTTTAATATTATTGACAGGTTTAACATGGTTGATGGTTTATAGGACAGAAAAATACCAAAAATTAAAAGCTGAAGTAGAAAAACAAAGTAAAAAATGTGAGTTTTTAAATAATGATTGTATCAAGGAATATTGATAAGTTAACAAGTGCAAACAAAATGCAAATGTCATTATGTTCATAAATTAAATTTTTATCTTTAAATTAACTTAATTTTAGTGGAAAAAAGAAAAGAAGCACATGGAGATTCGTTAGATAAACAGCAGAAAAAGAAAATTGAACGAGAAGAAGAAAGGTTAAAGAATAACAATAGAGATTTGTCTCTTGTAAAAATGAAATCAATGTTTGCAATTGGGTTTGCATTTACAGCTCTCTTAAGTATGTTTAATAGCATTTTTGATGGTAGAGTTGTAGCAAGATTGCCCTTTGTTCCACTTGGTTGGATACAAGGATTATCACATAGAAACCTTCCAGGAGATGACTATACAGAATGTTCATTTATTTTTTTGTATATACTATGCACTATGAGTATAAGACAGGTAAATTCATATGTTAGTTTGATTTTGTTATTGTACTTATTTATAAGAAAAACTATTATAAGAATATACTTATTTATAAAAAAAACTATTGGTTGCAGAATATTCAAAAAATGCTTGGATTTGCACCTTCTAGAACTGCAAGTAAACAAAGTGGAAGTATTTTTGGTCCTCCACCTCAACAATTTAAATAAATTTAGATTAATATTAAATTAAATATTTAATTTCAAATTAAGTCAAATATTTGTTATATAATTATTTAAATTTTGATACTATACCTGGTAAAATGTTTAAATATTTATGAATGACTAACATGAAAATTATAGCTAATACAAATTAAAATTAAATACATTATATAAACGTAATATATGTATTACACTTGTTAAGTATATTTAATTACATATATAATAAATATATATTTAATACTGATACTTCTTTTTTAATTAAACTTTATATAATACATTATATCAATGAATATCGTAAAATTATTAATAACTATTTAAATTTCGAATTGTTAACGCTTTTGAACAAATATATATCAAAAAAAAAAAAAATTATAAACAGAAACAATAATTCGATATAATAGTGAAAAATGTGATAATAGTGAAAAGATAAATAGAAATATTTAAACATAAGTGTAGAAAATAATGTATATAAAGATGTCATGAAGGAAGTTTAGAAAGTTTCAATTAATATAACAATGCAGCATATTTTAGAAAATAGGTATGACTCATGTATTCCATCAAGCAGCTCTTATACAACAATCGATATTACATATAAACATAACGATCAATCATATACAAAAAAATAACCACTACCCTTAATTCGTAAAAAATATTTACTATAATAATATATCAGCGATCTATTTCATGGAGCACACAATCAAACTTATAAATGAAAATGTACTCTATGAACATCAGATCTGCATTTAACTATTCAAATCATACATACACATTTTTGCTAAAAATTGTTGTTCTTTTATATTATTACATACCATTTAAGCCTAAAACAGTCTCTTGTTATTAGAGCTCGCGACATTTTATACAAAATGATACAATTATGATATTTACAATCAATCTACATACATGATTAAATGTAAGATATCTTAATTTAATAAAAAGTTATTTAAATTGTTATTTGAACTTTTGGTGTTATAATATACCATTGTATATTACGTTTAATTTGTTTTAACAGCATTTTAATTACATATATTCATTAATAGAAAGCGATTAAACACCCAACTGGCAATTTGAAAGACAAATGCTTCTTAAATCGGAATTCGCATTTCCTGCTTAATAGCATCATACTTTGAAATCACTATTCGTCGTGCCAATAAGATTAAAATTTACAGCAATCCCATCCCTTTGATTATATAAATCATTCTTTCGGCAGTGGCTATCTGTAAATCGCAAACATAAAGGGAAGACGTTAATCGAAATTTCATTTTACATGATGTGCCCCAATTTTCATTGTTCTGGAAATAGATAAATAAACGTATTGTTGACGTTTTCTTAAATTTTTAAAAATATCTATTTGAAATCATAATGAAAATTGATATCTAAGAATCTCTTACTGTCCAGCAGCTGATGAAGCTATTGTTTTCTCATTGTCATTTGAAATTTAAAGCAATTTTCAAACCTGAACTTGTAAGAGTATAAACCACGAAAAATAAATTTATTACGCCTTTTCTTATATTATCTCTCATTATGCGATGTAAATAAATTGAAAATTATCGAATATCGTTCAAATCTTATGAAAATGTAAGTGTATAAATATCATGTGCTTAATTCTTTGCGTTATTAATAAAAGATTGCACATTATTATTAATTCTTTTAACTAATGTGAGCTTGAATTTAATATGATTTGATCATTTTAGTAGGACCGTTCATTTCCATTGATTCATTTCAAATAGAATGAACATTTATATATTATACTGCAGAAACATCAAATAAATCATTATTTTCAAAATGGTGGACAGTTCACTCCGGGATGTAGATATTGGCATTTGTCACCGACTCTACAATAGCCATTCTTTGAAAACTGTCTGCATACGGGTGGTTGCTTTCCGTTCCCCCTCCATCCACCGCCTCCACCCCTCCACCCACCTCTTCCTGGTGGACCCCCACCACCTCTATACCATCCAGGACCAGGAACACCTCTACCTCTACCATGCATTGGACCAGCACCTCTAGGACCTTGAAAGTTAGGCCCAGGGCCGTATAAAGGACCAGGAGGACCTTGGAAATTATTTGGATTCATGTTATTGAATCCCATATCTTCTGGTCCCATCATACCATAACTGTCTTGTTGTTGATTATACATAGGTGGTGGTCCCATCATACCAGGTGGTACCATTGGACCACCTTCTATTCCTGGTGGAAATGCATTTGGCATATTCATTCCCATTCCATCAGGTACAACAACTTTTCCATCTCCAGTTCTCCAACCGCCTCCTCCTCCAGCAGTCATTGGACCTCCCATTTCAGGACCTATTGGGCCCATATGAGAAGCTCCCATAATTTGCTGAGACATTTGTGGCATTGGGCCCATTGAACTTTGAGGGCCCATAGATGTCATTACTGGCTGTTGATTATGTGGAAATGATGGATAATGGAAGTTCGAAACTGCTGGTGTTTGAGGTTGCAACTGAGGTTTTGGTTCTGGCCACGGCATGGAAGTAAAATCTTTTTCACTTTCCTTATTTCCTGTGAGATCGTCCAAAGGAATGGTTTTAGGTTCACTATATACATGATGACGTTCTTCGTCAGGTTCTGCCGCAGAGTCTGGAATCCTAAAATTCAAAATATACATAAAATATAGTACTCTTATATCAATTAAATTTGATTGTAATAAAATACTTTTAATTATAATAAGAATATTTTTAAATAAATAAATTTTGTAGACCTCCCACCAGTGATGGGATAATTTATATATTAAACGGTTCAATGGTTTAAGGTTTCTATGCTTTTAATAAGCATACATATCATTTTTATACAAATATATAAATTAATACCAATGTACTTCAGTGTGTAGTATTGAATTCTATTTTAATAAATAAAGCTTTATTTTTATAAATAAACTTTATTATAGTAAAAAAAAAACAATCGCTTAAAATATACACATACATGCTTCGGTTGAAGTATAGTGCTTGTAAAATTCCTTTTTCTCTAGCATATTGAATATCTTTTTCTCTACTATCCTTTCCAGGCTCTACTAAAGGTGGCGGTAAATCAATTGGAATCAAAGGTTTCCATCTTGTTCTTTCTTCCATTAAGTCTTCATTACCTGCAAAATCAATTTATATTTCATTTATTAAATTTTTTATAATTTTTTCTAATATTCAATATTATTTTTAGCAGTAAAAAAAATTATATTTTTTCAACTAACTTAATTTTCTGGCCATTTGGAATGCTTCTCTCTCATTTTGCTTTTCCATTTGTTTCATATCAGTAAACGTTTTCGTTACGTTCACCCTTTCCGTTTCATCCAACTCAAAATAACGCACCGATTCTAAGTCTGTTTTCCATTTTAATACTTTCTTCGGCCCTTTGCGTTTTTGAAGTAACAAAACGCTTCTCAGGCCATCAACATATCGTATTTCTGGATAAGAACCAATATTTTCCTTTTTCATTGAATCAGATATGGAAGATATATCTTCTAGAGAATCGGATATCTTCTCCTCCATATCAGCTTCCGGTGTTGGTGCTAAAAAGCAGTAGAATATTTTCAAATATTTTCTTTTAAAGTAACATATTTATACACAAAAATATAAAATTAAGTATATCTCGATAATATGTAAATAAGAATAATGTAACTTACTGTTACTTCTAGCATCGTCATCAATGTCCGATTTGAATATCCTGTTTTCTTTCTGATCGTCCGCTGCCTCTTCTTTATCTTTTTTCATCTCTTCGTCTGAATTCTCCCTCTCTTTATGTTCTTTATCTTCATCTGTCTCTAATGTATCTTGATAAAACTATAAAATAAAAATTCTTATGTGTAATTAATGTATAAATAAAAAAATATATTAATTTTTATCGAAAATTTCGTAATTATATGGTATATACCTTAAAGTTAGGCTTGACAACTACGGGTGATTTTTCATCGGCACTTGGTGGTGAGGTGGGTGGAGGTGTAACATCACGATTATCATTATTGGCAGTTTCTTGTTTTTTAGCTTCCGTGGGACCATCTTTCGTAATGGATGTTCTTCGCTTCCTTTTTCTTGGTTCTTTATTCTTCGTAGATGCAGTCAAAGCATCCATAAACATATCGCTTTCTTGTAAAACCATTGCTATAAAAAAAGATAACAAATATTTATAAACGAAATAAAATATAAAAAAGAATCAAAATATATCACTTTAAATTGGGAGAAAGATTTAAACATTGTCTTAATAATTACATCCAGAAATCGATAAAATGTCAAAGCATTTGTGTTAAATACCTAATGCAAAAATCTATTAAAAATTAAATTTACTAAAAATTATAATAAAGTACTTTGTCGACTAACTCCAGATACTACGGCAGTAAAAAAAAGACAAATTTAGCATATTACATTCGTTGATTCCAATTAATAAAATGGAGATCATAGATAGATATTCCTAAAATAATCCTGTAATATAAACATTTATATTATTCGATTATTCAAAATTTAATTACATCAACATCAATATAATCTGCATCAACTCCTGTAAAAAATACATATAGCTATAAAATCGCATAAAGACAGAAGTTCAACTTGTTCCTTGATAGAGCTGAAAGTAAATATTTTAATAAATATTTGATGTAAAACGAATCCGTTATGAATCTGCAAAAATGCAATTATTTCCTTTTGATAATATGAAATATTCTAAAATTACGTTAGAAATCATAGCGATTTAATAAACAGAATTTTTTTTTAAGAAAATGTGAATTATACAATGATAAAATTTGTGTTTAATTTTACTTATAATTACTTCAAATAATTTCTACAACAGATCAATAAATTTACCAATTGATCATGATCAATTACTCTTGATCCATTGGATCGCTTCATGTATTCAAAATTTTAAACGAAATTTAAAACAAAGACTAAACGCATGCACATTAATACTAATATCGAACATCATAAAAACATAGAGAATTAGGAAAGTAAATCTTAATTTAAATAAAATTATAAATCTTTATGCCTTTTTATGTAATGTAGATCCAATTGTATTTTGTTACCAAGATATAAAATCTTTTTCTTTGAAATTAATTAAATATTAATTCAAAGTAATATAAAGAGATATTTTATTTAAATAAAAATTATTTTGTCTTTTTTACGATAGATATACAAAAGATAGTACATTAAATGTTATATCAAATATTATTTCCTCATAAATGTACTTTGGGAATGTACAAAAGCAAATACTTTGCGTATCCGATTGGTATTTAATACTATTTAATGTATTTTGAATTTTATTTTTTAAATTCAAATTCAAAAATTGATACCTAACAGCTGTAAGAAATACGAATTCTATTCAAAAAATGTTTACTATCAGACTGCGTTCATATATACTAAATTAATGTTAAGTAAGAATTCAATAAATATATAACAAAAGTTATTACAGAAGAAAATATACGGTATATCAAATCGATAATAAATCGCATTGATAATCATATAAATGTTTTTAGAATGTATTCGATAAAAGTGATAATAGTAAACTGGGGAATAATATGCAGGTTTTAATTATACGGCTCCAATTTTATTTCCATAAACCTTTGATTCATCCTCAAGTCATTTACTTCGTTTTAAAAATGTTTCAAATCGTAAGAGTATTCTTAACGTATTATCTTATATGTAACAATCGAGACGCATTCTTTTTTTCGTTAACATTTCGTTTCATTTGTAAAAAAGATCTTTCCGATCGAATAGTACAGATTAATACATCATCTAAAATGATATACTTATTTAACTTTTTATTAAACTATTATTAAACTTTTGCGCAGTCCATTAATAGCGATGATTTTCTATTCCTCATGTGAATGCATTAGAAATGTAAACTTATTTTCATTTTCTTTACATAAGACACGCGGTTCTGTATATATAATTTGTTTTATATAAAAATGGATATATAATTGTTAATGATATGCAATCAAAAACTAAATATTTATAATACTATAAATGTAGTTACAAATAATAATTCAAACTTGACTAAAGTATAAGTCAAAGATAAAGTTATATCTGTTTATATTAAAATTAGGATAACTCTTTTCTTTTTATCTGATATCTGAACAAATAATATAAAATCATTATAGATAAAAAGTTTTTTTTTTTTAAAAGTGATGCCTTGTATACTATAAATTATAAAAATGCATATAATCTCTTCTAAACGTATTTTGAACGAAAAAGCGTATTCTGACAAGTAAAAGGTAAACGAATTTGTTAATATTAATTTAAATAAAGTATAACTATTGTAAATTTTATTTTTTGCTTCTTTTTCAAATTCAATACCACATGATAAGCATAGCCCACGAATGGTGCGGACCTAAATACATTGAATGGTTAATACACTATGTGAGCGTAATGAAACTACTACGAGAAACAGAATCTGACCCCATACACGACTGCTGATATAAAGACTATCGCAAAAACATTGGCCTCGGTATTCCGCCAAGCACACCAAGAAGTGCGCTGTTGCGCAACTCCGTCGTTAACTCCCACCCATCCTCCTTTACGCGTCTAATTCAAATAAATGATTTTTAAATGCTTTTTTTCATGATACTTAATTATTTGGATTGTTAAATTTTTAAATATATTGATAGTAAATGAGATTTTTTGCTTCCTTTTCAAATGAATAGCTGAGTAAGGAATTAATCGTGCTTTGTTTTAGGTAGAACTACAAGTTCTTTATAATCGAAAGAAGAGAAACTTCTACGAATAATTAACGATAGTCTTGCAAATTAAAACGAACTATTCTTAACTCGGAAAGTTCTGATATAAAAAAATACACCGATTTCTGAATTAGTTTTTAACTCAATCAAAATTACGTTATTTGAAAAAATATAGTAAATTTGAGAAAGAATAACAATTTGCTTTAATTGCTGTCGAGCACAATATTATAGATATTCACGTTTCGTTTTTCCTGCCTTCTTCTTTATATTTTTCTCTTGTTCCAGTAACGTTCTTTTCACCCGATTGTTAATCCGTCTATTGGCAAGGAAGAAGACTTCTTCGCCATGTCGACGTTGTCATTGTAACTAGACGATTATCTGTCGTAAGAAGAGGCCCGCTGATCCTAAGGGGCGGCTTGCTCGAAGACGTCGAGTCGATACGCAGCATCGTATTTCATGCATTTTCGAAAGTGCTTTCATTCCAAGAAATTCTGCATTCTTTTTTTTTTCGAACTTTCTTCGAACGTCGTGCCATATTTTTCTCGCTTTTCCATCTACTCGTTCATACTGTTTACTCTTTTTCGCTTTCTTTCAGTTTCTCTTTCTCACTCACTCAGTCACACACATTCTCTCTCTTTCTCTCCCTTTCTCTCTTGTTTACGTTCTCTCTCTCTCTCTCTCTCTCTCTCTCTTTCATTTTTTCTCACTTTTATAAGGATATCTTGGGACTATGCGCCCGCAAATTTCAATTCTCTCTGATGAACGCACGAACGTATTTCGAATCATTCTTTGAATCCGCTGTGAACTAAACAATGATAGAAAATTGAAAAATAATATATCATTTACAAGAATTTTTTCCCTTGTGTGATACTCAAAATGGTATTATAGCATTAAGTATTATATTAAATAAGTACGAAATAAAAATGTAATCTCTCTATAAATGAGATTAAATGTTATAATTTCGTAGAAACAAATTCGTAATTGATTAAAAACTAGCATCAATAAATTTTTTAAACGTTATAATTATTATTGTTTAGAAATTTAGTGTATAATACCATTTTGAGTTTTGACTTTATATGCACTTTAGATTTGTGCGATTAGTCACCGAGAGGATGGAAATCTGGATGGGCTCACGGTATGAGTGTTTGCTTTATCAAGCATTCAGTGAGCAAGATGTATAGCAGAAACCCAAGAGTTAAATATTTCCAGATTTCTGATCAATTTATTTAAATGCTTAATAGGGTGTACATGTACAAGGGAAGAAGTATGGACAGACAAGAGTTGGTTTGTTTCCTTACCTAGGTAGATTAGTAATATCCGTGACTTCGATGTATCGTTCGTCGAAGAACGGTAAGACACACACCTCGAAAATTATATCGATAATAAAACACACCTTTTTTTCTTTTATCCGAATAATTTGTAAAAAAAAAACTGCACGGTTACTTTCGATGAATTGATTATTAAAAAATATTCGACTCTACTTTTTACTAGATAGCACTAGTTTTCAAACAATTTATATGTACGATTTAATTAATATTTTATCGAAGATTACCTGCTAAATCTTCTTAATATAGGAAATAAATTGATGCTGAAAGAGCCAATCCTAATGTTCTTCGTTCTTCTAATGTGACGTTAATTATTGACGCAAGCACGAAAAATCCATTCGATCCACTTCCACGTGGGTCATTGATACGGGTTTTCTTTTACCTTCTATAATACTCTAATAACTTCAAGAAAAGTAGCATAAGATTCTAATGAATACTATAAACTAAAATAATATGCCTGAAAGAAACTGCAAATTAATAATAAATAAGAAATCTATGTAAATTTTGTTGAATTAAGTAAAACATGTTCGCGCAATGCTTAAAGTATAAAGAATACAATTTGCTTGTGTTTCTTCTGGACCCAACCACCTGCAAACTCAATATTAAGAAGTTAGTAATAGCACATACAATAAAAGAAACTACTGTTCAAAGACTAATTAAGATCAATAAAGTTAGTAGTTTTTCTTTCTTAATTTCAATTTTCACATCAAAATCACTTATTATAAATGTAATACTAAAATTTTGAACTTAGATCATTTGAATATTTATTATATTTTGAATTTTTCATACCTTAAAAATTAAAGAAATTAAGAACCAAGAATAATATATAACATATACTAAACCGATTTAATATAATATCAATTATAATTTCACTAATTCTAGATTTTTCTGATTAAAATATATATATATATATGTGTGTGTGTGTTATAATATATATATAAGTGTTAAACTTCATTGAAAGAAAAACATATGTTTACACATTTAATATATAATATTCTCCTACATAATAACTTCAATTTTATATATTAATATATATTATCTCAAGTCTTTGAACATTAATAATTTATAAAAATTTAAGATCTTTCTCCCTAAAGAATTAAAATTATATTTGTTGGGGAAAAAAGTATATATACACAATATTTGTGTGTAAAAAGAAATTTTAAATATAATATTTGGAACATTATGTAATACTTACGTTTTGGTTTTGGTGGTATTAATTTGATGCCTCCCTTCTTTTCGTCACTTGGAGGTGTAGTTGGTGAATCCAATGATACTTTAGCTCGTTTATCTGATGGTATAGCTTCTCTAAGTGGAGATGGCCTTTTCAAGGTAGGTAATTTCTGAGGTACCGTCTTTTTGTCAACAACGGGATGTGATTTCTTTACTGATCTTGGTGGTGGTGGTTTTACTTCTTCTTCTAAACCTGTTGACCTGAATTTAGAGTTAAATGTTTTCACAGTCTTTGGCCGTGTCGTGGAATCTTGAGAATTCTTTCTACTTTCAATAGAAATAGAAATGTTCTTTTTCTCTGGCACTGCAGTAACTTTCTTTGAATCAGTCTTATTTTCTTTAGAACTATCCCGAGAATCTGTTGATGATTTCCTTATAGCTGCATCCCCTGATTTTTCTTCTTCCAACTTCTTTTTAGGTATTTTTCCAAATTTTGAACTTAATGCCTGTCCTTGAACCTTCTCTAATGTTGCTTTATCCTTTTCTGCCTGATCCTTTTTCTGTTTTTCCTTTTCCCGCTCTTTGTCAGATTTATTTTTACTAGAACTATGTTTACTGGATGAATTAGATGAATGATGTCTGTCCTTGGAAGACTTATCCTTGGAACTAGAACTTTTTGAACTACTACTACTAGAACTAGAACGATGACTACTAGATTTGTAAGATATGGAACTAGAACGATGTGAACTGGAACTTGAGGTATGTTTAGAAGAACTTTTGGAGGATGAAGATGAGCTATGACTCTTCTTGTCTGAACTACTAGACTTTTTGTCATCTTTTTTAGAAGAGTCTCGATTTTCTTTATTACTAGATTTACTATTTTCACTATTACTATTGTCTTTAAGATCTTTAATGTCTTTGCTTTCTTTATTTTTAACAATATCCACATCAGGACTATCCATGGAATCTACTACAGTTTGTTTCACTTCACTTGAAACCTGGTCTAATTTTTCAGATTGTGCAATGTCTTTTTCACAATCTTGACCACTGACTACACCATCACTGAGTTCTGCAGATATTTCCTCAGAAGTTTGTTTCACAGGAAGAGAATCCTCCACAACATCTCCATTAACTTCTACATTTGTACTATTTGTATTTAAAACACTATTAATATTTGTAGCGTCCGTCTCCACTTTTGTAAGAATCTGTTTGCCTTCACGAATTGTAATTTTATACACAGGAACTGGAGATTGTGAAGATGCAGATACCACAACAAATGCTGGCTTTTTTGATTGCTGTGATGACAATTGTTGTATTTGCATTTGCTGTGGTTTACTGACAACTTGCAATTGTAGAGGTTGCACAGTTGTCCTCTCCTGAATCTGTTGCTGTTCTTGAGATTGTGTCTGCTGCTGTTGTTGCTGCTGCTGCTGATGAATGTGAGAGACTGCAATAGTTGATGTGGAATTTGGAATAAATTGCAAATCTTGCACTTGAACTGTTGCATTTTCTGTATCCGAGACTTGTTGAATACCACAATGAATAGAATACTGTTGTTGCGTTGATTGAGATACCAAACTTTGTCCTATAACTCCAGTAGTTTGTATTGGAATAGTCATGATTTGTGCTGGCACAGAATTTGGTGCAGCTTCTCCTTTCACTATTTTTAACCACTGTTCAACCAATCGACTAGCTAACACTCTAACACCTTGATGACTACCTTCTTTTGATAGACCTTTTATTAATTTAGGACAATTGTTACTTTTTAATCTTTCTATGTCTACTGGACATAACAACAAAAGTTCTAGAAGCTCTTGAATTAAAGCCCAATTCTTTGCAAGAATGCCATCTGTAAGCCACATATGAATGAGATTCCATCCTCCAGCACCCATAAATCTAAACAAAAGGAAAAATAATAAATTGTTCAAATTATAAACTAATTTTCTTATAAATTCATTGTGCTTTAAAAATATGTTACAAAAATATCTTATGGAACCCACATCAGTGAGTACAGTTCATTAGTAAAACTGTCCTATGGTTTTGAGTTCCTAATTTTTTACTTTAGCATACATTTTATATTTCACATGATTATACAAATTAGAAGTATTCACGTGCAGTAGTATGCAACTTGTATAATTTAACTTCATATATAAATATTTAATTCTTTGCACTATAATTATTTTTCTAGTTTACACTCTTTATCACAGGTGACTTTAAAGTGCAAATGGTTAATTTTTTTTTTATAAAAGATTTAAGTATTCTAAAAAAATTTATACTTACTGACTAAGTAAATCAGTATTTGTAGTTTTTAATATTTGTATGTAAATGCATTTTGAAACAAGCTTCTTTGAAAATTTTGTCATTAAATTAGCCAACCGATGAACTTCTTCTTTACTTTTAATACCTCCAGTTGGTCCCAATAAGACACTAAGACATTTCAATAAAGATAGAGGATCTATACGTGGCTGAAAAAGTACATGTAAAATATTTTTAAAATTTAAATTTTTAATTTTTATAAGGTTATGTACAATAGTAAAAAATTGAATCTCTATTAAATTGAAATTAATTTATCTGTAAATAATAAGATTTGAACGACTTAACAAAAAGAAAGATTTAAATCAATTTCTAGTTACATTATTGTCTTTTGAACATTCAAAAAAAGTTGTTAATATTTCTTTAACATTTACTGAAGAAACAATTATAAAAATACATGTTGTTTCATATGAATTTTATATAAGAATTTAAATTTAAGATAATAAGAAAGAATTTAAGATAAAATTCAAATATCAAGATAACATCACGTAAAATTATCGCATATGAGAAAAAAGCGCGAAGATCATTTACCTTCCCCATTTTGTTATTCAATATAAATATCATATATTATATAATATTGCATATTAAATTAATTTTTATAAATACTTTCATGAAACTGTACAAACATTTGTATTGTATGATCATTAAAAGCTTCTGGCGACGCCAGAAATAGGATATGAGGTCATACTACGAACGAAGGTTATTGATCCTATCGCTTTCCTCTGCCATTACGTCTGTCGTAATTTATCGTATATGGCGCCCTCTCCCAAAAAATTAGTGAAGGAAAGGGAAAAGTAACTGGTTTCTAATAAATAACTTAACTTACCATTTTGATGATATTCTTGTCGATTTAATGCATATTGAAGTACAAACATAGGATCATGACGTAAATCTGTAATGAAACACAAAGATATTTGGTTTTTTTAATAGGTACGAGTAATGTACTTTTTCAAAGGATAAGCGTTCACCGCCATATTGTTGAATCTTTCTCATGCACATAAAATATAGCCAACAGATTTTTCTGTCTACGAACACGAAATCTTTAATAAAAGATTATTACCCAAATCTAAATATATTTTCACCGATAATTATTCGCAAATATAATATTATGTTCCTCTGCTGTTCTCATCGTCTTTTCATTTCTATACAATCATCTATACCACAAAATTGCAAATACCAATTCAAAAAGATTTTTATATCAAATCTTTTCTACTTCAATTATAGTTTGAATAATTGTATTCATTTTCTAATGAGAAGTAACTTCAGATATTGAAATTAAGTAACAGAAGCTACAAATCTATCAGCAGGAAAACTATCAATTTAAAATATACGCTTCTTAGTCAACGGCGATCACTTGATGGTCAACTGGCGAGTCTTCTCCTGCGCAATATTTCCGCGCATATCCCACCCAGGATGGTTACACAACCAACCAATCACGCGCGCGTTTTGAATTCTCTTTAACGTTAACCAATGAGCGTAGTGACCCCACCCTATTCACTTGACATCACCAAATAACTGCTATTTATAGCACACCATCATGATTGTCCATTCGTGCTAAATTAGAATTTTGCCAAAATTATTTTTTTTTAGAATTATGCAATCACTAACACTTTTGATAATTCAATTATCACTTCCGCATGTTAAAGTATAGTAAATAGCTTGCATGCAATTCCTAATGTAAAAACCAGACGATCCCAACAAAATTTCAACTTGTATCACCAATACATTATTTCTTTCACCTTAATTTAACCTAGATATTTTTATATTAATCCCTTCTATTTTTCATTGTATTTTTTACGATATGTGCAGAAATGTATAGTAATAATTTTTTAAACAAATAGTAATATCTAACGGACAAATAGCTAGTTGTTCTCAATCAAAAGATATACTTCGGCTTTTTTGAACGACAGAAAAGCCACTCACATTTGATAAATAATTAAATCCTTTTTACGGAAAATATACGTTCACAGATGTGTATAAGAAATTTAATATTTCCTATACACAAGAACAATGTGGCCCTACGTTCTGATGAAAATAGGCTATGCATCAGCAAATGCTACAAGATTGTCCAAAATCCGTAAATATCTTCTTGATCATCTGCCATCTGCAATCAAACATTGTTTAAATTTTACTTTTATTACCTTGGTGTTGCTTTTCTTGTAATATCTTGTTGAACAATAAAAAAAAAATCTACTTTTGACTAAAGTAAAATTATCCTCACCTAACTACGTAGAACCTGCTGTTACGCCCAAACCGGAAATGTTCTATTTTTTTATAAGTGAGTCAAACGTAAGTATGTTTTATTTAATAAAATCTATTGAAATTATAAATACTTAAAATATTAAATGCAAAAAATATATAATTTAGTTAAAAATGAAATATAAGTTAAATATACACATTTTATAAACTATTTAATACATTTTCTGACTAACTTTCAATACGAAGCAGGAATAATATTTAATCAAATCAATAACTTCCTCAAATAAATTTTAATAATAATTGACAAGAATTATATTATATATTTCTTTAAAAAAAAAAAATTAATTTTACGCTTAAAAAAGTTTTATGTAACTTTGTTTTTAAATATATTTTCAGTACTAATAACTAATATCAAACTGTTTTAAATATAGTAAAAAAATTAATATAAATAAGCATGAAAATATAAAATATAAATTTATTGTAATATAAACTTAATAAGTTTGTAAGTAGTAAAATAATTGTTAAAATGTATGTTATTGAACATCTTCAGATTCCGGTTCTTGATTGATCATTATAATTTAGCGATATAACTTTCAATATAGTTGAAAACTCTTGCGATTAAAATGTCACTAATATTGAATAAATTGGTTACATCTCTTTTTCGACTTAATTTAACTCCAAAAGTAAGAATCAGAAAGAAATAGTCATATTGAAAGTGATTTAATGTTTCGAAAAATTTTATAGGTTATACCCGTGAAATTTATACATAATACAGCTATAAACAAAAACGATGAAGGGGTTCCTATTTCAAAAGATAGGACAACAATTATTCCTGTAGAAATTAGCATAAAATACCTAAAAAGTAGTGGTATGTAATTACATAACATGAGTATTATTTCAATATAACTTCAATTACCATGATAATTACTTGTACTAGCTTATAAAAAAACCTACGGAGAATATCCTGTTTGGAAATTTTATAGACGAAATTACAAAGGTCAAATTCCCCCGCAGAAAACACGAAGAACTTGCATTGTAAGTATTTTTAAGAAAATATATGACATATTTGTTGATTAATTTATTAAAATTAATTAATTCTAAAAATTTGTTAGAGGAGTGGTGTAATTTCTACTGGTAATCCATGTCCAATATGCAGAGATGAATATCTAATTCTAGATTATCGTAATATTGATTTAATAAAACAATTTATTTCTGAACATGATGGAAGAATTTTAAATTATAAGTAAGTAAACTTCTTAAAGTTAACAAAAGTTACAGAATATTTATATAATTACATTGTTTTTCTTTTACTTACAGTTATACTGGTCTTTGTCAAAAGGCTTACAAAGATTTACGTGTAGCAGTAACCAAAGCAAAAGAATATGGTTTGCTAACATATGATGTTCCTTTTAGATATTATGATTATTCAGAATGGAAAAATTAATGTGTTAATTTCTAACATATATTTAAGAATATATATATATATATATAATATATTAATATCAAATAAAGCATACAAAATGGATAAAAAAGAAATCAATTGTACATTTGCAATAGTAGGTGGAGGTATAGCAGGAGTATCCTGTGCTGAAAGTATAGCTTTTCTTGCTCCAGAGGAAGAAATAATCCTAGTTACAGCAAGTTCTTTAATAAAAGCAGTTACAAATATGGTTCCACTTGGTAAAACATTAATGCAGTTTGATGTGGAGGAAAAAGACATATCAGTCTTAATGAAAGCACATAATTCATTGAAAATAATTAATGATTTTGTGATAAAGATAGATTGTTTAAATAAACAAGTGGAAACTAGAAATGGAAGAATTATAAACTATAAAATGTTATGTCTGTGTAATGGTGCTAAGCCAAAACTCATAGAAGAACATAATTTTATATTAGGAATAAGAGACACAGAATCAGTTCTTCAACTTTCTCAAAAAATAAAAAATTCCAGAAGAATTGTAATAGTTGGAAATGGAGGTATTGCTACTGAACTTATAAATGAAGTAGATGGTGTTGAAATGATATGGGTAATTAAAGATAAACATATCTCTGCAACATTTGTTGATCCTGGGGCAGCAGAATTTTTCATGGATAGAGTATACAAAACTGATAAACATATATATACTAATGTTAGTTCTTTAACTAAAAGAATGAGATATACTATCTCAAATACTCCAGCTGTAACAGGTGGACCAGCTTTAGGTCCAGATTGGCATAATAATTTTGATATAAAAGGTGTTTTTCTTAAATCTGCAAAAGTACAAATAGAATATGAATGTGAAATAATTAAAATTCTTAACAAATCAGAACAAAAAGAATTTGATCCTACAGAAGAGTGGCCTATATATGTTGAATTAACAAATAAAAAAATTATTGGCTGTGACTTTGTTGTATCAGCAACAGGTGTAATACCAAATTCTGACATAATAGGTTTAGAAGATATAAAAAAAAGTGAAGATGGGGGGCTATTAGTAGATTGGAAATTGGAAACTTCAAAACAAGATATATATGCTGCTGGAGATGTATGTAGTGCAGGGTGGGAATTAGCAAGACATTGGTTTCAAATGAGACTGTGGACCCAGGCACATCAAATGGGTCGATATGTTGCAAAATCGATGGTTTCTAAGTTAAAAAATGAAAAGTTCTTACAAGATTTTTGTTTCGAACTTTTCACTCATGTAACTAAATTTTTTGGTCATAAAGTAGTTTTACTTGGTTTGTACAATGGACAAAAGTTAGATAACAATTATGAGATATTATTACGAATGACTAAAGGAACAGAATATATAAAACTTATACTAAAAGATAGCAAAATGCAAGGAGCAGTATTAATTGGAGATACTGACTTAGAAGAAATGTGCGAAAATTTAATACTTAATCAATTAGATTTAAGTATTTATGGAGAAGATTTACTAAATCCTGATATTGATATTGAGGATTATTTTGATTAACTGTATATAGGAAGTCAACTTAACAAACTTGTATGACATTTCATTAGTTTAGTATTAATTTATCTAGAAAATTATTTAAATTTTGTTTGAGTAATATTATTCTAATCTCACAAATCTTATACAAATTTAATTAAATATTCATATTTTGTATAGATGTGTCTGTATAAATATTACATGAGTGCTTATGAGTAATAAGAAATAAAATGATACATTTATATATGAATATGGCTAAACATATTTTTTTACTTCATTTATCTTTATCTTTAAAGTATATTATTGATGTACGTTTTAGGTCTCTCTCTAAATAGCAATCTTATTTAATTAAATTAACTTTCTTACTAAGTTAAATTTTGTTTTAATTTATCTGTAAATCTTACACTTTTCCTGTCAAAACTTTTAGCTTTATTACGTAAAGTAGATTTTGTTGTTGAAACAAATTTCATATTTTTGGAAACTGCTAAATTTGTGTCAGAATTTTCTGTTACACTATTACTGAAATTCTGGTTAGAAATTATACTTTCATTGGAATATTTATTTGTGTCCTCTATTTCTAAAGTTTCACGTAAGCTACAAATTATACTTTGCATATTATCAAGTGATTCCATAACCGATTGAATTCCGCCATTTTTATTATATAATTTACGTAAAATTTTTGTAGCATGTTCCATTTGAATAAGACATGTATTTATGGTTTCCTGATCTTTAGAAATATCAAACGTTTGGTTAATTAATGTACTTCCAAGTACAGATGTATCTAATGAGAGTTGTTGTAAACTCTCGTTCAAATGCTTTTTTACTGGTGTCATATTTATTGAAATTCGGCTATTATTTAAGGAATCTTCAAAAGTTTCCGTATTTTCATAGGGTTCCCAAGTTTCTTCTGATGTACATAGTTCCTTTAGTGAATCTTCTATATCATAATCTCGTAAACGATGAACCCAATCTAAAAATCGTATTGGCTGCCAAAATGTCTCCTTCATACTATCTCTGTTACGTATACGAATTACTGGTTTTAGACTTTTATTGATAATTATTTGCTGTTGATCAAACTCCTAAAATATGACAAATAAAATTGTATTAAAAAGTATGTACTTTTAATTATTATATTTAATTATTATATTACGCAACAGATACTTACGTAATTAATACCAACTTCTCTGCACCGTTCAGTAGCTTCTCTTACCAATATTTGTGTTTCATGTAGACTAATACCACCATCGCTTATTGCTTCTACACTAGCTTTCATCTTAAGAGCAAATTCAGCATCTGCTGTTCTTTCATTTAAAATACTTTCCAATTCTTGTAAAAAATTAGATTTATATGGTGTAACATTAACTCTCTTTTGATCTAATTGTATTTGTTTCAACCTATTATTTGCCTCAACTTCATTTTCAAGCAATTCTTTTTCTAATTCCAACTCTTTCTTCCTTTGATGAATTTGTTCCAATGCAACCTTCTGCTCTTGAACTGTAGAACCAAGAATTTCAATTTTACGTTCATACGATAATTTTTGCGATCCCAATTGCATTTCAACTTCTCGTTTTGCATTTTCTAATTCCTTTATTGCTTTCTGCTTACTTTCTTCTAGTTCTGCCCTTAATCTATTAAATCAAAAGTAGCACAACGTTAAATACTTTTTAATTATAATTATTTGTTGAATAAGAGGGGCCATTAAAATTTCGTACTTTTCTTCTTGCACTTTCATAATTTCTTGGTGAGCAAATTCATAGTCTACAGCCTGTGCTGAAATTTGTATGTTGCTATGTTCATCATACGGATTTGAGACTTTAAAATAATGATTGCCGCCAATTACTAATCGATCGCCATGTTTTAAAATAACTTTGCCAGTTACCACCTAATAATGATACAATTTAATAATGATATAAATAAAATAATAAGATAATAATAATAATATCATAAATATAAAATAAGTTATACCTGTCCATTCACGAATGTATCTCCCTCCATTTCTGACGATAATATAAGTTTCCCATTACTATTTTCAATAGTACTGTTGAACGCATAAAAAATCGATAAAAGAATGATTAAAATAACTTACACTAAAATATGTATATATAATTGATATATAAAAAACTTCAATTATATTATTTCATATATCTTTCTGTTCAATGTAAGTGCAACTCATAAATATGATGAAAATACAAAATTTGAAATCGCTTGGGAATTATTATACTATGTAACAATAATGAAAAACTGCCATGCAAATTTTTTTTGATCAAATAGATTAATTAAAATATTATTTTAAATAACGTTAAGTAGGTTTAATAGATCGTGAGGAAAGGCTGCGAGGAGCATGCACTGTTAAAAGACAAATAGGCTAAGAGAACAAAGACAACAAGAGAACAAAGTAAAACATTTTCCTGCAACACAATTCATAAGCATCAAGCTAAAAAACGGGGAATTGAGGAAGAAGATGAACACAAGTGTACCGAAACCCGAACAAGCCTAACAAACACATCTTTTCAAATCACCAAACCGCAATCAATCCAATAACTAACCAGTGTAAAGGCCTAACCAGTGGCCCATCCAACATGATATCCAAATGTTCGGAAAAGTTCTGACAAGCAGAACTTCTTCCAATGCGAACAAATCCTGGAGGAATGAGATACAAAAGTGTACCAGATAACATAGGATCGGCCGCGAGATTTATAAGACAAGGTTGCTTATCCTTCTGACGAAAATCAAGTTCGATAGCGATACCACAGCGACGTAAGTACTTTATTTCAGAATTTTTCTTTTCCTCGGTATCCCGTAATTTCATTTGCCAAGTCCTGTAATTACATATAACTAAATATTCAAATATTCAATCAGTAAATATCCTCCGATCTGTTTCTGGTGTAATAGAAATAATAGTATCGTATAATAATAATGAAATAATAATATCGTAGGAGATATATTAATAATGATTAGGTAATTGCTTATTGAAAAAACTTGATCATTCCAAATGATTGTAATTAGCATTTAAAATAGCTAACATTGTTGCTAACTTACATTTGAGAAGTCGCAAGCTGTTCTTCAGTCTTCTTTAATTGATGTCTCAGTTTATCAATTTCTTGTTGTTTCTGTTTGATTTCATCGTTACTTTGGTTAACCGGTTCAAGGGAATCGAGAAGACGATGTGGAAAAATTCCAAGTTGCTTTTCGTACCCTTCGCGAACACCACGTAATCGCAATACTTCCGCTTTCAATTCCCTAAGAGAAAGAACACAATTTTATTTAAAATTAACAACTTTGGTTAGGTTTATCATAAACTAGAAAAAAATTATATCGATAATATTTGACGATGTTCTTTTGTTTTTCTACTCCGAAGCATTTTCTTTCCATTTAATCTACATTAATCCATCAAGGATTTCTATATTGAATATGATAATCTGTGCGAATTATTAGTTATCCATTTATAAAACATGTATTACCGGATTAATTTATCATGTGGGTCTTCATTAATTCGAATACGATTAACAATAGCTCGAGCTTGACAAGCATATCGGAGCGTTGCAAGCGTCTCTTCTACGTGTATATTAGCCGGTGATACAGTTCCAAGCATTGCTGTTCTCGAGTTTCCTCCGAGACTTTCCTAATATGTTTAAAAAAGAAAATTTGATTGTTTTTAATAAATATAAGAATAGGCACGGTCTCCAAATAAAAAACAAAGCGAAGTCATTGAACTGCATAAGATTTAATTAAACGAGTGTGAAATCTCAGTTGTATTGATTTGTTGTAATTAATTTTAAAATTTAACTTTTACTGTAAAAGGAATGATGTTGTTACCTTTGCATTTTGTACATCATCCGTTTTATCAAACTTAATTCTTCTCGATTCTTTTGCGCATAAATAATTATTATCAGTATCTTGCGTGATAAGACAACGCAAGTCCAATTAAAAGCTATCGCGGTTTAATCTTTCTTAAGTAGTACTTACTTCGTTATCGATCGCACTTTGACGTTTATGTTTTTAATGTTATGATATTTTATATAAAAGACGTTATCTTGATCGATTAATAAATAAATATTAGATAAAATATGAATAAGTGGATAAGTCGTCACTGAACAGCGGAAAAAATCTCACATACCTTTATCTCTGACTCTTTTTATTATTTAACAACATCTGTAGATCAATATCTTCACGACGGAATTTTCGCATTGCTAATTATGATTGAGATATACATTTATATCGATATGTATCGATAACTAATCAGAAATTATTATTGAGATATATATGTATCGATAACTAATCAATAAGTATCGAACAAAATCAAATATTTTTAAAAATTTCGTTGTAAAATACTTTTTTTTCCCCATCTCAATGAAAGATTCTAAACAACATAATTATAATAATGACAAAAAAATGTATAGATAAAATATCTGTTACAGTTCTTTGTATAATTTATTCCTTTATTTAAGATAACAAAACATACTTTTTATTTTAACTTCATATCTTTCCTCAAAGTTCGATAAGAATTTAATTACAGTATATTTGATATTATTAGTAAATGAAATTTTTTATTTTTATTCATAGTTTCTGTTATTTGAAAAAAAGAAATTTATGGTATACGATTACTTCGTAAAGAAATAAAATTTTCACGTACACACTCCATTCAGCAATTATTAGATTGTATTTATTACTTCGAGAATATTGAAGTTTAAAACAGGTACTGACTATCTTGTTTCCACAAGAAAATAAGATTGTCGTTAAAAAAAATTAAATAAACTATACTTCAACATTCCTCTCTTTTTTTCTTGTAATTGTATTATGTGATTGATAATGTTCGAGTAAATTATCGCTAAACTTGCGCTAATAAAAGATAATCTCTTATATCATAGAGTTTTTTACGTTTTTTTTTTAAGCTTAGCCTTTTACGATATACTATTTATGATATACGCAGCTTTTGGTGCATCGCAAAATAAACACTGGCTAATTTTATTGTAACCATACACATATAAATATATTACATATAATTATATTATTATTTATATACATATATATTATATTATTTATATACATAAAGTGCATATAAATAATATATTATATTATTTATATAAATAAAGTGCATATAAATAATATACATATATATTATATTATTTATATACATAAAGTGCATATAAATAATAATAAAAAAAAAAAACAGTGTAGATAATTGAAATTGCAGAAAAAAAATTTAACGATCAAGCAATATCTTTATCACTACAAGAAATAGACTGCTGTTGGATTTATATAAGAATAGATATTAAAAAATTCGAGGGACAATGTCATAGATGAATAAGCATGGAAAATGCGTCGAACAATTATAAACTCCGCCAGAAATTCGCAAAGGTGATTGGAGGAAAAGGAGGGGCAAAGTGTTCAGTTGAAGGGCGCGCGGAGAAGAGAGAAGAGACAAGAACTCGATGGAGAGGGAATAACCGACTCGTAAACATTGCATGCTCAGCGTCCGTACTTCTTCAGTTTAAAGTAAAACACCGTAGTAATTCGAGCACAACCTTGTCTTGAGGCTGCCGCATTTTCTTCTCTTCTGAATGTGTGATATTACGAACTATTCGATCGCTAACTAATAAGTTTTTTCGCAACCGGTAAAAGAGAGAAAACCGGAAGCAACGAAAACCAACAGATCTCACTGGTAAAACGGGTTTTAGCGGGTTTAACAACTTATCAGTTTCTTTAGAAATCGAAAAAAGATAACAAAGAAGAAAGATATAAAACACGGAAACTCAAATAAATTTCTATTAAGAAAAGAAATTCTAAGTCTAATTATTCTCAAAGGTATCACAAGATAGAACGATGGATTTAGTCTATGTTCCCGCAGCCATGAACTACAGTGACTACAGAAATTATCAGTATCCAGACTTCGAGCAGCCGTGGAATGAAGATTATTTTAATTGTGGTAAGTTTTAATCATATGTAAATTATTTTTTATGTATTCACATGTAACAGCTTGAAATAACATGCTTGTTAAAAATGAGAAAAAAGAGAAAAAAAGGAAAATAACAGATAACATTGACAATGTGGCGACAATTGGTTTGTTTCGTTTTTCCTAAATTTTAGACGAATCAAATTTTTATTAATTAACATTATGATAATCAATACTTCTTTTTTTATCGTAATTTGAATATCGTATCAATTTATCGACGTAATTTAACTATCATATCAAATATTATCATTGCTATTTGCACACTATTGAATGAAACTATTTAGATGATCTACCTAATTATTCAATTCGATTTAATTACTATTCTTTGCTGTTATGCAATTAACTTTCTCTTTTGTGTTTCATTCATACAATATCATCATACTAATTACACATTAATGATTAATTTAATATTTATATAAGCTATCGTTTTTTATCACTTAGTTCCCATACTTAAATATTTCAGTTTGCGATGAATAGATACAACCTATCTGTACCAATATTACAAGTATATTTAAATTGATTCTTGTTTTCAAACATTAATACATGTGCGCGTATTCGTTTACATCGTATATTCGTACAATCGATATACCTCAACAAATACCTTCCTTCTTTTTCAAAGTAAAACAAAAATCGTGATAGGAATGATCGAAATACCAATCAATTAAACGATTTAAAATTATTAGAAAAGCAAAAAAATTAAACAAAAATCACCGATTACATAAAATTATTGTGATTTATTTATCGATGGACCGGCATATTAATTAATAATCGAATTAACATGATAATAACGAATTCAAATTTTATCGAAAGATGATTTTTATATTCTTAATCGATGCCTGTGCATATGTATAAGAATAACTTTCAGATATTTCTGTGCAACGTAGTTGCCCCTCCTTTTGCGTTATCGTCGTGGAGAAGTGGTTGCTCGAAGGCAGTCCTCCGCATTATTTATCATATATTAAGCTCTGAAATTATTATCGTATTTTACACACAACGTAAAATAGTGGGAATTTAAAAAAAAACTCATATTCTATTCCAATGAGTCAATTGTCTTAATCGAATCTTGAAAAAGCGGTAAAAGCAAATAATCATATAAAATGCACGTAAGTTGTATATTTTTTTAAAATTTAACCAAACAAAAAAATGATCAAAACAAGTTAGATTGCAAATATGAAAAGCATATTTACAATTGTTACAATACGAATATATGAAGGCTGTAATATAATACGCACATGATCAATTTCATTCTAATACATGTAATATGTATAATAGTGTTGTAATTGTCGGGTATATAATTATTTATATTTTACTATTACTAATACTTTCCTTATTGAATAAAATGCTTCAGTACACACATTTATATATGCACGCAAATCTAAAGATATTTTTTAAAACTAGCATGACTCATTGATGAGAACAGATAGAATACCGAAAGGTAAAGTACAGTAAATACACAGAGATCCTTTATTCTGTCTGTAATAACAGATCCTAAATAAATATGTAAGTACAGGAATAACCCATGACTTGTACAGAATTTGTACGTTTCGTTCATTTACGGTCAAATTTACAATCGAAATTAGCGTGACTCATTAACGAGAACGAACAGAATGCCGAAAGATACAGAGATCCTTTATTCTGTTTGTAATAATAGATTCTAAATAGATATATAGGTACAGGAATGATTCATGACTTGTATAGAATTTGTACGTTTCATTCATTGAATTTACAATCGAAACTAGCGTGACTCATTAAGAAGGCCAAACAGAATGCCGAAGGGTACAATAGATGTACAGAGACCCTTTTATCCCGTTTGTACTAACAGATTCTAAATACATATATAAGTACAGGAATGATTTATGAGTATAATTTGTTAAGAATTGAACCTAAAAGGAAAAAGGGAAATTAAACTAAAGTAGAATACAAGGGAAAGCTTAATCAATAATAAGATCTGTATTGAATAAAAGAAAAAATCTAGTGATTCTTTATTAATTTTATTTACGAAAGATTACTGATGACTTGATTTTCAAATTTTTATCTTGCATGATTATTTCTTGTTATTACAATTTAATAATTTTCACAATAAGAGTTTTCCTTAAATAAATAAAGAATAAATACGAAGGGATATCGTGAAGTTTATTACGTTACTTCATTTATGAGAAACAATTATATCTTTTGGATTGAGAACGATGACTTAAAAACCACGAGTTAGGGCTACGTGCAGTAACGCACGAAGATATCTTCCGAAAAATCGCGAAACCTTGACCGATATTAACATCGAAAATATATAATGGAAACATAAAATTATTTTTCAGGAAAGTCAAGGCAAGTTCATTCTCAACGATCGCTACATCATGAACAAAAAGTACATTCAAAAAAAAATTGTCATTTGTGTCGAGAAAATAAAAGAAGAAGTCTTGCGACTTATATAAGAGAAAAATCGCGAAGAGATTCTTGCCAGGAAATTCACGAAGAAGAAGAATATAACTGCGAAGACACTATAGAAGAGACCGTGAAAACTGATGATAAAACATCAGAAAAAGCTTCGGAAAATAATAAATATTTGGAAATCAATAACACAACGAAAAACCCCAAATAAATACAGAATATCTAGAGTTATTTCATAATTTTAATATGATTTCAAGAAATAAATTTATATCCTATTTAAGGATATAAATTATATAGAACAGTGTAATATCTAATCTGTATGATACATTTATTTTCTAATTCGAAATCTTAACTTTTAGATGTTCTTTTTTATAAAACGAAAAATTTTGAATTCATATTTATATTCGCAGCAGTTACGTATATTTAAGATATGTATAATGCATAATTTATTTCCGTATTATTTTATTATAAAGTTTACCTTCTCTGCTATTTGAAATAATGCATAATCTATTAACTTTTAAAAATAATATTAAAACTAATATTTTTTTATGTCTTTATAATTTAATAAAAATTTCTTTTTACTATTATTTCATAAAATTAATAATTTCAGTATTATTTTAAATGATTTATACATTGAAACATTTTATATAAATACTTCAAAGAATCCACATAAATTCTAACAATACATTTGTATTATATATATCAATAATCCAAAATTGTGGAGCAATTAATAATGTTGTAAATTAAAATTTAGCAAAACTAATAATTGCATTTATAGTTGATAGAAGCTGCATTAAATTATTTGTATATGATGTAATGTTGTTTTAAGACAGCATAAAAATATTAATATTAAAAAAAAATTAGTTTTTTATGAACATTCAATGAGGAATTGAATAATTTGTAAGACTGAATATATACATAAAATTATGTAGAAAACTATATCTTCAAAAAGAAAATGAACCTAACTTAAATTTTCAGTATATTATATAAAAAAATAAGTCAAATAAGTCAAATAATAATTGTTTATGTATGGATTATTATTACAATATTCAATGACTGTGTTACAGCAAGAAACTTTTTAATGAAGATTCAATAAAAAAAAGACTTATTTATTTATATAGAATTTCATTTTAATGATTTAATAACACTTACCTTCAGTAGCCATGTAAGAACGGATTCACGGTATGGAACAAAACCTCGTTTACGATTACTTGTGTTTTCAGCTAGAGATGCGATTACTTTTCCCAATGTAAGCAACGATTTATTGATAGACACTCCTTCCTATGGAATATAATTGATTTTATTATTATATGAATAAAACTATTAATATTAATATTAATATAATTTTAATATTATATGAATAAAACTATCAGAGTATAAGTAATTAAATATAATATGATATACCTTTAATCTATCACCACTTGCACAAGTTTGACTTAATCTTTCGCTACCAGCTAAATCCACTAAATTAATTTTACTACGACGACTAGCATCCATAGATTCACTATTTAATTGATTATTTATTTGAGTTTGTGTTAATATAATACTAAATATACTATGAGATCTCGAACTCTTTTCATTCATTCCAGTTGCTGCTGTAGCTCGTTGTGAATTGCCTACTTTGAGCCAAGTCTAAAAAAAATGTATTTATGACAATAAAATAATAGACAAATAATTTTACAACAAACGCAACTGATATTATAAACATACCTGTAAATCTTTGTAATTTTGTACACAATGTTGACTTAAATCAACAATATATGGCCCAAATACAGGATGTTCCCTTACTTTAAGAGGAGCTCTTTTTATTCCATTCGTAACATTTGTTAAAAGATCGTGTATTTTTTCATTATAAATTTCAAAATAACTAATTTCTACTATAGTTTTAGTATTCATATTAGTAGATGTCCTTGTAAATATTTCTTGACAAAATCTTGGAATAATACCAACTGCTTCATTAATTGATATTGTATTAACTTGAGCAGACTCTTGGCCCATCATGCTATAACTTTTACCAGAGCCTGTTTGTCCATAAGCAAATAAACACACATTGTATCCTTCAAAAGCATTTTGCACCAATGGTAAAACCATATTTTTAAACACAATCTCTTGGTTAGCATATCCAGATTCTGATGCATCCATTTGTGACATAAAACAATGATCATATGTGAAAGTATGTTGAACAGAGTCACAAGTGACAATAATATTTTGATCATTTACTTGAATAACTGATGTAATTTTTGAATCATTTAATTCTCTAAAATAATAAAAAATAAAAAAATATTAGGTCATAGTATTATTCAATACAAATGTTTTGGTACAAGAAATTTAATCACTTACTTTGTGTTCAAAGGTCTAACACGTATACCTACAGTTAAATTGCTATTTTCTTCTTCATATACTGTTTGATCTTCAATATTAATTTCGTTTAATTTACTACATGGTGTCTCAACTTGTACAACATTAAAACAATCAGGTGTAGCTTGTGATAAAACATTCTCACTAAAATAACGTTTCACAGGTGTTTTATTCAAAGGTAAGATATTTATTTTTGCACTACTTGTACTAGTATGAATTTTATGTTGTTTGGGAGTATAAGGGTGAATAGTCGAAATTTTTTCATTCAACGAAGTTGTCGATACTACTTTTGTACAAGTTTTATACTTTGAATCACATATTGCATGTTCAGGAAATAAAACTTGTTTTCTTTGGAATATATTTACAAATTTTGGACGAATTAGATTTGCAGCACAAGGTGTATTTGTTGATTTTGAATTTTCAATATCGTTGTCAAGTAATATTTTACGTTTTTCAAGTTTTAAAGATTTATTTTCATTAGGATTTTGAATTCCTCTTTGAGGTGTATCAAGTACATCAGAACATATTTCTTCCCTATAGAAAAGTGGAACAAAGAATATATATATTAACTTTTATATATTTTTTTAACGTATTACGAATACTTACTTCTCATTTTGATAATTTATATTCTCTTTATCGAAATTAATGGGTGAACTTGAAAAAATGGCATCGCAAAATCCATGTCCCATAGATTTTAGAGTATTATGTGACATGATAAAGGAATATGTCAAAACTTCTAAACACCATCAATACAAAAATTTCTTTCCCTTTTGATTAACCTCTTCAAATTCCGTTCTTTGACAGTTCACGTGGACTATTTGAAAGAGTGACCGCCAGTTTATATTCTTTGTAACGAATTTTTTCGTAACAACGACGCAAAAATAAAATAAACTTCATACAAAATTATATCACACTTAATATTTGAATATAACATCAATTATTCATACATTAACAACAGCATGAGTTTAAAATTGATTAATTTGTTAACATTTTAATTAAAATACAATATCTTAATTATTGTTACAAACATTTTTTGAATTTTAAATATATAAACTGTCAGAATAGCCAATATTAACAAATCAATGCTGCCAACGTTAAGATGTTTTTTTTTTTAAAGAACCAGATTGAGTCTTAAATCTTGACAAACACAAACCTTTGACGTGGCCACAATTTTTTTAATTCTGTTTAATACCATAACTATAACGTAAAAGTTCTTACACTTCAATGCACGGATGTTAAGATTACACCAGCAACAATACATAAACCATTTGTGTTTCAATAAGTCTGTGCAAAATTATAGAAATAACCACAATGACAGAAGATAACCAACGAAAGAGCCATACGAATAAATGGATTTTACGAATAGCACTTGGCACATTTTTGCTGCTTATACTTTTGAATTTGCCAACTCTTTGTCAAACTCATGATCACGGCGAATCACGAAGTTTCAAATATTCCAAAGAAGCTAATGAAGTGTATTTACAAAAGCAACAGTCTATATATCATAACGAAATTCTATATCAACATAAACATGAAGATGATAACTATGACCATCAACAGAAATCAGTTTTGCCTGACAGGACTTATAATAAAGTGTTTTTTAGAGCTACTGTATCTACCTTAATCATATCAGCAGCACCATTTCTTATTTTATTCTTTGTACCTTTAGATAATACTAAAGAATGTGAACCACTACTAAAAATATTATTAAGTTTTGCATCTGGTGGTTTATTAGGAGATGCATTTTTACATTTAATTCCTCATGCTTTGCTTCCTCATGCACATGAATCTCCTGAAGAAGTACATTCGCATTCACATTCTCATAATAAAGGCGAAGAAGAATCAGAACATGGACATGATATGTCTGTTGGTTTATGTGTATTATTAGGCATCATCATGTTTTTAATTGTTGAAAAAGCAGTGAGAATTATTAAAACTGACCATGGTCATGTACATGTGCATAAAGCCACAGAAAAGCTATCAAAAGAAAATAAAAATGATAAAAAACTATTAAAAGATCTTAATAAATCTGATGTAGTCTCTAAAGAAAAAAAAGCAGAAAGTTCTCAAAGTAAAATAAAAATTGCTGGTTATTTAAATTTAGTTGCTGATTTTTTACATAATTTCACAGATGGTCTTGCTATTGGAGCTAGCTATTTAGCTGGTAAAAATATTGGGTATATTACCACATTTACAATTTTGTTACATGAAGTACCTCATGAAATAGGAGATTTTGCTATTTTAATACAAAGTGGTTATAGTAAAAGAAAGGTAAGATTTCAATTCCAATACAATTAGCAAGATAGAATTATATAAGATAAGAATTATACAATATGATTTTGATTTTAGGCCATGATGCTTCAGCTTATAACTGCAGTAGGTGCATTATTAGGAACTTGTATATCATTACTTGCAGAAGGCATAGGTAAGAATAAGTTGCAATATATTAATTCAATTTTAATAAATGTTATACTCATTTTAAAATTTAACATTATAGGTGATATTGCAACTATGTGGATTCTTCCATTCACAGCTGGAGGATTTATTTATATCGCTACAGTTTCTGTAATACCAGAACTTTTGTCCGATACTAGTTTTAGACAGTCTGTAAAAGAAATTATTGCGCTTCTTTTAGGTGTATATATGATGGTACTTATAGCAGAATATGAATAATTTTGTATTGCATTTTTCTTTAAGCATATTGTGATCACTTAGTAAGAATTTATTTGACTGCTATAATAAGAACTCAAAATTAGAATTTATATTTTTACAATATTGTAATTATATTATTTAACGGATACTAGTAAGTATTCTAATATGTTGTAAAACAAATACCAGTGAAAATAATACTGTATAACTAACACAAATGTTAGCATTATGTGGAAAAAATTTAATACATTTTTAAGTATCATTCATGTCATAAATAATTCTTATTTCAGAAGAAATGATACGCATATACTCAAACATTATATATATATAATATATTTTTCGCAAATGTACTACATCTTTATTTTTACATACCATTTTATATCCAACCATTTTTATGAACATTGTCTTTAAAATTTTATTTATATTATAAAAAGATATACTCTTTACATCTATTTATTTTTTTATATGAAATAGATATGTAAATTATAAATTTACGAAACATAAGGTAAACATCGTATATTTTCTATAAGAATTATACCTTTATTTAAAAAGGAAGTAAAAGTTTGTAAAATTACGTTTATTATATTTGGTAATTTTTATACACATAGAATTATTTTTCTCTTACTTTGCTAATTAATTCATAAATAAAATGAGTAATAAATATATTATAAGTACATTTTTAATAATTTAACTAAATCTAAATACTGCAACTTGATATTTGCACATATATTATGCTATCAGACTTTCTATTTGTTCAAGACATTTTTTAGCTTCTATTACACCTTTATTGTCATTTCTAGCTTGTGCTAAATATTTTCCTTCATTACAATTTTTTTTTGCTTCTTCAAAAAGTCCTTTTGAAAAAAATGCATTTCCTAAATTGACATGAATGGAACTTAATTCAACCATACCTGGTAACTTTTTTCCTATAAAATATAATAATTCAGTTTAGAACAATTCAAATATAACAATATTATATTTATATTACCTAATTCTGCGGCTTTAGACAAATATTTAATAGTGTCATCATATTTTTGTAACATATAACACACACTTGCTAAGTTATTCAATAAAATAACAGTTTGTTCATTTTCTTCACCATTTATTTTTATGGATATATCATAAGCTTGAGTGAAGTATTCAAGAGAATTTTTATAATCAGATTGTGAAAAGAGCATAGATGCATACTTCTCTAAATTTAAACCTAACAATTGTAGTATATCTTCATTTTCATTGTCTTTAGCCAAATGATTTTGTAAGTGTTGCAAACAAAATTTGTAACCAGTGTTTGCTTTTCTATATTAACAAAGTTACATATTTTATAATATTAAATCATCAAATATTACATTTTATAAGAAAAAAAAATTTTTAAATAACTGATACTACTTATATGATTGCTTACTCTATATCTCTTGTTTCGTTATATAAATCAGAAATCTTAAGACTAATATGAATGACTGCTAAATCATCCTCTGGAACTCCTTTAGCTATTAATCTCTGTAAAACTAATTTAAATAGATCTTTTGCTTTTTCATAATTATTTATATCATATGCTAAATTTGCCATTACATCATATACATAAGTTATACCATCATAATGTTGCAAAATTTGTGCTTGTCGCAAAGCAACATGTAGCATTTTCTCTGCCTTTGAAAATTCCTTTTTCTATAAAATTAAAGAATTATTATAAAAATTAAATAAATAAAAGGTTTGCATTCAATATAATAGCGCAAAAAGCTTAACACTTTTATATTGTTAATCTAACCTGAATTAATAAAATTGATCTTTTAATTGTCGTTATTAATTCTTCAACACCATTTTTTTCTTCTTTAGGAAAAAATAAATTAAATAAAAAACCTGATATAATGTAATCTCTAGTATTTTTCCGTTTATTAGTACTACAATTGTCTTTTATCTTTTTAATTTGTTGCAAATATGTCATAAACATATTCTTTCTTTGATTTAATGAACAAATATTGGCAAAAGCACTAGATCTTGTACCTATTAGAAAATGTCTTAATGTATTCACAATTAGCTTTTGACAATACATTATGTTGAATTGTGATTGTTTCGATGTAACTTCGTTACAATACACTATATATTAAAAACAAAAAACCTATACACTTCTTACTATGTAATTGCTTGATAATTTATATACGTATATGTGTAAATAATTACATTTAAATTCCAGTAATGTTGTGAAAAACAATTGTTTTGAATGAACATGTACCGTTCTCAATTTTACGTACATACATATATTCAAATTTGTACATTGCAAAATAGCAGCAAATAAATTAGCAATCAATTTAAATTAACACACATTACGTATAACTAGATATATCACATATAGGAAACTATACCAAAAACGTATGTAATGTTATAAAATACGACATATTATTACATTAATTAATATCTGTAATTGTCTATTTACATAGTATTAAGTATTCCAAAATAAATAAAGGTGTATATATATATGCACTTTTATAATAAATTATCATACATATAAATATATGTACATTATTGTACAATGTCGTTATGCTATTCTTCGCCCCACCCTTGTTTTTCGTATAGCAATGCTGCACACCTTGATTTCGTGCATTACGTACCTTTTCACCTTACGGATATGAGATAGGTCATATTACAACAGGTAAGAAAATTTCAAGTGTATCATTTTCCAATATACAAACATCAGATATGAAGTTTACATATCTGTATATACGATATTATCTTCGTTAAATTAATGATAAGAATTGTATATAAATATTTTTTCGAACTTTGGTTTAGTATTTCGCACTTTATATGTGTTTAATATCTTTTTAACTTCGTTGAAACTTTATTATCATGTTAATTCAGTAACAAGTTGATAGACTTAATATTTTTTATTTTATATATTTCAGTTCATGTTTAAATTATAAATTATATATCCATAAACACTCACAATTTTTTAAAAATTACTGTTTAATAATATTTCTTACCATATTTAATATATCTTGCAAATATACATATGTTTTAATGTATTTTAATATAAATATTAATTTAATGTATCAATTATTAAATAAAGACATTCTATAAATTAATGAAATATAAAATATAAATATTCAATATTTTTAAACATGTATTACATATATGACTTGCCCTTTTTTTTATTATTTACTTAGTGAAAATGAGCTCACAAGATACAACTGACCATGTGTCAGCAATTAATTCACCTAATATATCTTCAAGAACAAAAAATTGGGTCCAATTTGAAGATGAAGCACCTTCTAAAGATAATAATAGTATAGAAGAAAAAGTTAAAATAAATGCGCCAGCTGTAATAAAACCAGAATCAATAACAGTAAATGTTGAGAAAATTGGAAAATCTGTTGATAAGTCAGATAATCAACAAACAAAAAATCATGAATATAAAGGTGCTGTGATATCAACTGAATCCGTCCAGATTAACTTAGATAGGTCAGGTTTAAGCCGTTCTATTACATCTGGAAGTCCAGATCTAAATTTACCATCTGAAGTAAGAGTTTCTGATCCTAAAAGTGCTTCTTTGAAGACTATTGATCTCCGAGACATATCTAATGGCAGAAGTACTACCAATAATATTATAAGTACACCTATTGGAAACATTAGACAAGGTTTTGCTAATGGAGATACTATAGTTACTCTTTTACCAGTTAACACTAGATGGCCATGGATTACTCCAGCTAAATTTCGTCCAGAATTAGTACCAGAAGAATTAATGGCTCAAGGTTTAACGGTAAGTGTCTAATTACATTTTATTTGATTTGCATTTCCTCATTTTGTTTATATATTTTCCTTCATTTGTAAAGTTCGTATATTTGCTCTTATATATGTATATTATGTATAAGCTGTTGTGTTGAACCATTACAGCTTACAGTAGAGGACTACGTACATATAATGGAACTGCTTGTAAACGATGTACGTTTTAATATGTACAATGTATGCTACAAAAGGATTCTTGTCCTTTGGATATTTACTGCATTTATTGTATTGCTTGGCTTATTGTTTTCCGGAGTAACTGGTCTTACTTTATTTGGACTTGGTGTCATGTGGTTAGTCCTCAATGCTGCTGCAATATTTTTTTGCATGTTCATCAAGATAAAATTAAATCACAATCTTGAAAAATGTATGGGTCAAGTGAACAAGCATTTACTTCGGCATAAGATATTGCTTGGATTAGACGATAGGGGGAAGATTTCATGTCACAAAGTCAATCTGTGCTTCATATACTTTGATACAACAGATTGTATTGTAAGTGCAATTAAATATATACTTAATTTACACAGTCAAGCTTAATATCACTGCCAAACAAAAATATTATTTTTCAGTTGAAATTAAAAAGTTTGTTAAAAAATTAGTTATATTTTGTTATACTTATATGATATATTCAAGAATTGATTTTATTTTATACCAGAAAAAGTTACAAGAAGTTATAGAACGTGAAGAACGTGAAGGAAGAGTAATTGGTGAAGATGGAAATTCTGAAATGCGTCGAAAAAGAGAATTGCAACAGCGAATGGATATAGATGATAGTGATATTGTAATACAAGGCAATACAACCACCAGAATTTCTCGTAAACAGGTATGAAACTTTTATTTCAGGTAATTATACTATATAAGTTATATTTATTTAATTTAGATTTTCTATAATGTTTGATATTTGTATAAATCATATTTTATATTTTATAAAAATGAGCTTAATTGTAAAAATCAAATTATTGTAATTGATTTTACAACATTTTATTTTTTGTGTGTGTGTGTGTGTATATATATATATATATATATAAATAATTAGGGTAAAAGCGAACAAGTATTCTGCCGCTATGTACAACGTTGGGCAAAGGATTATTTACGTCGCCGATTGGATTGGACAGTAGACGAAGAAGGTGGAAATCCTTCTTCACCTCGTCACTTAGCATCGGCTTTATGTCCATGTCAATATATAGAAGAATGGTTACGTAATAAGCCTCATGTTCAAGGCAGAGATTTCTGTCCTAGCTGGAGTAGTTTTCTTAAAGATAGAGGCATTTAAAGCAAAATCGTTGAATACGTATAAAAATGGAAAACAGTATTGAAAACATTCAAAGCAATTTTGATAGATTTAATAAGTTTATTTTTAAACTTATTGAAAAATTATTCTGATAGTAGGATTTTTAGACATCTACATTAAAAAAAAAAGATATTTTAAAAATCAAAGAATTTAAATAGATTTATAGCTATATTGAAACTGGATGAATAATCAAAATTTATATTAATAAAAACTAGTAAAAGTAAATCATATAAAATATGAAAATTACTTATAATTATGTACTTAACTATACAAGATTTTCATTTATGACAATATTAATTGCAATTAAGTTTACATACCATATTAATATATGAAATATTTTTTTAGCATTATTTTTTGGTGATTTGGTGATTATTAATGATATATACTTAGTATTGTTTTTTCTTATTTTTGTTGACTAATATGATATTAAACATTTATTATTGAATTTCATATTTGTATAAAACTTGTGTATTATTACAAGCTTTATTTTTAATATTTCACATTGTTAAGGTCAAGGATGGATGTAAGGAACGCGTTCCTCTGGCTTTGTCTCTACAATCAGGGTCAATAAACGTATAAACATAATGTGAGGGCAGTATTGTTAAGCCCATAAAGTAATTGCAAATATTCTATGGGACTGACCTTGTCCAATGGTGCCTGTTAGTCAAAAATGACTTACCTTCTCTACGTGATTTATTACGTTGATTTTTGGCTACCGAGGCACCGTTTGGTAAGGTCAGTCCGATAGGGTAATATTTGCAATTACTTTATGGATCTAACGGTACTGCCTAGGGATGCGTCCCTCATATTATGTTTATATGTTTATTGGCCTTGGCTGTACGACTAGGAACACGTCCCCTACATCCACCCTTGACCTTAACACATACAATTGTACATAGTATTTAAATTAAAATAATTCAGAATTGCAAGCTTGATATAAGTAAGAAACATGTAAAATGGTTAATGGTAAAACGTTTTTTGAAACAAGACATTCTGTTATGCATTTAATTTGATAAAATTTTATGTATTTAATAGATTTTTTAAGTTAATGAATGAGTTGATTATTGATACATAGAAAAACGGATTTATTTTATTGCTATTACTTCGTCTCTAGGTTTCTGATGATGGTATGTGTTGACAGGAACGGGCGGAGTTGCTGTTGCTGAGGTATGCATCTCGATGGGCACATCACTTTGTGCGCCGCAGACTTGATCTGGTTATAGACTCACAGGAACGTAATAGAGACATCGCAGGTTTATCTGTACCACCACGACATTGTGTCTCCGCCCGTTGTCCTTGTCAATTCATCGAGGACCATCTTAAATACAAGCCTAGAGGCAAGTTAATATTTCGTACGTTTTTCTTGATGCCGAACTTTAGTGGTAAATAGCTACAATTAATCATTTTATAATTATGATGTAATCAACTCGAAATACTTTTTATTTTATATATATGAAAAAACTTATGTTCCATTATGTAAAGAAACAACAAATTGAAATTAATTAGTATTATAAACTTAAGTAAAACAAGTAATTACTATCACTAGTAACAATCATACGTATATACGTATTTATATAAAATTTGAGTTTCTATAATATTATTTCTATATATATTATTTCTTTTAATAATATGAGATTATTAAAAATTTTTATTCATGTTATATTCTTGTTATATTCTTCAATGTATTATTCATGTAATGAAAATTCATATATTTTATATATGATCAAAATTTCTAAGTTATTTGTTTCATTTTGTTTTATTTTTAACTAATCCAAATAACATTCACCATTTTACAAAATACAGGGATACATTATATTAAGCACAAAAAAGTGATAAAAGATTGTTAATACTTAAAAAAAAAATTATAATCATTCCATTATTGTTACATTATTTTTTACAAATCAAATTATTTTAAAATTCTTAAGACATTTAATACACGCTTTTATAATTATAATAAATTTTATAGAGAAATTATATATATTATATATGTGATTTTACATAAATTTTCATATAGTAATATTGGAAAATTATATACAAATAATTAATGATTAAGAGGAATTTGAATCATAAAATTGGATATTTATTGTATTATTAAAAAAAAGATAAGCCCAGTAATCATTTTAAGTTAAGCCACTTTACTCATTTGCAGAAATGATATTAAAACAGCTTAAAATAACTTATAATAATTGCGAATAATTGATTGTTATAAATGTTGTAAAAAATACAACAATGAACTTATATATTTCTGAATTCCGTCCTAATACATATCGACGCATTATGTAAAAAATTAATATATTGTATACTTTTATATTCCGTTTAAAAAATACTTAATATCTATAAACGAACAGAGCTGTTCTACTTTTATATAACAAATGTAAAGCACTTTTATATATATTATTGTTACAGATGTTATAAATAAAGATAAACACATAATATATATGTTTCTTTTGGTGGAGGTAAAATTGTAAAAAACCTTGTCATTAAAGTAAATTAATTACTTCATGCAAGTCTTTTGTTTAGTCTTAAATGTCTAAATATACCTTATGTGTATAAATATTTTTCTAAAACATAGGTATTTGTCACTAACCATTGACTAATCCAGGGATGTTACTTGCATGCAGCTGGACAAAAGGCAATACATTTTGATATTTCATTTGAACCACATTTTGTGAGCACATGAAAATCATTCATAGTATAGCTGTAAGTATTGCTAAATCTAAATTTTTATCATATAACATGCTTAAATAAACACAATGTAGGTAATTGTTTTGTATATTTATGCATATACTTACATTATAATTATAAAAAAATTATAACATACATTCTCTGTTTTAAATACATTTTTAATTATTTCACTTTATACTTTTAATTTCTAAATTAAAGATATTAATTTAAAATTTTGTGCATGATTTTTTCAGGGTATCCACCTGGCTTTACATGGTGTGCTTATCTTAATGATCCATTAGTTAGATATGATATTTCTACAGGTATATCTAATTAACAATGTCAATCAGTGAATTATGCACAATAATATTCATTAAGGTATTTGTGAAGAAGTCACATTAATATCTATTATTCTACTTTCTGAATGATTGTTAGTATATTTGAAACATAAGCACAACAAAGTTCATATCATAGTAATCTTGAAAATCAGTTACAAAAAGTATTCTTGTACTTTGATCATTCCAAATAATGAGAAAATAAGAAACAAAATATTTTTAAAAAAATTAGAATTGTTTTATATTCTAAAATACATATTCAAATATTTATAAAGTATACATGTCACAAACATAAATGGAATTTAATTAACAATATTTACTATTCTAACTGTAGTGCCTTTTAACTGCCTATGACTATTACAATGGCCTTATCATATAAAATATGTAAAAATTAAAATATAAATAAGATTAAATTAAAAAGACATACAATTAATTGTATTTATCAAATTATTCATGTAGCATACATATATATACATTTATATACATATATACATACATAGATATAAAAATAATATAAAAAAATTATATGTAATACTTATTTTTGTAAGAAATTATATATGTTGTAATAGAGGGTACTAATCTTTTGTACAAAAAGTATCTAAATTAGCTAATTTTTATTACATGACATTGTATGATTATTATATAATTATTATCCGATATTAACAATTAAGACAATATTAAGTTTAAAATAATTATACACTACAATTTCCTTTATAGAAGGAATTAATCAAATAACTGCAATATAATTTATAAATATAAAAGATTTATGTTATTAATGCAGCTTGTGCTTGTTTTTTAATATTATCTGCGAGTTTTTTTATTTCTTCATTATCAGTCTTCAGCTGTTGTCCTCTTTCTGTAATAGTAGTTTCCAAATATCTTAACTGTTGTTTTATATTTAAATACATTTTGACTTTCTGATAGGTATTAGAAAGATTTGTGTTGAATGGATGTTCTCCAGAAAATTCACCTAAAAACAAAATTTTCATTTTTATGACAGAATTATACAAAAATTAAGCATATGTAACTAAACTTGAAATAAGGTTATGGTTGAAGATATTATTTTAATATTTTTCTTATTACAAATGTTATAATAAAATATATAATACCTTTATCGATTATTTTAAATGCTATATCATCTGTAGAAGCATTATTAAGATCTTCTAACATACATTCAGAATCCGGAATATGAGGTCTTGGTGGCAAATTACTTTTTTTATTGCTAAACATATTTGAGATATTTGTTTTATTTCTTTTATTTGCGATCGTTGTATATACACAAAAATGTATTAACACGCATATAGTCATTAATAGAAAAATTAAATATGATTAAATATGAATTACAAATTTACTGACGTTCAAAATTGAGACATTTTAGTAGTACCAATATTTTATACAAAATACTTACGTGTGTATACTTATCTTCCTCTGTATACTATTCTTCTTCTTAGAAAAATACTTTCGAGATAAATTATATGTACATAAAGATTATAAAACAAAAATTTTTTTAATTAAGAAGTATAAATTATTTTTTATTAAATTTAAAATCACTTAGAATATTTTCTCTTAAAATCACCAAACATATTTCTCTTTTGAGTAAATTTATATAGTATAATTGCATACTGAAATTGTCATTGTTCAAATTTCACATTACATCATTACATTTGTTTTATATATATATATATATATATATATATATATATATATATATATATATATATACTATACTATCCATTTCGTTTGTAAATTTCTAAATTTCAAGTTAAATATCAATTTTTATCTTTTATTTATAAATTTGATAATGCACTATAATGATTAATTGTGATGTATATACTGTAATTAAAAAATGTTTAATCTAAGAGTTTTATTAAATACATTGTCTGTCTTTATGTTGTAAATTCTGAATTTTTATTTTTTAATTTATGCGTGTATTAAACAGTCAATTGAACTAAATTCATGATATCGCGCAGTTTTCAAACTTCCTTTAGGATTGTGCCGGTAATGTACTATGTTGCATACTTTATATATTCTAAATACATTAAAACGTATTAGATATTTATGATATGATAAAATAATATCAAATCATTTCTATATCATTATTATTATAATATTGATAATTTTTTAGCGTTTTCTGTGCACAAAAATAATCAGCATGCCGCCAAAACGAAATCGAGCTTCAAAGGTTAGATAATTAAACAAATCATGTTTTAAATATTTTTATTAATGTATAAAAAAATAATTTTGTGTTAGTATGTTTTTTTATTATAATTTTACTTAATGTACGCCTTAAAATATGAATATAATGTTATAAAATAATTTATGGCAACATTATATTTTATAAGTAAAATTTATTTAATATATTTAAATAATTTGCTTTGCTTCCTTTTTTTTAATTAGGAAGATTCTGTAAGAGTTAAAAATGACACAAACACTAAAATAAAATCAAAAGCTGTATCAAATAAAAGAAAATCTAATACGGATGATCATGAAGAACCTACTGCAAAACGTGTTAAAAAAGTAGCAAAACCAGTTTTGAATAAAATAGATACAGATTTAAATGAAATCAATTTTGATTGTTCAAAGTTAAATGCAATAGGAAACAAGTATAATTTAAAAATTTCTAGTTGGAATGTTTCCGGCATAAGGGCAGTCATTAAAGTATGACAATAAATTTATTACTATTATATTCTACATTTTTTAACTGAAATTCAACATTATTTATTGTTACATTAATGTAGAAAAATGGAATGGACTATATCTTGAAAGAAGATGCAGACATAGTTGCATTGCAAGAGACTAAATGCGATAAAAATAAGTTACCTGAAGAAGTTAAATTAAAAGGATATCATTATTATTTTTTTGAGAGTATGAATTTTTATAATTTACTATAAATTTTTATTTATGAAATAATGAATTATATATATTTTCTAAATAGGTAAAAAACCTGGATATAGTGGTGTTGCATTATACACAAAAGAGAAACCAGTTAATATAAAATATGGTTTAGATAATGCTGAATTTGATAATGAAGGAAGATTGATTACTGCAGAATATCCAAATTTCTATTTACTTAATGCTTGTAAGTTTCAGGTTTTATGTAGTATAAATCTATGAGTATTGTATACTATATTTTGTTATTACAGATGTGCCTAATGCTGGTCAGAAATTAGTGACATTGCCTAAAAGATTAAAGTGGAATGAGGTCTTTAAAGATTATGTAAAAGATTTAGATAAAAAGAAACCTGTCATTATTTGTGGTGATTTGAATGTCGCTCATCAAGAAATAGGTAGGCTGTTTTTTTATTTATTTATCTTTTTACAATTTTTATATATTTATAAAATTATATAAATTAATTTTATTATCTGTTTAGATCTCAAAAATCCAAAAACAAATACAAAAAATGCTGGATTTACAAAAGAAGAACGAGAAGGTATGACAGATTTCTTAGATGCAGGATTTGTGGATACATTTAGAGCTTTGTATCCTGATAAGGCAGATGCATATACATTTTGGTCATATTTTGCTAATGCACGTAGTAAAAATATAGGATGGTAAATATATAAAAATTTGTTTACTGTGTATTTAAATACTATTTTTATTATATACTTTTATTATATTATCTTTTATATAGGAGATTAGACTATTTTTTGGTATCAAAACAAATTAAGGATAACGTCTGTGACAATGTTATAAGGGATGAAGTGTATGGCAGTGATCATTGCCCTATTGTACTTTATATTAATTTATAATTAAATAAGTGATATACATTTTTATACTTAAATTGTGTGTAACTGTGTTCAAATAATTTACTAAGTTTGCTGTAATCTATTTATTTTGTCTTTTAAGAATAAAATTTATTTGAAAAATATTTCATATATATTATTACAATGATAACATCTAATTTTCTGATATAGGTGTATTTTTGTTTTTTTTTATATTATGCAAACTAAATTTTTTAGTAAATTTAGTACATTGATCTAATATAATTTTGACATTAACCTAATATCTATAAAAGATATTTTTGAGATCTAACCTATTTCAGATGAAGCATGACATTTACTAATCATTTATGTTTTTTAACTCTCGCATGATGGGCCGTACTGTGGAATAGTACACGTTCCAGATGTACGCCTATATGTAATCGTTAGTAGCTGGTTCAATTTTATTTCTTTTTTATATTTTTATTATGATTGTTATAACAATAGAATAGTAGGAAATAAAAATACCTTTTGCTACTTTTATTACCTATAAATAATATTATTTATTTTCGTTGTATCTAATACGTTAGATGGCATTTACATTTGCTACAAACAAAATTGTGACAATTGCTACATTTAGCGCTATATTTGTTGTCATTGCCTATGCAAATAAAACATCTCGATCGTTTTAAGTTTGGAAGTTTTAAGTTTTAAAAAGTGGAAAGCACTAAAAGACTAAAAAATACAAAAAATGAAAAATATTACAAAGATAAAGAATATTACTAATAAAAAATACTGAAAACAATGTACTGAAATACACTTTCAACCGCTTTGACTGCTTCTTCAGAATTGAAACGTACGTCCATTTGTCACCGATTTGACTTCTTATTGGAAACGTAATATTATCCCATTTTTTATCGTCAAATCGTAGCCATAATCGTACAGGTTAACTTTGTATGATTCACATACAAAGTAGGACTTTAAACGGGTTACCGTAGACCCAGCCACCGTTATGCGAAGATTAAATAATTGTTCTAGATGCTTCGCAAATAAATAATACTTTGATAATGATTTAAAGTTAAATAATAAAATGCATGAAACATTACCATTATTTATTATCAGCAATGATTAAAGAATAAAAATAGTAATTGTAACAAAAACGAAGCGATAAATTTATTATGATTGAAAATGACATCGGTAACAAACAACAATATTATTAAATTATATAAATATGAAAGTTTATTATATTTTCTTTTATGGACTGGTGCAGTATTATATTCCATTTACAAAGTATTTCTAATTAACACTTGTAAGAAATTAAATATATATTTTATATTTATGTATAAATTATAAATATATTTTAAAATTATACATAATTTTTAGATTTTATTAATTATGATGATATATATGGTGACTTTGCACCAGGATGGACATGGATTGGAAGGAAACAAGATGTTTCTGACGAAGAATGGAGAATATGGATACCATTAATAATAAAATTAATACCTTGGTTATTTCTTCATCACATTATTAATCATTTCATCAAAATTTCATCAAATTGTATGGTGCGAAGTTTTAGTATTATTTTATATTTTATTATTTATCTCAAATTATTTTATTAACAATGTTAACAATGTTATGTCTTTTTACAGCTATTATGTTGTTCGTACATTTTTATATCTTTATTATTTTTATATTATTCTATTGGAATATTGGGCACGTTGTGTGCATTAATTCATCCAAGTATACTCTATATTTTAACACATAAACGTAGCAGATCTATCATATGGATGATAAACGTAGTATTTTTATTTATAATACACTTTCTTAAAATTCCAAATGGTATCTTCCAAAATACATTTAAATTAAATGATGAAGAACACTATATTTTAACTCATATAATATGTTGGGTTCAACTGAGAAGTATTAGTTATAGTGTAGATAACATAAAATCACATTTAGAAAATAATTGTGATAATATGTCTTTTTTTGTACAGAATTTTTTATATAAACTGGCATATTGTTTATACTTACCTACATTGTCTTTAGGACCATTGATTTTGTACTATGAATTTATTGATTCTGTATGTATCATATTTTAGTAAACTTGTGTTTGTTCTTAGTTGCTGTGAACAAGTAAACAATATATTAATACTTTTTTACAGGTAAAAAAAACATCTCAATCTTTGGAAATTGCAGATCTTAGAAATTTTCTTTTTAATGTAATTAGATATATTTTTTGGATATTTTTTGCTAATATTTTTTTACATTTTCTTTATTTCAATGCAATACAATATCATCCAGAGGTAAAGTTATCTTTTTATATATAATAATTTTTATTAAAAATAAATAAAAATTAACTTTTTTTTGTAAAAACAGTTTGTTAAAAGTTTAGATCCATGGACTTTGTATGGATTAGGATATTGCATGGGTCAATTTTTCTTAATTAAATATGTTGTAGTATATGGATTGACTCATACTTTATGTGCAATAGATAATATAAAAGCCCCTCCTCAACCTAAATGTGTAGCAAGAATTCATTTGTATTCTGACATGTGGAAATATTTTGATCAAGGTTTATATAAATTTCTTATAAGGTATGCTTGAGATATATAAATACAATATATAATTATAATAAAAATTTTCAAAACAAATCATTTTTCAGATACATTTATGTTCCTTTGTTGAAATCAAATTTCAACAAATTATTCGCCTCGTTTTTATGTTTTACATTCGTTTTTCTGTGGCATGGAATGCAAACAAATATTTTTATTTGGACAGTTCTGAATTTTATAGGCTTAAATGTTGAAAATTTAATCAAATCAACTGGAAAAAGTAAATATTATTTAAGTATACGGAAAAAATATTTGTCAGAAACAAATGCGAGACGATTTCATTGCATCTTAACAAGTCCTTTGTTAGCCATGTCAGTTATATCAAATTTTTATTTTTTTGTTGGAGAAGAAATTGGAAATATTTACATCTATAGAATATTACATGGTACCATTTTATTTTATTATATATTATGTATTTTACTATAACTTGACAACTTTACTTTAAATGAAAGAACAAATATTTACTACATAGATTTCTATGAACTATTTATTTTAAATTTTTATATAATGTTTCATTACAGATACAGGGTACAGTACATTTACATTACTCTTCTTCCTTTATTGCTGTTGTCAAGTTTCTACAGATATAAAAAATTGGGAATTACAAAAATATTCAAAACTATAAAACATTGATTTCACATCATAGTAAAAACTATTTCAAGAATATATATATTGTTTATAATTATATTACCAAATATTTTATTGTTTAAGTACAAAATGAGTATAAAAATACAATATATAACTAAAATTATTTTTTATATTAACATTATTATAAGCCTTTAACATTTATTATAAATGATAAAAATTGGTACAAAGTATACGAATATTTTTTACGTAATTATATTATTGTATTTATTGTATGCTATTAATAGCCAACTTTATAATACTTACAAGGCACATTATATTTCATAATATATAAATTTTTGCGAAAATAATTTCTAAATTTTTCATTTTTATATTTTATATAATATTTAACTAATTTATTTGTTTACATATTTTTACAGAGATACAATAAATGCTTTTATTTTGTTTATATATCTTAAAATATTCACATTTTTATTTCTAAAACTTTTATATTTTTTAATGTTCTAAATCTGAAAATATTTGTAATTATAGTAGCAGATACATCATACTAAAATATATTTTCACTAGAAAGTGTTAGTTGTACTTTATTTTTAGAAAAAAATATATATATTTTCATGTCAATTTGCAATTTTAAGGTTCAAGCCTCAAATCAAGCAAAAAACCTGAGTTAATTTTAATGTAATTTATATTGTGAATGTTAATTTCAATGTAATTTATATTCAATCGTTGTTTTAGCGATTTTTAAAAATCATCTACATATAATAATTTGAGCTTTGAGAACTTGATTTTCTGTAATGGAATATTACTCACTAATTTTTGCAAGTATATTCAACTCATTCCATATAATTCTTTAAACATAATTATTAATATCTACAAGATGACAATTATAAACTGTTTATATATTTATATATTTTTATAAGAAAAAATTGAGATTATAATACCAAATAAATCTTAAATATGGAAGACATTTTTGAGCTATATTTAAAGAAATATAAATATTTTAAAATATTAAAAAAAAATAATATATAGAAAATGATTATTTACTGTTTATAAATGCGGTACATTTTGCGACGAAAGCATAATCTTTATGGATGAAAATAAGTGTGCTATAAATAGGAACAGATAATACATTCTCCATAAATTGCTTAAAATAAATATAAAATGATAAACAATATTTCTGTAATTCATTTAAGCAGAATATAGAAAATTTAAGAAATAAATATAACTGACATTAAAAATTTCTTTTTTGTTAAGCAAATTATGAATTTGTAGTACATTTTCCAATGTTTGGCACAAACAATGCTATTAAGTATTTTTATCCTAGTAAGTAAATTAATTAATCTGTCAATATGTACATATAAATTGTTATAAAAAATTTAGTAAATATTTTTTTAAATTTCAACATATGGAATGCCTAATAATGATCTTGTGACACATAATTTGTTGTCAAAAATAATAAGTTGAACTATTTTAATAATAATTTCATTTCATTTGCAAACAATGAATGCATTTCTGTTCATTTTTTAAACTTTATTGTATATCGAAGGTGTGCTAATATTGTGTATCTCATATGATTAAAATCGTGTAAAAATACGTTATTAAATCCATTGTTTTTAAAGAATTACTTTTTGAAGAATTACTATGTATTTTTTTCAAATAATAAAAAATTGTTAAATCTACAGTTTTTTTCTAACAATATTTACATATACAAAAATTGAAAACGCATTGAAAGTGCATTTTTATTAAAATTATTTCTATAGAAACAGGGAATCTCTAGTATAATTATATTGCTTTTTATATGAACATTTGATTTTAAAAAAATTAAAAAACTTTTGACTTTTACTTACTCTTTCAAATGTTTATTCTTTAATCTCATTATTGGCCATGTTGTGATTAATTTTGAAAACATTGTTTTGTAATGCATTATTAGTTAACAATAAAATTGTATTTTGATTTTCACTTTGTTTTACATTAATAGTTTGCATATGTTTATTCAAGGATGTAAATTTTTGATTTTTATTTAATTGTATTTTTGACTGTGTTTGTGGAAATATATTAATACATTTATTTTGTACCATTATACTACTCAAAGGTTCATTATGAATATATAAACGTTGTTCAACTTGGTTCAATAATTTTTTATTATCTTTCTCAGAAATGTAATTTGAAGATGTGATTGCTCGATTTTCTATTAAATTTTTTATAACTGTTTGATAATTACTTAATTTTTTATTTTCATGTAATAGGCAATTCTCATTTTGATTTACTGAAGTATCCGTAACTGTAGATATCGTTTTATTAGCAACTTGATTAATTTCTTGTAAGGTATTTAAATCTATTAAGTCTTCTGAAACAGCAATCTCATGGGTTTCCATTTCTTGAAAAGATTTGCAATTGAGAGTAGTAATATCACTGTTTTCTTTTTTGTATTTGATATGTTCTTGAGTAAGTATTATATGTTTATTGCTATCTTTATTTTTCGTTTCAATATGGGTATCTTCTACTTGCATTAGTGACGTTTGTTCACTTACAGAATTATTAGATTCTTCGCTAAAATAATTTTCAGTTTCACTAATTATTTGTATGGGATTTTTAATTTGATTTTCAGAGAATTTAAGATTTTCTTGAAATTCTAAATTATTCTCATTTTCTAAATTATTAATTAAGTTGCTATATTCTACTTTAATGTATGCTGGTGCTTCATTTATATTGTGGTAAATTATTTCCGATTGATCAGTGTTATCATGACATATGAGTTGATTGTTTCCATCTCTAACTATTTCTAATTTAATATAAGAAGCACTTTGCAGTTTATCTTGTACTTTATCTGTATACTCATCTGATAAATTATTTTCGTCTTTGTTAGAAACTCTATTTTTTATAGGTAATTCAGTCTCTATAGATTCAGTCTTATTCAAATGAGATTCCTGACAAACCTCGTAAGTTTCAAAACAATTTCTAATAATTTGTATTGCATCACTTGATTTCCAATTTTTATCCCCATCAGTGGTATCGTTATTTATAATATATTCCTCAGTCACAGTATTTTGCAATTGATCATTGTCATTTTGACAATGCATAATTGTTTTTGTTGCAATTATATCCTCATCTATCATGTGATCTTTATTTATATTATTTTTTTTCTTTCTGTTAGTTCGAACTTTTTGAAAATCTTCTTCTGACAGATATAACAATTCACCAGTAGTTGTTAGAACTTTACCATGTCTTGTTTTTAAATGACGTTTATAAGTATTTCTTGTTTTAAATCTAATATAAAAATTTTTTTTTAATAAAAACATATAGATATTTTTAATATTTCACATTTTGCTTACCGCTGCCCACAGTCATCACATCCAAACGGAGCTTCGCCGGTATGTCTACGTCGATGTTCTCTGAAGTGTGATGGATGTCTAAATTTCTTTCCACAATCAGCGCATGTAAATCGCGTTTGATTTTGATGAATCAACATATGATATTTTAAGCTATGTCTTCTTGTAAAAACTGCTCTGCATATACGACATTCATATGGTTTTATTCCAGCATGACTGCGATAGTGAGATACCAATGTTGTAGGTGCTGTGAAACTTCGTGGTGGATTACAAATTCGACACTCAAGATTACTTCCTGTTGGATTTCCTTTTTTTTTTATACGATCCATAAAAGCTAATGCCATTTCTCTTTCCTCTTTACTAGTACCTATAAATTTTGCTTTTCCTTTCGGTTTACTAGTTATAATTTCTGTATTTTTGTCACTATTTTCACTTGACCATGATATTTCTAGAAATAAACAAAAATATTTATATTACATAAAATAATAATATAAAGACTAGAATATGTATTTATATAAATAAGACATATGTATGTGTACAAAATATATTAAAGTATTATAAATATTTTACACATGTACCTGGTAAATAAATGGCATCAGATTTTTTATTAATTTTTCCTGATAATTTTTTATTAATACGTGGATATTCTTTCGTATGAACACTGTCAGTACCAACAACCATAAGTACAATCTACATAAAGAAAAGAATTGTGTTTAAAGATTATAAATTTTATACTTCTATTTTATGTTTATCACTTACATTTTCATCTGTCATATTTTCAAGAGAATTGTTAAATGGTGATGTTTCTTTTTTGCTAGGAATTTCATCTTTTAAGCGTTCAAAGTAACTATGATCTCCAAAAACTTTAAAATCCATTCTTTCTACATCTTTTTGTTCAAAATTATGTACCTTTTTAGAATTTTCTACTTTTTCAACATTTTTGTTTTTATCCAATTCCTTAAAAGTAGAATCATTTAACAGAATATTTCTTAAGTAATTTGTTGATTTTTCTGTAATAATATCTTTATTTTCTTTATTTAATGTTTCTTGTGGTTTTCTTGATTGTTGCAATCTGTTTTTTTTATTTTGGGGGCTGGTTTTACAATTTTTATAACTTACTGATTTTGCAGTAAAAGTTTTATCTATAAAATGTAATTTATATTTTATAATTAGTATGTAACTTCTTTTCTTGCAAGTATATATAAATATTGTAATATTAACTTACAGGCTTCTTTATTAGTTTTTAAATATTCTAAATGTTCTGCTAAATGTGCTTTGATGGACATTCTTGCTCTTCCTTCACTTGCAAAACTAGTGTATTTTTGTCCACATCCAATGACAAGAGCACATGTATATGAATATTGTCTTTTTAATTCATCACTTGTAAAAATAGAAAATTGTTTAACTAATTGCGATGCTGGCATAGATAAAAGCTGTGGCACGTTAAAGGTTAATTCATTAGTTTTCCTTTTTACATAATCTATTTTTGATTTGCATTGCGATGGTAGTAATAATTTACTACGCTTTTTCTCTGAATGTAATGTCTGAGATGCAACTTCTGCAAGCATATCTAATAATGCAGCTGGACTATCATTCCCCATAATACCTAAAATGATTATTATTGCAGAATAAAATGATGTTTATTATGTCATGTTTTGTCATTATGCTGTATTTATGATATATTTTATGATGCAAATTTTACATTTATATTTTTTTTATCATTTCAAATCAAATAAATTATATTATATGATTGAAAATTAATAGTAATAGTAGTAGATAATTAAAAAACCTGTATTTTTCATTAATTAAAATAATTGATTATAATAATTATATAAAAACATACATAAACCTATATAATGAATTTTTAATTTTTTATTAAAAAGTTAAAATAATATATCTTCATTTTATTTGTTACGCAAATATTCAACAATAAATGCGTTGATCTTTATTAATATTATGACATATGACAGTTTCAAAAAAATACATAATTTCATTATTTCATAAAAGTAATAAAGAGAATTTTCAATACTACAAAATAATATTTATTAATAATATTTAATGGTATTGAATAATATTGAACGATTATAAAAAAAATATTTTTATTTTTTATATATGTGAAAATCAAATTTATTTTTCAAGCGTCATTCTAGCAGACGCCATAAGGACGCCCAGCAGACGGTTTTTCAATTCACTTTTACTGTGTTCTTAACAAAGTATGTATTTTTCTTATTAATATTAACTATGTTGAAGAGATGAGAATTTCAGTTACTTAAAGAGAGTAAATAAACAAATACCTCCGTTATATGAATTAGAAGCATATTCATGATTTGTTTTGGTGTTCATTATGGCATTCGTATTCGCGGCGTATCTTCATTCCACTGCCTTCTGTGCACAACAGGTCCCTTTTTGTTGCTTTCTTGTTTGCTTCCTTTCTTGTCAATCCTGAGAACAGTATTGCCAATCTGTGAGACGAAGATTTTGTATATTCATGTAAATCTAATGTAAAATCTTGCAGTTTATTTCTATACAATCTAAAATACTATTTTTGAAGATTATTTGTTATTTGCATAACAGATTTACAAATAATGAATTCATAAATAAAAAGATTTCAATTTTGTTAGGAACATTTATAATTAAATATACAGCACAACATTACACATAATATTAAATACAAATAAAAATAAATTTAATCTAAACATTAATTACAAATCTTTTTATTTTTTAATAATACTCATATTTTTTATATTATTCCTTTCCTGTTTTTATATTTCGAATATATTTTAATTAATTTCTTCAACTTCCATGGAAAATTTTTAAAATTTATAACAAGCTATAATTAATTTAACAAATATATATATATATATATATATACATATAAATTGAGTCATATTTTCAAATTTATAATTACATATATATATAATTGTACATTTTAATATACTTTTAATTATGTATATAATTTAATATAGTTTAATAATTTTTTTATTAGGTAATATACAAAGTAAATATAAATGTAACTAATGCAACGTTAATTACATAATACTATACATACATATTTAGATAATGACAAAAAATAAAATTAATAACTTACTGACATTTAAATTATTAATATAATATATTTATTAAAAGGCTTGGATTAAAGTTAAGGTAAAACATATACAAATCTTTTGATAGCATATTCTTAAATATTTTATTACATTATGTAAGAAGTTTCTAACCTCTTGTAAAATAGAGATGTACGTGTATTTGTACCATAAAAAAAATATAATACATATAATTATTTATATAGTTTATATTTTCATTATGACTTTGCAAATACTTTAATCTCTTTTATTCATTTATATGTCAATGTAATTTATCACAACTATCTGTTGATTCATTTTTAATTACATCGGTATCAAATATATCTTTAATGATATCTTGCTTTTTTTTCACGTGAGATGGTAAATTATGAAATACATTTTCTATCATTTGCTTTCTTTTTGTTATATCAGGTTTTCCATAATCTTGGTTGATAAATTCAATATTTTCATTATTATCAATAGCTTTCATTGATGCTAATAACTTCTCTTTGTTATAATTAGTAATTTTTGTTTTTACATTATTTTCAGTTGTAATACTAACATCAGTTAATATATCATGAACTGAATCATTTCCAAGAGATTGTATATTATGTGAGACTGTATCAATATTTTCCAATTCTTGTTTATTTAATTTATTTTTTGTTTCTAAATCATAACTTTGAACTATATTTTTACTCTGTATTTCTACTTCTGTTGTAACTACTTTATTTGTTGCTCCTTTACTTAAATTGCTTGAAGAATTTAATAAATCTTTTACAGAAGATTTTTTTTGTGAATCATTAAAAAGAATTTCATTTATATGTGATATTTCTGGTTTAAAACCAGATCCATTTACTGACTCCGACTCTGTGTTGTTAGCTTTAAATGATGTATCATGTTCATCTTTAGAATATGTTTGTAATAATGATTTATTTTCAAAATCATTTTTTGTCATACTTGCATTATTAAATTTTTGTGTTTTAGTTTGTTCAATTATATAGTTTTCTATATTTTCTGAGTTTTTACGTTCCGTTTGCACATCATGTTGAGTATGTATATTTTCATTCTCTATATTTTTAGTTTGTATGTGCACTTTATCAATTAAATTTTGATGAACATTTTGTGATTCATTTAAAATATTTTTTGAACATGATAATTTTTCTACTTCTTTATCAGAATTATAGTGAGTTTGATTATGATCATACTCAGATGAAATAAGTGCATTATTTTGATGATTCACTGTTAAGTAATGTTCAACTGATTCTTTCCTTATTTCAGATTCTATTTCTGAGTCACTTTCATAAGCATTTTTTCTCTCTCTTATTAAAATCTTCAATTTATCTCTATATTTACAATCAGAAAATGTTAATTTCTTTGAATCTGAAGTGTCATCTGCACTGCTAATTAACCTTAAAAGATAATAAAATATATTAAAATTAAATAACTAATTTAAACAAAAATAAATGCTTCAAATTATATAAACCTTGCATGCAATTGTTTAGAATTGTTAGTTGCATTCTTATAATCATTTTTTCCATTTTCATTTTCATTCTCGCTTTCACTACCTTCAGATGAACAGATAAAATTTTCATATTTTCGATTGTTATATATTTTCCTAAATTTATCTGCGCTTGTTTGATATCTCTGAACCTCTTTTTGTTGGTCCTCTAATCGTTCTGATTTTTCTAAATCTACTGAAATCTCTGAATTTTCGTTTATAGTGAAATCTAGTTCCTTCGATTTTGCTTCTAAATTATTTGATGTATTTCCGTATGGTGATTTTTGAAGACGATATTTTCGTACTTGTTCTAAATTTGTCATAGTTTCAGATTTTATATATTCTAAAGTTTGATTTGAATTTACTCTTTCCTCTGTTTTAATCTTATCATTTAATTCAGATGTATAAAGTACAGCCTGAAAGTTGTCAAAAGTAATATTTATCTTTAGAAGGTATAAAGTTGATTAAGTAATATTTATCTTTAGAAGATATAAATTTATTGATTATAAAATTATGCAATAAAATTAATCTTTACCAAACTGTTTTTTTGAATATCTGTTTGCCACTTTCTGTTTTTATCTGGTATTTTTAATGGATTTGATGAGCTGAAAGAAATCACTGAATGTGAAGAAACGATTAGTTATAATTATTAATTACATTTTTCACATACCTAATATCTCTTAAGTTTGTAAGAGATTGCGTGCCAAAACGTCGATTCTTGTCAGGAAACAATAATTGTCCACTATAATATAATCTTCGTTCTCTATTATCTAATAAATTTTCTAAAGTTTTTAATTTTTCTCCTGTTTCATCTAAATGTTTTTGTGTTTCTTTTCGTTTAGAAATTTCTAGATGTAATTGTTGTTTTAAACTTTTAGTTTCAAGACCCAATTTTTTATGTAGTGTCTAACGAAATAATTAAATATATGAACATTGTATAAGAAGTTATAAGAAGTTACAAATATTAAGTTACCTGTATAGTATTTTGCTGTTGTTGTATTCTATGATTTAAATCAGAAACTTCTAATTGTAATTTTTCCCTCTCTCCCAAATTACGATCTTTACTGAGTTGTAATAAATGTTTATTTTGTGCCTAAGAAATAATATAATGATATTTTTATTTTTTGTTTGAGAACATTATATATATTTATATTTACCTGTAAATGTTGAAGCTCATTTTCTTTTTCCTTTAATAAATCACAGGTTTCCTTTTGTAATGTTTTTAACTTTTTATATTTACTTTGAAGTACTCTCAACTCCTCATGATGTAAATTAATAATTCTCGGAAGTTCAGCATTTGTTCCTTCATAACGTTTTAATGCAGAATCTTGTCTTTTCTGTAATGCTTTTAATAATTTATTTTCATTTGCTAATTCCTGTGGAAACATACAATTATATTCAGTATGCCTGTAATTAACATATACTTATGATATATATATGAATTTTAGAAATACGTGAGTTTATATGATACAATATTTGAAATCATTACATTTAATCGATAGTGTGCATCAGCTAACTGATTTTGTAGTTCTTTAATGCGTAACATTTTTGCAGATAAAACTCTCTGTTCAATACTATTTTTATTAAGTTTTGATTGTTCTGAAGGACATTGTCGAACATTACTCTGGTATGGCCGCCCTATATATTGAATATCAATATTAAAAGATTATTTTAGAAGATGAAATAATTATTTCATTAATTATCAAAAATATTAATAGAAACAATTCTTATATTTTATTTGTTATATAGATTAAATAAAAAATAAAAATTAGAATTTAAATCTTAAAAATAATATAAATATATAAAAGTTGTTCTATATAAAATATATAAAATATATTTTCTAACAATAACATGTCCTCATAAAATGCTACATTAATTCTTATTAAAATTTTAATACAAACCAAGTAAAGGATGTAAATTTTTTTTCTTAGATGAAAAATATGTTATATTTTTATGAGATGAATTAATTTTTGTTTCCTCTGATGATCTTCCTAAGTTAGAATTTTGGTTTCTGAAAATTATAGATATATATAATTCTTGAAAATGTATGTAATTAATGTTTTTTTGTTCATACTGAGAATATTTTAAAATACAGTTTAAATGTATAATAAATATATAAATAATACAAATATACTCGTAAAAAAATTGAATAAAAGGAATCAAGTTATACAACAATATATGTACACATATAATACAAATAATTGGAATGTTTGTTATAGATATATAATTACTAAGAATAAATTTTATTAGAAATACTCTAATGATAATATAAATTAATTCATTGTAATTTATAAATATACAAAACAATCTTTACAAATATTTGGCATTGCTGTGATTACCTATTGAGATTCTTATGGGTATTGAAGTGTACTACAGGTAACGTAGGAACTTCAGTTTGCATGTTTTATTTGCAAATTCTACATCACAACTAGCATAGTTTTTATAAGAACAAATTATTATATTACTGTCCAAACTTATTCAAGATGAATCGGCATCCATAGTTGTTTTAGTTTCCAAGGTAACCAATGCACAACATTTCTCTAATCAATGTTCTTTAGAGTTATATATATTTAAAAAGATCTGTTTAAATGAAAATACTTAAAAACGTGATATATACAATGTTTATATATGATATATGAAAATGCATGTATGTATATAAAAAATTAAGTACTTTAATTATATATAAAATATTTATAGATCATATTTAGTTGTGATAAATCTATATATACATATAGTAAAAAGAAATAATAATTTTTACTTATGTTTTTATTTTAGTTTCGTTGATCATTTAGTTTTCAAACATTAATTTTTATAATAATAATGTTTTAGAGATTTAACTACAAATATGATATTTTATAGCACTATAAATACTGTATATAATGCACATGTATTATTATATCATAAATTTTTATTATTACAAGTAGTTCTAAATGTATTTATTTTTAATGATTTAGTTAATTTACCATTGCTAGTTGTGTTTATAATATACAATAATACAATAATTAATAAGTATTTAATCTTAAATTAATTTTATATTTTGAGTAATAATTTTATATTTAATTAGAACCAATCGATTTTTTAAAAATATTTTTAAATCTTTTTGTTGTAGTCTGCCAAATTACTGAAAAAAGAACCTTTTTTCGGTAACTAAATTTCTCGATGTACAAAATATTTCAAATGGTTCATTTCAAATTCAAGAATGTACAGATGTTATTACCTGTGCATTATACAATTTCTGTTTCAAACTCCTGGGGTTCTACAGTTATCTTTTTCTTGACTAGATTTGAGCATTCCCATATGTTGTGTTTCCCACAATTTGTAATATAAAGAATTTGGCATAGCTAATAAAGAATCATGTGTTCCTCTTTCAATTAAATTACCATTATCTAGTACAAAAATTTCATCTGAATCCATAACAGTAGATAATCGATGGGCTATAACAACAGAAGTCCGGCCAACGGTTGCTCTACGTAATGCTTCAAGAATATTCTAAAATTATTTCATTAGAGTTAGATATGTATAATAATAATATTTAATATATAAATGAAACTTACATGTTCTGTAATAGAATCTAAAGATGAAGTAGCTTCATCAAAAATTAATATTGGACTATTTTTTAAAATTGCTCTAGCAATTGCTACTCGCTGTTTTTCACCACCACTTAATTTTAAACCACGTTCTCCAACAGGTGTATCATATCCTTTTGGCCATTTAAGAATAGAATCATGTAAATTTGCCATTTTGGCAGCTTCAAAAACATCTTCTTTACATTTTGATAAATTACCATAATGGAGATTGTAAAAAATACTTTCATGAAATAGGACAGTATCCTAAAATCATTTATTCATTTTAATATTGCAAGAATATATTATTAAATTTTTTTTTAATCTGATTACCTGTGGAACAATTGCTATTGATTTCCTTAAAGTATCTAAATCAATATCTTGAATATTATGTCCATTTATAAAAATGCCTCCAGATTGTGGTTCAAAAAATCGATATAATAATCTTATTAATGTCGTTTTACTAAAAAATATATATTGCTAATCAGTGTTTTATTTTTATAGAAGTTATATACACAGCATTTAATTGAAACATACCCACAACCAGATCCTCCAACAATAGCAATTTTTTTACCGCTTGGAATAGTAAAATTAATATTTTTAAAAATAGACTTGCCTTCGACATATTGGAAGCTAATATTTTTAAATTCAATATCTGAATTCTTTGAAGTTATATGAAATTGTGTTGCATTCTCTTTGGACTAGTATTATATCATAAAATATATTAATCATTTATAAATCATGGATAATCATATTTAAATTATTTATAAGTACCTTAATAGCAATATCCATTGTCATCAAAGTAAACATAGTCTGCATATCAATAAGAGCCTGTCTAACTTCACGATATACTGAGCCCAAAAATCCTAAGGGAACTGACAATTGGAATAAAAGACCATTAACCATTACTAAGTCTCCTACTGTCATAGTACCTACAATTGATTCATTTAAAAATTATATTAACATTGTTAATACATTGATATATATATTTTAAATATTTAAAAAATTACCCTCCATAATATTATTTGATGCTAATACCATTATTAAACTCAATGCAGCACTAAATATAGCATTTTGTCCAAAGTTTAACATTGCTAAACTAGTAGTTGTCTTAAGTGATGCAATTTCATATTTCTTTAAAGATTCATCATATCTTTCAGCTTCAAATTTTTCGTTATTAAAATACTAATACAAAAAATAAAAATGAATTATTTATACAATACAAAGATTGAAATTATATGGAGTATAAATATCTTAGTTGCAAAAATAAATTGCAAAATATACCTTTACTGTTTCATAATTAATAAGTGAATCTATTGCTTTATTACTTGCTTCATTTTCTGCTTGATTCATAAAAATTCTAAATTTCGTTCGCCACTGAGTAATAGCTAATGTGAATAAAGCATAAATTCCAACACAACCAAGAGCAATACTTGCATATTCTGCACCACATTTTAAATATAATACTGTACTGACTAATGATAATTCAAAAACAGTAGGTACAATATTAAATACCATAGCATTTAATACAAAATTTATACCACGACTTCCTCTATCTATTGTCTGTAAAAATTTAAATTAAATAAATGATCATTTCAAATAGTAGAAATGGAAATAATATTAAAATAATTTATCTTACTTTTGATAATGCTCCAGTTTGTCTACCTAAATGAAAAGCCATATCTAAATTATGCAAATGTAAGAATACATTTTTGGCTATTTTACGAATAGAATGTTGAGCAACTTTTGCAAATACTGCATTTCTCAATTCACTAAATCCAGCTGCACCAGCACGTGCTATTCCATCTGTTTTAATATAGTAATATTAATACAAAATATCTACTCCAAATTTGTAGATTTCTATAATAATAATAATCTATATAATTTACATACATCCAATAAGTAATGATGTTGCAACAGTTGCAACTGTATCTGATGCACTTCCAAGACTTAAAATGGCATTACCAGTAGCTGCCATGTGTTGGGTATTAAGAGTATCTATTGTATATTTAAAAATAAAAGGCACACCAACATTTAAAACTTTTGCACCAACAAGTAAACCAATAGCTATTTTAACTCTTTTCCGAATATCTGGATTATCCTATAATATAGATATATCTATACTGCAATATTAATTAGATATTTAAAATAACTTACTTCTGGCCAAATATATCTAAGCATTGCTTTAATCATATTTGCAGATTTAACTGCTTCTTTTTTTTGAATATCAATACTTTCACGACTTAAACTAGATACACCAGGATGAAAACAATCTCTTTTTGGTTGTCCTGATTTTCCTCCAATAAATCCAGGAATTATCAATGGAAATTTTACAGAACTTATAATAGACTTTTTTTTGCGTGTACGATCAATTACGTTTCCACTGCAACACTATAAAAATAATTGAACTATATTAAATGTTAAATAAACTATATTAATTATTAAATAAAAAAATATGATTAACCATATCAAAGATTTCTTTAGAAATTATTAATAATTTATTAAATGCAAAACGATTTTATTTAAAATTATAAATAAATAAAAATATATATTATTTCAAATAATGGAAAAGCAAATAAAATTTAATAATATTAATATTTTTATTTTCATTTTATTATAAAATTATAAATTATTTAAATATGAATCACAAAAGCCAAACTAATCAATTTTATCAAAATTAATTTGGCTTCTAAAAAGCCAATTGAAAAATTTGATTTTTAAAAAATTTAAAACTAATCATGTATCCTAATGAAGTGACAAAATTTTCAAAACATAAAATTTATTAGTTTGATTTCTACCTGACTTTCATTATAATAAATATCTTAATATATTATAACAAATATTACATATTACAAATTATTATTTTTGAAACATACAAAGACTATTATATGATTCATTTAATATTGTAATATATTCTTCTATAAGATTTATTGCAATTGAAAAACATTGTGTACAATATTTAAGTTCTTTCATACTGATCAAATGATTTAACAGTTCATTTTTTTTCAAATTTAAAATTAATTTTGCCATATTATATACACCTATTTTATCTTCTGATGTAAGAGAATTTCCATATATTTTTATATTCCAATGATCTCTTTGTAATTGTGTATTCATTATAAATAATGTACATGTTGCATTATAATTTAAACCATCTCTTATAAATGCCATATTTTTTTGTAAATTATTGGAAATAATAAAATCTAATTTAAATTTCGGAATATCAAAACAAACTTTTACATCAGAAATATCAAAATAAATTTCATCTAATGGATTATATGGTATAAAAAAACCATAGTGTATATATAATTTAAGACTATTATGTGCACCATAATTAATAAAAACTTGTGACTCTGAATTAAATGAATTTAAAGTATTAATTTGATAGAATTTATTGCCATTTTTATTTGTAACTACAGATGCATGTGTAGTGCTATATATACTGTGATTAAATAAATCTAAGAAAGGTGCCAAGGCTAAATTATTTGGATATTTTATATTAATGTTTTGATTTGTCTCAATTTCAGCTTCATCTATGTATATAGCTCTTGTATTAACGATATAATATGCCCATTTGTACTTTTCAAATGTGATTATTTTTTTAAGATGCAAGTTACAATGAGAGCAATGGCCTTCTCTATTTAACTTTAAATTATTCATAGATTTAATTAGTAATCGAAAATCATTACATATTTTATGAAACTCATCCATATAATCTATAATAAATTTTGGCAATAGATTCTTTTCTTTTTGTGTACAAAAATCTGGATTTGTTAAATTTCTTGGTAAACTATTGATGTAATAATTCCACTTTGATGCATTTCCTAAATGTGATTCGTATATGATAAACACTGCTAATACACATTGTGCACTATAATATTCAATTTTTGAAAATAAAATACTGACATTGCTTTGAGATAATATAGATGTTGTTATTAAGATTTCATAAGGTAATTTGATCAATATATCATTGATTTTAATATTTTTCAATGTTTTTAATCCTCTACCAGTAGTAAGAAAGTTAAATGGAGTAAGATTATAAATTGATGAACAGTTTTTTGTTAATAACCAAGATTTAAGGTACATCAAACTGTCTTCTTCATTTTTTGTTATTTCTTTAATAATTAGCTTCTTCTTTTGATGACGTTTTCTTGAAGTTCTACCCATTATGTAAATGTTACATCTGTAGAAGCAATAAAGAGATGCTTTGAAATAAGTACCTGCTTATCATTATTTAATTTGTTATATGTTATTTATTTGTTATTGATTATTGATCATTTCCATAACTTGGACACTTGGTATAATAATAATTGAAGAATTAACAAACATATTTCAAAGAAACATTATAAATTCTTAATGTAATAATAGTTTATGAAAACAATATATAAATTAGGAATATTACCCTAATTCCAAAGGCAGAGTATATTGGATTACGTGTCAAAGTGTAAGATAAAACTCCTTCGTGATAAATAATTTGTCTTCGTGATTTAATTAAACATGTTATAAATGACCTGTTCCAAAGTTTCTTTTCATTATAACCAATTCGTAACATACGGTGACATAAAATAATACTTAACATTATGATGGAAATATTTATTCACAAACGGAGGTACAAAAACAAAATCCACAAATTAGGTTATTAGATCATGATAGAAATGCAAATCCGATAACCTACACCTGCTATCAAATACTATACATATATTTGTTACATCATATGCCTATTATACTATATATATTATCCATCTACAGGTATATTATACATACTATCCACTACGTGTGTTCACATGTGTACATGTAATGCAAGGATTAAAATATTATTGTTTTTTTATCATACTATATGAAATTTAATCACATTTAAATATTAAATTATTTGCATCTTTATAATACATTTTTTGGAGATTTGACAATTTAAAATATATAATTATAAATAAGCTTAAACTTCATGAAAATAGACACAATAGATTCTGTAACATGATTTCCAATCCGACTTCTTACCCATGTAATAAAGTAATATCTTTTTTTTCATAAAAGAACTCGTACATATTACTGTATTTAAAGCGAAGACTCGGTAAAATATATTATAAAAATATGAACAAAGGTATAAAATATATATTTAGTGATTTTGCGTAATGAAAAATGAATAACTTCTTATATTTAAAGACAAATCACATGATATCTTTCAAAAATAAGGTCAAAAGTGAAAGTTTAAAATGTTAATCATGTGCGTTATACCTGTTGAATATGTGACTAATGTTGACGTCGAGAGAAAACGAATTCCACAGCTACAAAGTGCAATACAAAAATGTTTACGAACAAAATTATATTTACTTTATTGAGAAATGAAAATGTAACCCGAGCAATCTTATGTAGTAATTATAATGTGTATTGTGAAACACAAAGAAATGTGCATATTTCTATACAAAGGAAATTTCATTTACATCAATTTAATAAGGTTGAAGCAAAGCTTGCAGGAAGTCAAAAACCAGATTGGAATAGAGCTGTTTCAGAAGCAGAGAAAATTGTTGGATATCCAACATCATTTCTAAGTTTACGATGGCTTTTGAGTGATGAAATAGCAAATGTAGCTTTACATTTGAGGAAACTAGTGGGATCTAATCATCCTTTGTTAAAAACAGCCAAGTAAGCATTAATATTATATTTCTTATAAATTTACAATGATATTAATTTTTTTCATCAAATTTATTATAGAAGTGTTATCTATAATGGACGTAACAATATGCAAGCATGGGGTCTTATTGTATTATTAATTTCAAAAGCTGCTGGTCATTTGAGTGTAGATGATATGGAAGAAGATAAAGCTGCAGGTGTATTGCACAGGTATTGTATTATAACTTTTAATAGCACAGAATTTTTAAAGTTATATATTTATAACAAAAATAATATTAAACAAATTATTATTTAGTCAAAGAGCTTTAGCAGAAGTAACTGAAATGATACGTACAAGTCATCTTGTTCACAAAGGACTGGTAAATATAGAATCTGATGTTTATTTAGAAACATCTGAATTAAATGATATGAATTTTGGTAATAAAATTGCATTATTAAGTGGAGATTATTTATTAGCAAATTCTTGTGCTGAATTGGCAAATCTTCGTAATCAAGATGTATGTAAATAAATTATATATTCTAATTTATATTAATTATATTTATTATATTTTATTACATGAATTATAATTATATTCAGATTGTAGAATTAATGTCAAGTGCTGTAAGAGACTTAGCAGAAGCAGAATTTGTAGGACGTAGAGATAACCAAAATAATCCTTTACCTTCTGTACCACCTGAAGATCGCAAGGATTATGCAGTAAAGGAATGGACTCTTAGAAATGTTTTAAGTGCTGGTGCCTTATTAGGAAAATCATGTAAAGGTACATTAAAATTAGCAGGACATAGCAATGAAATACAAGAACAAGGTTACAATTTTGGAAAACACTTAGCATTAGCTTGGCAAGCTTGCTTAGATTTGGGTCCTTTTATTACAAAAGATCAAAATGTAACATTCAATCTGTGTTCTGCACCAATTATGTTTCATATTGAACATGACCCATCAATTTTAACAGAAATTGATAAAGGTTTGGAATCTGTGAATAATGTAGATTATGTTAAGGTAAGCACATTAAATGTAACATATAAATATTTTTTTATTTATGAAGTAAATAATTTTGAAAATTCAATATGTAGATTCATAAAATTGTTATGATGGGGCCTGGAGTTGAATTAACAAAACAGTTGCAAAAAAGACATTCACAAAAGGCAATGGAAGTTTTAAGTGTATTTGAAAAAAGTGATGCAAGAAAAGCATTATGTAATATTATAGCCGCTATGGGAGACTTCTGAATAACTCAATTAAAACCTTATATAATTGCCCAAAGATCAGTTTCAGGACTCCGTCCTTGTTAAGTTTTCAGTTTTAACACATACTCAAACATATAAAATTTATATTTTATTTATATTATGAAATATAATATTGTCAAATTTTAATATATATAATTAAGCTAAAAATGGCAAATATGTATAATATATATAATAAGATTGGTACGTTTTATAATAAACAATATTTGAATAAATTTATCATTTATTTTTAATACCCTATTCCGTATTTATTTTATTATTTGATATTTATATTTATTTACGAAAATACAATGAATTTGTATATACTTTATAATGTCAAAATTTTTAATAAATTATTGTATTTTATACGAATATTTCGTTGTATATTAAACTAGTTTGTATTCTTATAACTATTTGGCAATATACAATTCGGCAATTACAAATATATAAATAATTTGATAATTTATTAAATAGTGAATGTCAACTCTATAGTGAATGTCAACCACAACCGATTCAAGAAGAGTATAGATATATAAATATGTCACGAGCAGGCACGAAACTCGACTCGAAAAAAGTTGTAAGTGTACTATTACATTATATTATCAATGTTTACAAAACATTTAAATCATACATTATTAAATTTTATTCTGTTATTGAATAATCATTAAAAAAAATAGATAAACTATAAGTGAGGTTAGGAATAATGTTTAACATTTGTTTTATAATTTAGTTCTCTATAAAAAATATATTAAGATATGATGAAAATTTGTATATAATTGTAAATTTCAGAATTCTGAATTATTTACATTAACATATGGAGCATTAGTAGCTCAATTACTAAAGGATTACGAGAATGTAGAAGATGTAAACAAACAGTTGGAAAGAATGGGTTATAACATGGGAATTCGTTTAATAGAAGATTTTCTAGCTCGAACTGGGTCTGGTCGGTGTTATGACTTTCGAGATACAGCTGAGAAAATACAAACTGGATTCAAAATATTTTTGGGAATAACACCAACAATCACAAATTGGAGTGCTGCTGGTGATGAATTTTCTTTATGTTTTGAAGCAAATCCATTAACGGAATTTGTTGAATTACCTGATCATTGTTTAAATCTAAAGTATTGTAATGTATTAATTGGAGTATTAAGAGGAGCTTGTGAAATGGTACAAATGGAAATTGCTTGTTGGTTTGTGCAAGATCAGTTAAAAAATGATAATGTAACTGAATTACGAATTAAATTTATTAAAAGACTAGAAGATGCTATTCCAGCAGGTGAAGATTAAGTAATCTTTTGTTATTAAAGGTACATATACTGTTACTATACATTGTAAAATTTTACAATAATATTTATAATTAATTATAATAATATTCTCATTATATAAACAAAAATATTGAATATATATGTTACAATATGTATAATGTAATTTTATATGTAATTCCTTAGTACTTAGACATATTGCTAATTCTGTCTTGCATTATAGAGAAATTTTGTTTTATTTATTAATAAATTTTGTTTTTATTTATTGATAAATATATTATGTGAAATTATACTTTTTTCATCTAATATTTTTTTCAATATATAGAAATGTTAAAATAATTTAAGTTAACCTTTTACAGCGTATACGTATATGGTTAAAGCAGAAAAATATAAATTAAATTATGTAAACATTATTTTAACTTTTAATTAATATTAATTATTAATATATAATAACATATAATAAATTAATGTCTTGTAATTTTCTTTTTATGTATTTATAACCTCTAAAGTTGAATTTACGTCGTTGTCATTTAGTGAAGTAAGATCAGCATGTGAATCAAATATTAACAGAAGAATTAAACATATTTGTAATAATTTTTTACAATAATCTTTTATAGATGATGGAAGTGAAGTGCAAACATTGTAGAAAAGATCTTTTTGAGAATGAATATATTTTATTATTTACTTCCCACCATGAAATAAAAAAAAACGCTATGGACGTTGGATGTGGTGCAAGTAATTCTGAATTTTGTTCATACATGTCAATGGATAAGTTGCCGAAATGGATTGAACATGCTATCACTCAAGTAAAATTTCTTTAATATTATTAAAAATTTAGTATTATATGTAATTATATTCTTAAAATATTCTTTAAACTATTCAATATTGTATAAAAAATAAATGTCATGAATGAAAATAATACAGATAAATTTTAAAATTTGTATCTAAAACCTTATATAAGATGAAATATACATCTTTTACAGGAATCTTGGACAAAAGGTAGACTTCATTGCCCAAATTGCAATAATCGTATAGGTACATTTAATTTTATAAATGAATTAAAATGTAGCTGCAATAAATTTATAACATTACCAATCAAAATAACTAATAGCAAAGTAGATATTTTGTTTCATTCTAAATAAATCTAATACATTCCAAATTGATCTCAAATAATGATTTTATTGTTTAATAATAATTACATAATTTTGATTTGTATGCGTATAAATTTTATACAAAAATAATTTAGTAATTAAAATATTAATATCTTTAGATAATTGAAACTTATCATTAATGTACTTATATTTACAAAATCATTGATGTTTCTTTGTTAATAACATATTACATTTTTACATATTTCATAAAATATGAATGTTGCAAGTAATACTTATTTTATTTGTATATGTAAATATAATGAAGTATGCGAATAATCAATAACAATTGTCATTCAATAATTTTTATTTCAATAATGTAGAAGCATGCGAAAACAAATCAAATTCTTTCTTATAAATAAATTGTATGTAAATTATTAGTCATTTTTATTTGATTTATGTATATTTTATTTTAAATATTTTTGGTTGCATATTTGGATGTAAATTACTTTATTAACAGATAATGTTTTTTTTTTGCATTTATATATAACAATTGAATATTTTTTAATATGTATATGTGTATATATATATATATATATATATATATATATATATATATATACATACACATATAAATATTAAATATGGACATTTTATATATAGCACAATTACTATTTTATGCTATACAACTAATAAGTTAATTAATATATACATTAAATAATTTTTACTTAAAATATTTACAATTAATTACTAATGCATAGCATTAAAAATGACTTGAATTGATTGTTATGTATTCATAACAAAGTAAAAAAATAAGTTAGACCATACAATATGTTTTTAATATAAACTGTAAAATTTATTATTTCTTTTTCTATATTATGTCATTTTAAAATAAACTTATCGCTTGTTCGTTAAACTTTAATTGTTTTTGCTATAGTAATTTACAATTGCTCTTATAGAGTATATAATAATATATATAAATAATATATAATAATGTGTATCCAGCACAATTACTATTTATATTACAGCAAAAATAATATTATTGATATAACAATGAACAAAATAAATAATATAGACAATATTAACAGGTACCATATTTTCTTTCATAAAATTTTTATTAATTGCATCAACAATAAATTTATATAACTCCAAAAATAATTACAAATAATCTATCAACGTAATCAATATAAATTTTATATTGTAAATGGAATAATAATTTTTATATTACTAATATACATTCTTCAAAAATTTTAATAATTTTAACAGAATTATCATTTTAATAATAATTTAATAATTTTTTTAAATTTAAAGAAATCAATTCTATTAATATTTTAGTATGATTCATATTAAAGTCATTTGTGCATTATGTACAAATTATTTTCGAACAATAGATATGATATATTAAATTTTGTAATGAAGGTTATTTATACCAAATTATAAATATCATTTATTTATAGTTGTAACTAAAAATTGAGCATTTATATTAATTTTAATAATATTTTGTTTTATTTGTCACTAAAATAGTAATTAAACAAGTTTTCTACACAAACGAGCAGTTCAGCAATCCAAGCTATATATATTTATTTATCTAATTTTATATTGAATATTTTAAAAAATGAAATAGATTATATGAACGAAAAATAATATTTTAAGGAAGATCAAATAATAATTTGGAAACTTGTATTGTAGAAGAGTATAATATTTAATTATTTCAATATTTTAAATTATATTTCCTATAAGAATTATTTTTGTCATGAAAGAAATAATCAAATTAAATTCTATATCAAAATTATAATCATTTTAGAAGTACATGTTATCATTTCCAATAAGATCAAATAAATTAAATCCATAGAAATTATAAATCTAATATTGCACATAACATAAAATATTTTATAAAAATAACAGAAATAGTACACAATCGACTTGGATTAAAGGCACATATGGTTTACTAAGAAATATTGTTTGAACTATTTTAACAATATGCTTGGACAATATGAGAGCTAGTTGATCCATTGTTGATAGTACTCAGACTACAAGAATAAAATGATCAATTATCTTTTATAAATATTTCTAATATTTATAATATACGATAAAAGTATCATAAAAAATTCATGAAAAAAGAAATGAATATAACTTACAGTATAATACAATATTGGAGCAACCAATTTTGAATATGGAATAGTCTTTTACTATTTCCAGTATATTATTCAATGTATCTTTTGTTCAAGCTCTTTAATGACATTGTCAATATTAAACATATTACAGTCTAATAAAATTTAGTTGCTACAACTGGAATATTTCATCTTGTTGCTGCTGAAGTCTTTGTAATGATGTTTTTACTTTTCTGCCTTGAGTCATAACTACGGCAGTTGGAAAATTATGCATATCACTAGAAGATGATGGTCTTAATGGTTCTGAAGCAGATGGTATTGTATGTGTATTTGAAGTTATAGGAAGCGAGTTACGTAATTTAGATGTTCTATGTGATTGTACATAGATATCACTATCCTCAGTGCAAAATCTGAAGCACAATTCATTAATAAATTTATATGTAAAATTTTTTATAGTACAAATTGTGAATATACGATTAATGTCTTTATTAAATAACTTAATCTGTAATAAACAATAACTTACTCACTGTTCCCCTGAGTACGTTTAACTTCTCTTTTAGCATTGGCTATAGAAGAATCCATTTTAGCTAAAAAGTCATTAACTGAACTATCATCATCTATAGATGATGTTATTGAAGATGGACTAGAAACCTAAAATTTTACACTTATGCAATATGAAATAATATTTTATTGTTAACATAAGATACATACATTTTGAACCATATTATGTTCAAGTTCATCGGTATTGTCTAATGATAATGGATTTTCTGAATTGACAGGAATAAACAGATGTTCTCGCAAAAATAAACTATCAGAAGCCCATAATCTGTTAACTCTTCTTATTTGTTCAGTCTGAAAACATAAAAAAGATACAAAATATAGTATAGATTTTTTATTGTTTTCTATCATTACTTCCTAGTATACTGATATAAAATGAAAAATTCATACTGTAACTCCATATTTTAGAGCAATTCCTTGGAGGGTATCAGTCGTTGATACAGTATGTTTTAACAAATTTTCATTTCGTGTAATATGTTTAGCTGTACTACCATATTTTTTCAGTGTCTTCCCAGTATCTCTTATGCACATTCGTTCTTCCATTTCTCTCGCGCCATTTCGTTCCATTCTTAATTTTTCAAATAACACCAACGCTTACAAAGCGTAACAAACATATCACTTTTTAATACTTATTGACAAGAAATTTGAATGCACTTTAAACAACATAATCACATAACCTATGCGAATATTTAACAGGACTGAATTCACATCTTATAATGAATAAATAAATCACTAGCATAAATCAATGGCTCTTTAAAAAAAACAAAAAAAAAAAAAATTATTTACTCTACCTAAATGTATCAAATATTGAATCTGAATTTTAATTATTTAACGAATTGTAATATCTTTCAAAATATGAGTATATATAAAATCATTGAAAGACATATATTTTACGTTAATATATTTTTTTGTAATAATTATATCTTCTAAATTTAAAATTTCAGTTACAATATATAACTCGTTATATCTACGCTAAGAATATTCTGTCAGCTGATCAACGTGGTAAAAATTTATAGATATTCTTTAACCTGAATGATAATATTTGCTTCGTTTTGATTGGACAGCCAAAGGGCGTTACATACACACAAATATCGAGTCACTATACTTTAAAGAAACATTTGAAATAAATTACAGAGATAAAATATATTAATAGAGTATAAATTCTCTTGTATTTTATATATTTTATCAACATAATATAAATGATGTAGATTATTTTATTATTAAATCTTATTACATAATACATTTCACATAGATTTATATTAGAGAGTAACTACATTTTATATGTTCATTTGTTAAATAAAAAATTGTATAATTTTTATTTGGACATTTTGATTTTATGTCTTATAATATATATATAATTTATGTAACTAGATTTGTTGAAGGAAAAAAAAATAATAGAAATGGAATTAAATTTTAATAAAAACATGTTCATTATAGTACGTTACACAGTTCATCTATTTTTAAATACAATATATTACAGAGAAACACACAGTTATAATTTACTGTTATTAATATTATGTCTCTTACATTATAATTAATTTATTACGGTTATTATTATTATTATTATTGTTGTTGCTTTTTTGTTGTTATTATATGCCAACCTTGATAAATATATAAGGTAGCATAAAAATCATATAATGGGAGACTAATTGATGTAGGACATTTTCGCGTAATACGTCTTAATCTCCAGTAGCTGTGCAACAGTAACTGTAATATTGGTAATAAATAGTTAACATAGGGATAAATATTATGCTACTGCGGCAGTGTGCTTCCTGGATTCTGGGTAAGGGGTACTTCATCATCTAATTATCAGAACTATATCAACTAATATGCTACAAGACAGACCCCTTCCGCTATCCCAATTAATATTGCCACTTAGTGAAAGTTTCATCAATAAGCAGCATTTATATTTGAAATTACTGTTTTAATAAATTGTTGCGGACAAGGGTTATGTGCAAATTTTGGTTTCATAACATGGATATCTATATGTCCAATCTGATTTCCTAAAGTGGTATTTCAAATGGTAGAGCAGTACAAGTTACAACAAAATTGGAAGTGTAACACGTATAGGTAAAACTATCTAGAAAGAATGAGTACAAAATCTGTTCCGCCTGATGTATGTTGATAATAGAAATGTGTATCTTGATTTACATTTTACACATACACTTTAGCAAGAGCATCAGCTCCGGCACTTGCTATAAAAGGTCGTGAAGGATGAAATGCTACGTCTAAAATACTTTCGTCAAACTTTTTACGATGTGCTGTTATTTCTTGAACACAAGTCTTATTATCCATATTCCATAATCTTATACTGCAATCATGACCTAATGATGAAAGATTAATTATTTAATAATTTATGATGTATTGATTATTTTCATTTTATAATTTAATATTACTTACTTCCTGAAAGTAAATATAAACCATGAGGATCTACCGCGAGACTAGTAACTGCATCCAAATGAGCAACCATGGCATGAGCAAGGGTGGCTGATCGGTGATCATAAAATCGAATATGTCGATCTTCATGTGCCGCAACAACAAGAGGTAATGTAGGATGCGCTACGACACGATTTACTCCCTTTGTTTCATTGGCCTCAAGACGAGCTACACTTTCACCAGTTTCCGTATCAAATACCACACAAGCTCTGTCATAGGCTACAACTAATTTATTTGATTCGTCTCTAATGAAATCTACTGACGTTGGTATGCCATCTGGAATAGGAAAAAAAAGAACATTTTTAGACACGACTATATAAAACATATTTTTAATAATCTGTGCTTAAAAAATATACCTTGTTCAGAAATATATGTATGAAGTAATGGTGATTTACTCTGTGGGCTCCATAATTTTACAGTTCCATCAGCACTGAATGATAACAATTGTGATCGAAGTTGATACATGCTTAAACCCCAAACTGCATTTGTATGTCCTTTTAATGTTTGGCTAAGGACACTTGGTTCGTACGAATCATATGGATCTATATTGGCTGATGGAAGTGTCCAACAGTGAATCATACCATCTAAACCACCACTGTAACATTGGCTGCCTGTACTACACATAGCTAGACATAATACAGGACCTGTATGTGATCTGAATGTATAAAGTGGTTCTACATCTAATGAAGCTGACCTAAAATAAAAGAATTAACATTTTTCAGTAATTTTTATGAATCAATTGTTCGTAATTTCGAAATATAAGTACCCTACTTTTTAGCTGGTAAAGTTTTGTGAAGGTTCCATAATTTAAGTGTATGATCATCACTTGCAGTTATAAGAACGGGATCAGTGGGATGGAAGACAAGAGCTCGAACAGCATCAAAATGGGATCGTAATGTATATTTTGCATTCCATGTTTTTCTTAAACTTTCTTTTGTAGTGGCTACCATCTATACAAAATATATTTGATTTAAATATACTTATTATATTAAAAGTAAAATTAAGCTTTTATATAAATTTTACAAATGTAAAGATTATGTTACATACATCTATTCGTGGCAACAATGACAGTAACATAACCAATGTAACTCACATCATATGAAGTTTCTGCTTCATTGTTTACACATAATTGCTCTAATTCACCCAATTCCAATGCGGAATCACCTTCTTCATTTAGACGTTTCGGATCTGGATGTCCACCCCTACGTATTGCACCTAAAAAAATTTAATAAAATTTTAATTTCAATATTAATAAAATATAAATAAAAATAAATTGTTAATAAAATTATAAATACAATAAATACTAACTCCATTCAGACGAATAGCGAATAGAACCTGGTGGAGATTCTTCAATTTCTGTGAGAAGATTTAATTCATTCAATACCTCTTCAGCTTCTGCATCAACATCTTCTGTTAAAAGCATAGATGGCTAAAAGTTAGAAACAAACAAATATATTATTATTTATTTAATCATTGTTATTAAAATTTGTAAAATTGTATAACAATATACTAGAACAATATATACATATATTACTTTATTTGGTTTAGGATCCATATTAGTATCATAAGTATCATCTTCCACATCTCCTTCTTCTTCTTCCATATCCATATCTGTATGTGCCAAAAATTCAAAGTTTGCCATAACAGCTGCTTCTGTATCTAATATTATTGCTTCTGCTATAGACGATGGTTGCTAGCAATATACGAATAAGACTTATTACATGATGAAAACTATTTGACAGACATTATTACAAATATTACATATTTCAACTAAAATTTCATAAAAATTATAGAATTATATAACAGTAACATAATAAATAAAATAATTAGATTTCAATAAAATTATTCAATAAAATTATATAACAGTAACATAATAAATAAAATAATTAGATTTCAATAAAATTATTTACCTCTACCTTTTTTCCTGGAATTCTACGAACACTATTTTCTGATGCTTGCTTATTTGATGGTTCATTGCCATTTAATGCAGGAGTGTTCATATCTTCTGAGTCTGTATTATTACTTAAACCAAGTAAAGATCTCACTCTGCTAGATCGTACATCTATTATAGTATCAGTGTAACCAATTTCTTGTAAGTATCTAAAGTAATAGTTATATATAAACTGTTAATAATACTGTATCTATTATTATTATATACAGATAATTATAAAAATCATATTTTATTTACTGTCTTAAAATTTGACGGCCTTGTCTCCAGCTAATGTTACTGACAGATGTGAATGGAGCTTCTCCATCACCACCACCCCCAACATCAGAATTAGGACAATTACAAATACCTTCTTCATAAATAGGAGGTTTTGTATCTCCCTGTATTACCAAATCAGTGCCATATTTTAATTTGTGATACCTTGCTCTGTAAAAATATGAAAAAAAATATTATACCTATATTTCTAATAATGAAGTTAAAATTCATTTATGATTTTAATGAAAAAAAATCTCACCGTTCTTGTTTAAGTGCATACTCTAACATTTTTATTCTTCTGACTAAATCATTTTTTAATCTTTCTTGACCTTTTCTTTCACCTTGTAAAAATGCTATCCTAGCCTATAGAAAAATAATAACAAACATGTTATATTTCTTCTAAATTATTTTTAAAAACTTACTTGTCTCTCTAACATCATAGTTTTATATTCTGTTTTATATTTTGCAGCTTTTTAAATTCTTACATTTTATATCACAAAAAGACTATCAAAAGGTAAACTAAGATAGAAAGATGAAATATTGACTTAATATCCTTTGTCCTTATAAGGACGTAACATAAGTATAACATACATAGGACTTATGCAAATAATCTACATAAGTACTATCTATTTATTCTAGTATAAAAAATATAACAGTTAAAATATAATAGTTTAAATATAATAATTCTTTACTACAGTGATATAGTAACATTTATTATATTAAAATTTAAAACATAGTATTTCCTATAAAATATTCCTTAGTTCAAATGAAAAGAAGTTAAATATATATACAAATTATATTGTCTATTATACATATTTAAAATACTCATGTTTTTACAATGTTCTGTCACATGACAGATGAAGTGACAATATGAAAAGAGTATTTTAAAGAAAAGTACACTGAGAAATTCCGAAAATTTTTCAAATAAATTAATATTGTACCTGAAATTCTGCTTTATCAAGCTCCCATTGCGATCTTTCAAGTTCAAAGCGAGTCCATTCATGCTGAATAAAATGTAGAATACCAGGCATAGAGTATTGTGGTCTTTCGTTCTTAGCATCGCCATTAGTACCATTGTCATTTCCTTGATGTTTATTATTTGTCAATGGAACATTCGCACCACTAGATAATTGTCCATTATGATTTTGAGATGCAGAACTGGAGTTCTCCTCCATCGTGGAACCACAAAACTGGCTCGGTACCTTCATTTCATGACACGGCAGCCATTACAACAACTTTTCTTTCTTTTGGAGCCTAAAGAGTGCTCTCCTGTCGTATAATGTATTTCGATCGAGTATGCGAAAAGAAGTAATTAATACGCATGCGGATGTATTTGATTTTAATGTAACTAATACAATTTATATAAAATATTATGGCTCGTTGTTTGTCTATCAAAATTTATTTAATTGTTCAACTCTTCCGAAATAGCAGGCAAATATTCTCTTCTCTACACATCTTTGGAGTTGTACTTTCCTCCACCATTCTCATACAGTATATTCAGCTATATTATACTACGACCTAATACTGACTTTCTATGAAAGAATACTAATTACAATAGAAATGAGTAAAAAATAAGTATCTATTTTTACATCAGACTATAATTAAATAAACAAAAGAATTAGGTAAAATTTTATTTTATTTTATTTTTTTTAGTATAATACTAATATCATCACTTTATATTAAATAATAGCAGCAGAATCACAGTTGAGATAAAATTACAAAAATCAAAATTTTTTTATTAATAGCCATTTATTGTTATTTAAAATATAATAGAGATTTTTATTTCGTTTATCATGACACATGTAACAAATACATGTAATACATTCTTAATTTTTGTTGTAAGGCTGATTCTCACGATTGAAAGTATAACAATGACAAAGACATGACAATATATTTGATTGCATTGTATGCTAAATGATAAGATTGACCATGACTTGCAGTATCATTCTATATATAATTAACATGAGGTTCTATATTGCAATGTAAACAATTGTTTTATAACAATTTTGTAATAATATTATATAAAAAAATGGATTTTATTATATAATTATTAAAAATTATTACATTTTCAGAGGGAATAAATGCATGTTATGATTTTTTTTATATCATAGATTTAAATATTTACAACAATTTAAAATAAAACAAAGTATAAAAATATATAATTTTCTATAAAATTAATGTAACAATATATATATTGGTTTAAGCAAAGGCTATTATCATAATAAATATTCTTATAAATATTTTTATTTAATAATATTTTTAAATAGAAAAATATTAATACTTAAAAAAAATAGAAATACTTTAAGTACATTGTTATGGGCCTAATTTCTAATAGACTAAGTAAATAACATTTCAAATAAACCTAAGATAACGTAATTAAATAAACATTACAAGCTATTTCTTAAAATTAATTATGTTCTTATTTTTTCTATTTCAAATATTTTATATTACTTTACGTATTTTATATTATATCATATTATTCTTTCTTGAGAAACGTGTCTACATAAATGCATATTATATGTAAATGCATATATATATTACAGTAAGTTTTGTAATATGTAATATAAATAATATAAAGATAATCTACATAACTAAAAACATTTTTAAACTACATGGAATAATATACTTCATTTTTTATTATATTAGTATAAACATATATAAAATGTTACTATCATTTCAATATTCATCTTTTTTTCTTCTTTTTAACAAAAAAAAAAAGAAAGTAATATTAAGCATTACATATATTATGATCAGTAATATTTTATAGTTATATGTATTTTCATAATATGATACTTTTAATATTAACCTTGCTCTGAATTGTAATCAGTATCATGTTTGATTAATAATGTTTTAGAAAATATCACAAGAAAGATATTTGATCTTAACTTATAGCTTAGTAATAAGCGATGTTTCTTGTACTGCTAATAACATTTCTTCTAAAATAATATAATGTAATTATTATGTACGTATATTTTAAACAACTAATTTTTGAAAAGCTCAAATATTGAAAAGATGCGCACCATGAGTTGATTATTATTGATTTCACGTATTTGTATACATTTTTTGTAAATAAAGTATACTTCAGTATCTAAACAGAAGTATTTTGCATACTTCAGCAAATAGTATAAGTTCTGAAAGTATTTTACACTATAGCGCATGCGTTATTAAATCTGAGACGTAAACTATCGTTTCTCTTTGCGTACGTCGATAGTTTTGTATATTTCTTTTGACAAAATTGAGTGTCTGTTGGTTTTTAATTTAAAATATATTTTAAATACAAACAATTCAGAAACCTGTTCATCTTGAACCGTGTTCATCTTGAACTTTAATTTCATCGAAACACATTGACTATGTTAACAGTTACGAATAAAAGTGGCAACATTGCTTGTCGCTTGTTTAGGTTGCGGTGTTGCAGATACTCGATGAACGAGTATCACAGTGTATCTTCGTTTCTGGCATTTATCGTAAATATAACGTATTTTTATAAGACAAAGAGCATGTTCATCACTGATTGAAGACTGTCTGCATTATAACATAACGTAAGTTCACTTGTATACATAATTACATGTTACCATTCAGGAGTGGGTCACTCAGATTTTTTGGTCTAAATTATTACATGACCCGAATTATAATGTATATTTATTTAAAATTATAAAAGAATCAATTTTTTTCTAAATTTTACAATAAATACTTAGAAACAAAAATAAGTGATTTAATATTTTGTTAATTTTTTCAAATTAAAAGGCTTTTATTATTAATTTATCATATTTCGTTTGTACGTCAATGAGCAATTTAAATAATAAAATAGTATTTTGTTCTATTAATATTGCACTTAAGAATTTGGGCCTGAAGTCCCAAATGTAAAGATCAAATCTATTGTAGATGTCAAACTATATATGTATATACATATGAATAGCTGCCATTTTATAGAGCATAGATACGCCATTTTGTTGTTTCGTCATACAAAATGAAAGCTAATAATATTTTTATATTGAATTATGACGCACAAATTATAAAATGTGATAGATAAAATGAAATAAAATAAAATATTTCAAAACTTTATTGTTACAATATTATAATATATTTTTTAGCGTAAGAAACTATATATTCAATGAGATTAATAATAATTACATTATTATTACATAATTGAGTATTATCTTATAAACTTATAAACTTGTACAATATGTTATATTATACTGCTACTATTTCTTTTATAAGATTATATCTTATTATACTATTGTATAAATTTTAAATGAAATAAATAATCAATATTTTGTTTTTAAGAAATATATAACAAAATTTTAATAAAAACAATATTGTTTTAATCTATTGGAAGTTCAAGTTATAAGAATAAAAATATTGGATCTATATAGATTCATCGATCCTTATAATGACTCGTGAAAGTACAACACTTCTCCCACTCAATGAATTTAATGTTGTATTACCAGTATGACGCATGTTGACCTCATAAATGAATGGAAAGGGAAAGCAGTATGATTATTTATTAAATGTTTAAATAAAAAATCTTTGTAAATTATAAAATAATAATCATAAATAGTATTTCTATGCAAAAATACTTAAATAATAGTATTTTCTCAGTATACATTGTATAGAAAAATATGTTCGTATAAAAATGCTGAAACATATAAACTTATTTACATTTACACTAATGAATTAAATTTCATAAAATTTTTATAAAATTTGCATAAATATTACTAATCATGAGACATTAAGTATTGTTAAGTAGCACACAAGGAAGGAAAGAGTAGAAGTATTATAAGTACTTTTTATATTATTCAGCTCATATAGTCCTACTTCAAAGGTAAAAAACTGAGTGCTATTTTGCATGTTGGATATATATTTTTCTTATAAAACCTTTATTTTCAATATTTATTAAAGAATTAATAAATTTGGTACTGGTAGTGGAATATGACGCCATATTGGTCAACTTCGTGTGGAATCGTTGAATTTCGTTAGGATACATCGGGACCTATGTTCAGCAGTATTCGTTCAATAGAGAAGCTTGCCGAGAAGCCCGCCTTTCTAAATATAAATTTTTCACAGATTAAATCATAATTATTTAAATACATTTTATCATTTTACATTAATCGTATCCATTCGTGTTGTGCATTTATATTTTATTTTATAAACAAACAATATTTTTGTCTTGAATTTTTTGAAGTTTGTCATGTTTGCGAGACAAAAAAAAAAACAAACTGATTTAGCTTATATCAAACCATGTTTTAGTGCGTCATTGGTATGAAGTAAAAAATTATATTTAATTATTTTAAAATAACAATTGCACTTTTGTGACAATGAAGTGCATTTGTTATTTAAAATATATGGCGAGTATCGGTAATGTAGTAGCTATCCGCCATTTTTATTAGTTGAGTACTCATGGGCCAGGGATGGTATATGTTGGGGCGCATTGAAGGGCCCATATTTTGTTATCTGTAACTATTTTAGCAAAATTTTTTTATGCATATTTGCACAATGCCTTTATTGTTCTTAGTTATCAATTCTTTGTATGCATTATATGTCTAATGATATTATATTTATATTTAATATTAAACATTCATAGGAAATAAGGACTTATACTCTTAGTAAAATTAATTTAATATAATTTAAGAAAAGAATTTAATATAAATAATTTTAAATTAAAAATTAAATCTACTTAAGATTTAATTTAACATTATATAAACAGTAATGTTTTATCATTTACTTATGAAATACAAGATAAACTTTTTTTATGAACTTTATTTCAATTTTAAAGAATTATTTATTATGTATAGTTTATAATTCTGATGGTTCCAATATTATTTATTATGATATCTACTGATTACTAAATTAATAAAACTTAATAAAGATAAAAATTAATAATATATCTTAAATTATTAAAATATTGTATATTGTTCTATTATACTTTTGCAATAAAATTAATTAATTAAAAAATTTAAGTGAAGTTAAATGTGTAAAATATTTGAAATATGTTGGTGCATATATAATCAAGTATACAAATACACATATAAAGTTAATATTTGTTAGTTTCAAATAAAGTTATTAAAAGTAAAGAAATTACAATTTAAAAATTATTAATTACAGGTTACAAAACTTTAAATGAATAGTTTGTGATATTGTCTTACCTACCATACATTTTCTATCATGGATATAAGAAATGATCTGTTACATTCTTCTGACTCTGTGCATTCTTTGTCTTGTATTAATACACATAATATTGATGAGTTATCAAAAGAAAAAGAAGAGGAGCTATTATATGGTACAGGTGATGATGGTGATGAAGAAGATGCTCTTTCAGATGATAGTATGCGTTTAAGACTCTCTGATGATGAGATTGAGACAGAAGATATTTTAACTCCTACTTTAAACAATCAAGAAAATACATCAAAAATAAATGAAATTGGTAATTATAAATATATTATTAATTAAAATAGTATTATAAAAAAAGTTTTAACAACTGTTTTATTTAAATTACAGAAATGACATCTACAAAATCTGATATGGAAATTTTATCTATTCAAGAAAACAATAAAATAAAAAAGAATGCAGATGTGAAGAAGGAGGAACAGTGTTTAGATAATGATTCTATGGATGATAAGATATTAATTGATTATGAAAAAATTGTTAAAAAAGGAGAAAATGAGGAGACAAAAAAATCAGAAACAGTTCATGTTTCTGTGCCATGGCAAAGTTATCAATCACAATATAGATATTCTAGATCTCCTAACAATCATTCTTTTCGTGGTATTAATCAAAGATTCCGTTATATGACACCTAGAGGACGTAGATCTCATTCGTATGACTATAATTTGAGATTTTATGGTGGTTTCCCTTTTTTTGAACGAGGAAGAAGCAATGGAATGTTTCATTCATACAGATCAATCCATGGCGGTAGATACCAAAAAAAAGGCTTTAGATCTAATACAACGCAGAAGCAAAATAGATCAATAGAATGTGATCAAAATTCGACATCCTCATTAAAAAAAAGCATATCTTCAAAATCTCAAGATAGTGATATTGAAATTATAAACATTAATGATAACAAGACAATAGATGAAGCTAATACATTATGTAGTGAGCCTTTAATTAATAGCAAGAATGATCATTCAAATGAGCCATTAAATGAAGAAATAGAGAACATTCCTGCTAAAAACATCAAAGAAAAAAGTGTTGTTAACACACATTCTGCCAATAATTCATTAGAATTAAAACATAATTTGGAAGAAAATTCAGAAATAATATCATCTAATGATACTAAATGTAAAGATGTTACAGTTCATGCTTTGAGTGATAATTTCAGTGAAAATTCTGCAAATAATTCTTATGATGATAATAACAGCAATCAAGAAAATGAAATAAGTAAAAATGATATAAATAATACAAATAGTTTTAGTGATTTTTGTATTTCTGACAATTCCAAAAACGTGGAAGCATTGAACATAAATAAAAAATGTGAACTTGATAAAGATGAAACTATAAAACATACTGAAGAAAAAAGTAATCAAGAACAAAATAAAAGTATAAATAATGAAGAAGATAAAACAGTTGAAACAATTGATACAAATGAAAATAAAGAAATTAAAGAAATTTATAAGTTAAAAGAACAAGAACATAACAAAAATGAAGAATTAACAAATCTCAGTCAGAAGATAGAATCTGGAAACAATTGTAGGATTACTGTTTTAAATTCTTTAAAGGAAAAAGAAACAGCAAATAATGATACAGTATTAAATGAAAAAGATAAAGATCACAAAAGAGAAGAAATTTTTAAAAATAAAAAAGAGGAAATTTTATTTGAAAATATAAAATTAAAGGAAAATCATGAAAACAGTAATTCTAAGTCAGCAACTGTATTAAATGATGTAATTAATGATAAAAATGTTAACGTATCAGAAAAGCCATTTATTGAGAGTGAAAATTGTGATAATCAATTAAAAGGTAGTGATAATAGTACAAATTCTAGCAAAAGTAATAAATCGAATGCTTCTGAAAATCAGCTAACTCATTCTAAAATTGATCTTTGGAAACAAAATAAAGATATTACTGAAAAAGATATGAATTTTACAAAGAAAGAGAATTCAATAGTAACTTCTACAAGTAAAACAAATGAAAACACTGAATTGATGTTAAATAAAAATAATTCATCTAGTATAGAATTAAAAAATGATTTATTAGGTTTTGTTACTGATACAAAAAATAACGATGACGATAAAAGATCTGTTAAAGTTCCTGTGACTACTCAAAAAAGGAGAAGACGATCAAAGAAAGAAATTCTTGCAGCACAAGAAGCTATTTGTGAAGAAGAAAAACAAGGTAGGATATATATTGAGTAGTTAGGATTAATTAGGTACTGTTTTTTAAAGAAGAATTAAGAAATTTTTGTCTCTTAAATTTATAAATTATTAAACTTTTATTACAATATTTTATTACAGTAAGGGAAAGTGGAAGACAAAAGAGACAAACAGCTAAAAATGCAGAAGAGATAATAAGAAAAAAATTTCTTACCTTTGATAGTGAGGTAGAATCCAGCGATGATTCAGAAAAATTTGTAGCTGTAAATTATAAAATGAATCAAGATGCACGTCCTTTATCACCACCTTCATTAAAAAGGATTTATTCTGATAATACTGATAATCCTATTATAAATGGTGGTGTTAAAAAAATTAAAACAAATTTTGAAGAACAATGTGATGAATCGCGAGAAAATAATTCTGAAAACATTAAAAAACTTAAGTATATTCATAAATTTTTCCAAAGAGATTTAAATGAAAAACTGCCAAAATTAAAACAGGAAGTATGTTAAAAAATTTTAATTCATTATTTTAATAACAAAAATTTTATATATTTCAATGATAATAATTTTTTTAAGGAATTAGAAGAACTTCTGATACAAAAAATTGTCGAAACAATTACTATGCGCGACGAAATTGGTAAATTAAGAGAACAAGCACGTATATCAGAAAAAAATCAAGAAGTAACTCGTGCAAAATGTCAACAATTAGCTAAACAAATTAAAGATTTTGAAATGGTATTAAGCCGTAATGCGGCAGATCGGCGTGCGAATAACGAGAAATCTATTCCACCAATTAAAATCAATAGATCTGTTGGATTACAAGTTAATTTTATAACGGTATATACAACCATTTTATTAAACCATATATAATTTTATAACATTTAATTTTAAATTTATTTTATTCTAATATTTGCTTATGTAGGATCATGGAATGCAAAATTTGAGACAATTACAACAAAATTCTAATATGAAGTCTTTAAATGTTTCAAGTAGTAATAATACATTAAGTACTTCTATTAATGAAACGAATAATGCATCCAGTCCTAGAAGAGGTATTAAAATAAGATCACCTAGAAGAACTGAGCCAATAATTGGACAAACTTCTGGGGTATCACAAAATCCTACTCAATCACCAAATATTATGACTACAATTACTCCTGCAGCTTTAGTTGTTGCTAAACCTGTAGATACTCAGCATCCTTTAACACTATCAAATCAATCTAATGTTCAACAAATTATGTCAAATGTAAGTACTATAGTAGAATTTTCTTATTTTTAAATTTAATAAAAAAAAATTTTTATAGCCACAAGTACAATCACAACAACCACAGCAAGCTATAGTTTTAAATGGAAAATTTTCAAATCAGATAAATCGTCAAGGAACAACTACAACAAATATCACAAAATCTCATGCAAATGATTTAATTGATCTCACAGATGAAGAAGAAAAAAACAGAAGTATTAAATTTCATATATTTTTCTTATATATTTTATATTAAATGTGTTAACATATGCACTAAAGGAATTTTAATAATTTATAGCTACTGGTATACCAGTTGTAACAACTACAGTAACTGATCAACAAGTAAATTTAACACAGAAAACGCAACAGCCTTGCTTTCAAAGAGTTATTCAGACCATTCCTGGGAATGTAGCCATAACAAGTCAGCCTCCTAGTATAAGAGTAGTACAACCTGCTAGTCAACCAACACCTACTGCCTTAGTGGTAAATGAACAATAAATTATACATGCATCATTAATTACATCTAATATTTATATAAATTTATTATTATATGCTTATATATTTCTTAGAATAATATGAATGCGCCTCGATTAGCATATGTGATGCAAAGTGGCGTAGGACCAACAAGGCAATTATTAATAGCACCAAATTCCAGTCCGGTAAAATAAATATTTTTTGTTATATTTTTATTAAAGTGAAGTTAAAAAACAAGGTTCTATAGTAAATTTATAATTTTCTGATAAAAATTTTTAATTATAGATGCGGCCAGTAACTTCATGTAGAGCTTCATTTCCAACTTTAACGTACAAAACGGGTAAGCAGTCGTTCAGTTGAATAAAAGGTACAAATAATATATGATTGTAATACAATCTTATTTATAGGAATATCAACAATTGCAAATGGAACAGTTCGAGTTTTGACAACTCCAGCTACTGCAAATGTACAGTTAAATAAGGTATTGAATTAATATTTTTTGTTTTAATAATGGAGTTATCAGTTTATAATTATATTTATTTTAGCATCCTGCACCCTTACCAGATATACGGAATTATGCTGTAAATTCTCTTTGGAAACTTCCACCACCAGCTCCTTCATTAAAAATTTCTAAGGTTGCACATGGTATGTTATTCCTAATTTATCCTTATTAAAAATATTAATAGAACGTAAAAATTTATTATTATTATCTAGGCATAGTGTTATCTTGGAATATGAATTTGTCGGATAAGCATGCAGATATTGTCAGTTATCAGTTGTATGCATACCAAGAAATTGCTGGTGTTCCTCCTAATACATCATTATGGAAAAAAGTAGGCGATGTTCGAGCTTTACCACTGCCTATGGCGTGTACACTTACGCAGGTAATTTGAACGAATAGTACTATAAATTAGAATAAATTCAATAGATACTTGTAATATTTTGTTTTACAGTTTTCTGAAGGCAATAATTATTACTTCGCAGTTCGAGCAGTTGATACACATTCCCGGAAAGGACAGTATAGTATACCCGGAAACATTTCTTTATAAAGTATACGATAAATTTTAAGTTATTATGTTAATGTTATTTTTAACGCACAATTATAACAATTCATGACTCATGTAACAACAAATTCCCCTTTTACATTATCGTTTAATTTATTACATTCATTATGTGTAAGATACATTTAATGGAATTACAGAAATGTTTATAATGGTTAAGTATGATGTATAGACTACACATACATACAAACGAATTTGTTGTATAGTAGTAAATATCCATTTAATTGTAAGTAATTCATAGAATTCTTGATAACTATGATATAATTGTAGCTAACGTATTTTTTTCTCTTTTTTATATATATTTTAGTTTATGAAATCAAAAAATACAAATTTTAATTTTGACAGTATGTAGTTTACATCCTTACGTCTTTGCTCACAAAATTTCGTGCCATGTCTTATGAATTTCGTGCCATATGTACTATCGTTTAATAGTATTATAGATATTATTGTATACTGTCATTTCTACAAATTTGATATCTGATAGTATACAATAATTAATTATTAAATACATTAAATTATTTTGAATTTCAAGTATCGAGACAAAAACAAGACAAAATACTCTAGTCATAATGAATTTTTGTAGTAATTATTTCAATATTTACCTTTCATAAAGACTGCTACAGTTGGAAACTATACACTTGTATAAATCTGCTATTGATATTATTATTGAAAGTGTTCATAAATATTGCTTCCCTATGTTTTATATATAAAATATCATCTATTTTCATCTTTGATCAAATTTATTTTATTTTTATTGTTTCTTATCGTAAATGAATATTGCTATATATCATTTGCTCAATTTTGATACAATTGTAATAAATTTTAAATGTTAAATAATAAAATACTCCATAGATTTTGTGACATAGAACAAACTACGAATTACTTTATATTAGTATGTAAATATTAATGTTTATATGTTCTGATTTTTAATATTTGTATTGAAAATATAATAATCTATAATATAATTATCTAATATCATATTTTTAAGTTTTACTCATTTTTGTGTCATAAAAATGTATAATAAAATGATTGCTCATTTTTTATATGAATTTATAATAAAAACAATTCCCAGTTGCCATAAAATCTTAAACAAAATATTCACCTTGAGAGATGAAATAATATATATAAAAAAATATAATTTTTCATTATTTCTTTCATATAACATGGATATAAAATTTCAATAATAATAAAAACATTGTTTTACATATTAATGTGATTTTAAATTAAATTTCGCGCATTTTTGATAACAGGTATATTAAATTCTGCGATTGTATAGTTTACACAGGTAGGTATGTTTGTGATAGTTTTATTTTACAATTTTTTTCTGTTGATATAATTAACTTAGTACATAGAATGTGAAAAATATTTGTGTAAAATGTAATGCGAATTTTAAATTGCATCATACATAAATCTCATATTCAAAATTTAGTTATCACTTAAGTAAAAGTGCTATGATTCAAATATGTATTTGTTAAAATATTACTAGTTACAATTTCCTGTATATCTATAGATTTACAGGATAAAATAACAATTCGAAACAATAAAAAGGAACAAAATTTCATAAATAATAAATAAAATAAATAAAAATAAAGTGAACTTATGGCAATAAAAGGCAGAAAAAGAAAAAATAAATATTTTAATAAATTGTCATTTGCTGTTATCATCAACTAAGCTTCAATCGTATCACAACTCTATATAAAAAATTTAGCTAGTATTTGAAATTGTGCTTTACTGAAATTCTGAACTCTTTCCTGTATATAGTTTTCTGTATTAAAAATTATGCAGATCTCAAGAATGCAAGAAAATATATCAAAGCAAGAACAATTGTGATTTTTCGAATGTGTATCATAATACGAATTTAGTAATAATTTTTTCCGATATTGTAAGAAAAAAGTGTAAGCAAGTGGGGGCGGAAGTAGTTAGTCGGTAATTTGTGTATACTGTTTGCTGTACTTTGTGACACTGTATATGAAAAGTTCGTGAGATTAGAAAAAAAAAACCTATAAAATCGAACAATATTCTCATGGAATGAAGATACATTTGCAAAGATTTTTATTCAAAATATTAATGGATGTGCATTTTTTCTCGAATATTGAATATATGTGAAATATTACGTAGCAATTTTCTTACTTTCGTGATATATCTTGGACTGACAAGCAACATAAATAACGTTTGAAGACAGTAATATTTTTCAGTCGTATTAGTAGTAATGCATAATCTGTTTCAAAGAATGTGTTGCTATATTTTTGTTTGATTCCCAGTTTGTCCTTTTACAATAACTATTTCGAATCTTTGGCTTTTTTTGAGATTAAGTACAGAATGTATTATCAGCAGATTTAAAATACAACTGTATTGTAAAAACAGCAGCTTGCAACTTTCTAATAGAGATCAATATTCAATTACTTTGAGTTTATATGAAACAAAACTCGAAAATGTCAAGCAAAAAAGTGAAATATGAAGAATATTATAAAACTAAGCTAAATCAAGTGGATTGAAATATGTAGTGCCAAATTGATTCATGGGTGTGACATTTTTAAATTTCATAATTTATATATATCTTCCATTACATGGCAAGTGCTGTTGCAAACTGTCCAAGAGAAGTCAGTAAGCATAGCTCTTGTCTGTAACTGGTAGTGAAATCTACATTGATAATTAGGGGATGCCCAGCCTACATTCGCTCGTCGTACGACGAGCTCCACTAATGGATATGGGTACTGCCACCAGTTCTGTGACATCTGTCAATCCTTCTAATAAAGTTGCTACAAGTCAAAAAAAAGTTGATAAGTCTAACAAATTTACTGGAGTCAGATCACCCTTATTGCGCAAAGAAGCTAGTGTTGTAAATCTTTCTTTAACAGAGAGGACTGCAATAGGAAAAGGAGTAGATGCTCCTTTACTTAGACCTGAAAGTAGTGCAAGCTTAGAAGCTCGTGGCAATAGCTGGTTAAGTCTAGGTCCTACAGGATTAAGAAAATGTGAAACTACTATGGGTTTAAGCACTTCTGCTTTAGAAGGCAGACCTATAAATCGCAGTCGAGTATGTTCTCGTTGCTCTAGTTTATTATCGTTGGCATCTAGTTCACGCTATAGTTTAGCTGCAGGCAATTTTGTTCCTGCAAATTCTCAACAGACGCTTGGACGTATTTTTTGTAAATTATGTCTTGTTGATACTTCTTTTTCTAAAACATTTAAGATAGAAGGCTGTGGTTGTTCCTATTGTAAAGATGTACGTATAAATTTTTTTGATATATATTATTATATGAAAAATTATTTACTTTATATATGTATATATATTGCATATTTCAGTGTATGAAAGCATATGTTGAATTTGAAATTGAAGAAGGTGCATATGAAATTAGTTGTCCTGATGCACAATGTGAACATGGAGCAATACTTTCCATGAAAGAAATATCAAGTCTTGTTAGTCCTGAACTTGTGGAAAAATATCATAAATTTCGATTGAATAGAGGTATGTAGGTATTCTTTATTTGTTGCAAATATTATAACTTAATTTAACTTAATTTAATAATTTTTGTACATAATATAGATGTGTCCATGGACAAAGCACGTGCTTGGTGCCCACGTGCAGGTTGTGAAACAATATGTTCTATAAATGCTACTGGGTCAAATGGAACACCTATTGGACCAGTTCACTGTCCTAATTGTTCTACAGATTTCTGCTCTATATGTCGAGAATCTTGGCATACTGGTCCTTGTTCAGATATCTCATTAGGTATACCATTTGATGGTGATCATATCAAATGTTGTCCTATGTGTTCTGTACCTATTGAAAAGGATGAAGGATGTGCTCAAATGATGTGTAAAAGATGTAAACATGTGTTTTGTTGGTATTGTTTAGCTTCTTTAGATGTAAGTACATTTGTTTATAATAACATAGTAATTTTTTTTAATTTCTAAATTTTATAAATACATTAAACCATATAGGATGACTTTTTATTGCGACATTACGACAAAGGACCATGTAAAAATAAATTGGGTCACTCACGTGCATCAGTTATTTGGCACAGAACACAAGTTATTGGAATTTTTGCTGGATTTGGATTACTCTTACTCGTTGCATCGCCGCTACTTTTATTGGCTGCACCGTGTATTGTATGCTGTAAATGTCGTGTATGTGGTTCATCTAGACTTGAACAAGAGGAAGGTGATACTACAACATGAAAAAACATTTTTCATTCTTGTATAATTCCTTTCTAATGACGAGTAATTAAATTAAACTATCCAACTTGTGCATGTAATTGGCGATTTATAGATATACATTGAATATGGTACATCATATAAGTTGTATGACAAAGAATAATATAAAAAAAAATATAAATAATATTTATCAAACATTTAATTTTGTAAATGAAGGGAAAGTTATATTATGTCAAATCATTTTTGTGGATGTTACTTATAATTAATAATTGTTTTCATTATCTTGACATATTATTTGCAAACTTCTGAGTTTAAAAAATATCAACATATTTGTATATGTATTTATGTTATTGTTTTTATGTAAGAAGTTTACATTTCTTGGATGCTACTTAATATCTAATTGATATTTAATAGTTATAATTTAGATATAGTAAGACTTTTTTATTGTTATTAGACTATAGTAATTTTTTTTTATTTTTTAAATGTCTATTATATCATAAATACTCATGTTTATGACATTCCAGAAAATTATATTTTTATTGCATTGGATTAACTGCCATATTCAAAATTGTTTTGAGTTTTTTGTATACATTGAGTAATAGCTTGTTTCATAATTATTTTATATATATGTGCATTGTTGTGGTAATTTTTAGCAATACTCAATATTCTGTTTATGCACTTTTATGTTTTTATTAATATATAAAGTTTTTTTTACAAATATAGACATAAATTGATGAGCAATGTATATCTATATCTGAATTCAGCAAAGTTGACATAATTTTCTCAAAGTTTTATAAATTGTTGATTGTATTACAGATTTTTGGTTTTATTCGAGCTATTTTGTTTAAATAATTAAGTGTATGTATAATTGTTATATGAATAATTAAGCTTTACCAAATTTAAAAATATCAGATTTACAAAAATATATAGATTCCATTATTGATATATACTTAATATATTTACTATTAATGATATATTTATGACCATAGTTTTTTGATTTAAAGCAAACTTATTCCATGTGTGTCTTAAGCAGCTCTTTGAATCGAAAATAGAATATAGACCAAAAATAGTATAAGCAGTATATTATAATACATAAATAATAAAATTAGATAATTATGAAGTATATAAGAAATCATTAAATTTCTGACTATAATTACATATAATATCAGATTTGAAACATGTCTATCTGTTGTTATGAATTTACATTAGAATTGGCATTGCAATAGGATAATTTCTCTCATTTTATATGTGCATATATAATGTCACGTGCGCAAATGCATATACGGCACATATACATATGTATCATACGTAAAGTTAATGTTGCCTAATCATAATGTGTGATTAGTTAATAACAATGAATTAGTATATGAAAAATATCATGTAACATACAAAATGTACGTTTGAAATCTTTGTTGTATTATTGATTATAACTGTATATGTAACCTGTATTTGAGCACGTATAACTATACGTTATTGATTATAATATGTAAATATACACATAATATATACTTATTAAACATATAGATATGATGTATATATAAAATTACCTGTATCTGTGTTGGTGCATTTTGCACAGAAGTCATTTAAGTCGAGTATGAATACAAAATAAAGAATATATCAAATTAAAAGTTAAATAGAAGATTACAAGCCATTTACGATATATTAATTATACGTTAAATTGTGTTAATTGTAGTATGATATGTAAGCAACTAATGTAAAAAAAGTCATTTGTTGCTATGATCTTCCTATATTATAATTATGTCTATCTTCCTTCTCTATATTTCTAAGATGTATCTCAAATGTGGTATTTTGTTTTAAAAACGCAAGCGCAATTAATATACATCTTTTACTTCTATGTCTAATAATTGAAACGACGCACGGTTGAAAGGATTAAAGATTGTTAAGTTGTGTAAATATTTTATTATACTTTCTACTTTGTATTATTTATTATTAAAATTCAGTTCTCATTGTTTCGATTTTAAATATTAAATATACATACGATAAATAAATGAAATTTTATTTGTAAAAGGGAAGTAATAAATAATTATTCAACAAAATTTTTACAGTAAAGTTTGTTTTCGATTGTCACCAGATTTTAAAAATAATTAAAAATAATAAATAAAACAAAATTACGGCACTTAGTATTTTTATGATAAATAATATTGGCTAAAATATTTCATATCGCATAATATGAAATTATTAGTTTACAAACATTAGTTTTGTAAAATAATTTAAAAACGTACAAATGTTGAAGATTTTTATACAGCATAGCTAACTTAATTTTATCACTTTAGTTATTACAAGTGTATCAATAAAGTTAAAATTAAATTAAAAAAATTTAAGATAAAATTAAAATTAAAGTTAATTGTGTGTGTGTGTGTATGTGTGTGTATGTATTAGAATATTAATAGAAAACATATTTTGGATAAAATTTTAGGAAATTAACAAAACAGTAGTGGATTTGACAATAATGTCAACATTTATTGCATAATAACCCATTTATTATTTTTTAATACAATTTTTTTTTTAAGAAAATTAAAAACGATTGGGTTAGAATTGTTTGGAATGAAAAATTTGCATAATTAAGATGTATTAAATCACAAGTAGAATTTTTAGTAACAGCAAATTTCCACTCAAATGAGTTTCATGGGGCTGTATACTTCACAAATTCTGTTATTATTTAATGCATCTTGTTTATTAACGGACCATGAATGAGTTGAAAATGGTACACAATTTATAAATTACACAACAATTCTGTAGTCCTACTAAAAAGTTGATCTTAGATTGATAATCATATACGTGAGCTAGTTAAAGAGAAGAAAATAACATTTAATAATCTAAGTCTATATGCTGTAACATATTAGTATTATTGTATAATAGTTAGTGTCAAAAGTATGATTAATAAATTTAATAAAAACGAGTAAACATAACTATATGGATACAAATGGATTATTTGATAAGACCCTTAGCTCTAAATAAATCTCTCATCAAACCCTTTAAATACCCAATTTCTCGTTGTAAGTCTGTTACTTGATTTTTTAATTTTTCATTGTGTTCAGTCAGCTCACGTTCTTCACCTAATATCTCTTTTATTTCTTGCTTTTTTTTCTGTCTGTATCGTGTTGCTGCATTCTTGTTTTGTTCTTTTTTTCGAACTTTTTTATCTTCGATTGATGGACGGGAATAAGGTTTCTGACGATTTTTCGTTGGAGCACATGTAGATTGTTTCGTACTCTTTTTTCCGGATTCTAAAATCCAATCTGGGTCGTCTACAGAATCTTCTGATGAAATGTAACTGCCACCAGAGCTAGTACAAGGACTAGATGGTGGAATATCTTCTGCATATAGACGTACATATTCATCCACTACAGCCAAGTCATGTGCAGCATCTGTATTTAATGGATCTAATGGTACATTTTTTGTATGCCATTGTACAGGTACTTCATTTACATATGATTTTTCCTCTGGAACTACTATGTTATATATAGGCTGATGATTAGAATATAATGGTTGTACAGGTTGTAAAGTAACAAGTAACTGGGTATCCACATTTAATGCTCTATGTGGTGGAGGTGACTGAGGAGGTGTAAGAGTAGAACTTGATGAAGGGACTGTTTGATGACAAGCTTCCACATCTCCCAAAACTGTTTCAAATTCTTGTAAGAGAGTTTGTGTATCATCTTGTTGGGGGGGTTTTGGAATTCCATTATATGTTGTCTTGATTTGTCCACTTTCAACAATTGGCAGTTCTTCAAAAATAGGCAATTCTATCTTTTCTTCTAACCAATCTGAAAAAGGCTCTGCAAAAATACCATTTTATCAAATACAAATAGATATCATTTAATTTATCTAGAAATGTATAAATAAGAAAAATTGGAAAATACATAAAAATAAATTTATTAATTTTTTAAATTATATTTAATGGTCTGAGTCATAAAAATTTTATATCATTCAAAATGTTGATAACAGATTTTGATACATAGCAGTATTTACATGAATTTATTTCAGCAAATATAGTTATATGATTAGTATCATTGTAGAAGTATGACACTAAATAAATAAATATATTAATAGATTACTATATCTTTTGAATATGAAATTAGATAAAAGTTGAAAACAATACTTGTTTAGCTTGGTAACTTAGGAGTTAACAGTACTTTTACTTATATCTTGCATGAAGAATAAGTAGGAGTGGTACATATATAATTTCATGGACGTTACTAGTTTAACTAGAAAAACAAGTTCTTGATTTGCAATTTCTTTGGCTTCTAACACTAGAGCCAATACTAGTATATTAATACGGTTATTTAAAGTAGAAAATAATATTGAAGATACATATTTTTTTCAGATTAATATCTGAATTTCTTCAAAAATTTAAGATTTGAGGAAATATTAGATTTTTAAGTTTATACATTAAGTTTGTAAATAAAAGAGTTAATGAAAGATTTTGAATTTCAATTTTCCTTATTTATCATATTTTAATTCTCTTGTTTACATTTCTAAATTAAGGAAAATATTTCAAAGATTTTTACATTAAAACTTTATACTCTACAGATGAATCCTAACCTATTTCTTATTGGAACTTGGATCAGAGTCTAACTTTAAATGTGTAAGTTATCTTCATTTAAATACAGAGGGCATGGGGTTAGATAAGAATGTTCTTTTTATTGTGAAGAGCTGTTGTATATATTACTATTTTGTTATTTAAAAAAACGACAAATAAAATAATAAATTCGGAGAAATTTATTCAAAATTTTTTTATTTTTATTGCTATAATAAAATATTAAATTATTTAAAAATGATCTAGTATGTTTTTCTATGTTATATACTGAATCTTAATTTATATACATTAACACGAAATTTGAAAAAATTGTATGTAATATTAAAAACATATTTCTCCAAATTAAAAAAAAAATCAGTTATTAAAAACAAATTTATAATTATATCTACTACAATTAGTTTTATATATATATATATATATATATATCTCATACAACTTGAAAAAATTTTAAGTTACAGACAAATTTAAAAATGTATTCTGTTATTCCATTATGGAGACAATATGGCAACAGTATTTTGATATGCGTAATAAAGGTACTTTTTCATCGGAATGAATGGTAGAAAGAGAGAGAGAAAATGAAACGAGCGAAAGGGAACGTACCACTATAACATACAGCAGCCATTATCACGTGCGTCTATTTTTGTCTGAATCCTTATTTTAAAAAAGAGAGAGGAATATATATGTATATTATAAATAAATAAAATTAAAAAAAAAAAAAAACTGTTTTTGACTGAATGATATGGTGGTGTTCGTCGATGTAAAACAACTAAGTCCAATGGGACACAAATTGCCGCGATTCAACGTCTTTTTACAAGTTTCTGGGAATTGACAATGATTTCTCGGTTCCACGTGTAGCAATATGCGAACTGCATGCTATTGTACAACATTAGCACACTCCAGCATCGAGACGTTAGACCTTTTTTTTCGTTCACTTTTAAAAATGCCAGTATTATTAAAATGTCTGATCTAGACAAGAATCTGTTTAACTGTATGGTTTACGTATATATCCAATTTCCTTAATTGTATTCTCTGCGTTCAACTTGAATATACGATCATGGGATATTACGCACTTCACCAATCACTTGTCATCGATTATCGATCAGTACGATTAATTAAAAATCACTATGCACAATGATCGCAGTCCAACAGAGACACTTCGAAATTTATTGTTTATCAGTTTATATAATCTCGAAACCTACTGTCAATCAAAACAATTATCGTGAGCACGTGCAACAGGTTAACGTATGTTATGAAAAAATCCGGTTCAAGATAAAATTGACTTAGATCTTCATAAAAAAAAAAAAATAACGTTTTCGACAGAAATGTAATGCAGTATATGATCCACAACAAAATTTTAAACAAATAGTTTTCTTAGTTGTTTAGACCACTATCACCGTCGACAATATACACATAAGTTGTAACGAACGTGAACGAAACAGATTTTACCACCAAAGACCGAACCCTTTTTTTCACTCGTATAGAAGAACGATTATCGACAAATGCAAAATAATAACAAGGTGTATCAAGTTTGTTGAGTGATTGAGTATCAGTAGGAAGGTAACGAAGACTAATCGACAGAATCGTACGATCAGTTTGCAATACTGCGAAAGACCACTCCCGCTTATCTTTGGACTTTCCCCTCTGACGCCCCCACTCCGACGCAGTCAGACACGTCATTCCCCTATCGGCCTTCAACCAAAGCCGTTTGTATAGAGGTTAACCAGTTTGTCCCACTCTCTTTTCCAGAAAAAAAGAAAGGAAAATAAGATATACGTTAGAGGAAGAGAGAAGAACGAAAGCGATAGGAATATATCGAGAATGCAGTCGGATGAAACATTAACGTTCAGTTTCTATCCTTTAATTGTACGCAACGTTAAAAACTAGAGGATGCCAATGCCAATATGAACTAACACAGAATTGTTCACCTACACTTACACACCTATACTTTTTAATAGGTTACGCGTTCTTTTTATATATAGCATGTTACTTCAGATTTGTATAAATTCTAATTATCCTCAAAATAATTCAAGTATAACTCTAATTACAAGATGTCAGGAAAACAATTGAGGAAATATACATGGGTCTCTATAAATTGTTTGGCTTGCAAAATATCTGTTTTTTAAATGTATAATTTGATATTTATGTAAAATAGTTTTACATTTACATTAGACTGAAATGGAAATTCCAGCAGATAGTTGTATTGTATTGTCAAGCTTAAACTATTAGACTGTATATAAAAGAAATATTTCCATAACTGATTACAAAATAAGATATAAGTATAATAAGCAATGTGAAACTAAACTTTTAAACTTATTTGTTCATAAATAAATGTGTATAGATTTAATATAAGGTTACAGTAATATTGAATACTTACCCTCTTTAATCCATTCATCTAATTTTTCCAAAAGTTTTGTAGCTACTTCTGCACGAGTAGGATGGGTTTCGTGTTTAATAGGTTCAATAACTTCTTTAGTAGGATCTACAGATTTATCATCAAATAAGAACCAATCATCTTCAAATTCATTCGACAGTGTCCCATTAGGAGACACTGGCTCGAACTTCCATAACCAACTCTCCTGGTCCTGATTGGATGCCATTGTCGTTATAGTCCCAATCAAGGTTTGTTAAAAAAAGATGAAAAGAAATTTGTGTCGGCTGTGCGACGTAGCTCAAAATGAGCGCCATATTGGCCCTGAAAATATCAAATATATATATTAGGGATAATGTAAACAAATATAATAAATTGAATAATTTATTTCTTAATAATATAAAATATTGTGTTTTGCTCGATATTAGTTATTTTAAGTATAACATAAGAGAACATCTTGTTACTTGAATGTAAATCTCAGAGCAGAAAAGAACAAAGACAATGTAAAGATAATGTTAATGCGAAACATGAGAAGATAAATAATTTATCGATGCACTTATAATTATAATATATTAGAGACCTTTACTTAAACACGTCACTTAAAAGCTTCTCAGTGAATCAAATATAGGTAATCGAATCGTTTATGGTTATATAACTTAAAAGTAACTCATAACCATAAAATATATTTATGAAATGTAAGAAAAATGGCCAACGATCCTCATGACGCAACATTAGGCCATATCATCTGGCCAAATTTTTAGCTTGTGTTTTGCTATTAATTGGATTCTGATTTGATTTTGAATCGTAATATGTAATAGAAACATAATATTGAGTACAAAAGATGTATATTTGTTGATGAAAAGGATGTTAAGATGATAGTTTCGATTATTGATAGTACGATTCACAAAATGGCAGACACGTTGTACAATGGCCGGAACATCGACATAAAACTAATTTTTTTTAATAAATATTACTTACTTCATGATTAATTAGTTGTGTCGGCACACTTGCGTGTGCAAGCTGTTTTGTGAACTACTGACTCATCTTGCTCGTGACGTGAAATGCAGAGAAAATTCGAACGTACTTCCTTCGCGATACATGGATGGCGAATGAGCGTCTCCTTCGGAGAATTTGACCGCTGAGGTCACGTGATTTGGGAATGCGTACGCAAAGGTGCTCAGTTCAGATCAATTTCATGGATTTTCTGCGCAGTTATGTCACCGCGATATTGCATTCCCTTTAAATACTTTCTACTTTCCGTATGTATTGTTAAAATTATTATTTTAATTTGTTATTATTATAATTCTGTTCATAACCACTAATAATTCAACATAATGATTTATAATTTACTTGAAAGAACTGTTTTAATATTTTACAAGAAGTGCGCAATCTTTCAATAACATGTTTACATGCATTTTTTATACTCTTTATTTTAAATCTCTATAATGTATAATTATTTGATTTAAAAAAGAAATGTGACTTAGCGTAATTAATTGCAGGTTATTACAGCTACTCTTAAAGAAAATGTAACAAAAAAGGAAAATGAAAGGAATATTTTGCAATACTTGATGTGAATAACGAACAGATATTTTCAATTTGATAAAAAACGTGATATTATACTTTCTAAAATACATCTATGAGTGGTTATTTTGAAATACGCAAAAATTCCAGTATTTATAATTATCAATAAATAATTCTTTATGTATTATATATTCCTCCACCTACATCAATTAACAAATACTAAAATATCAGATATTTTGTAATATATTTCCTACGTATGTATATTAGGAATAAATTTTTTATTTTAACAGTTATAAGGGTTTTGATCTAATCACTAATTACCGGTATATACATTGTCTGGTGTTTAATTATTTCCCTTCTGTTTAAAATATTCATTTCTTAAATTCTTATTCATAAACATTCCAATCTTCGTTCTTAGTTGCACCGGTGAAAGTAGAATTATGATCTTCTGAATTTCGTGGGTCCAGTAGCCCGTACTGGAATTTACCTTTCCAAGTGTGTTAATCGCATTTTTAGCATAAGTCGTCGGGTTAGGCACAAAAATATTAGATACCTGTGGCATTGTTAATTAATTATAATCATTTGTAAATTAATTTACTTATTTTCTCATTTTTTATTTACCTGTAATCGATTACTGTACGCGTTCATATTTGTACTGACAAAGTACGGAGTTAAATTCTGTACTGTTAATCCAAATTTAGAATACTCTACTCTGAGCGCCTCAGAAAAGCTTTTGATATAAATTTTCGTCGCAGCGTATACGGCCATTAATGGTAATGGTTGGAACGCTGAACCGGATGATAAATTAACGATGGCGCCTTTTCCACGTTTTTGCATTTGTCCAATGGCTATTCGTGTCATTAACGTAGTAGCTCCGATATTTACATTAATGATGTCCCATAACATATCTTCTGGGACCTCTCCGACGTACATTGGATAATTATACATCAAACCCACGTTGTTTACTGCAACAATAATTCGAAATTAGATTATGTAATCGATTGAATAAACAATACAAATGAATAATTATTCTTATAGAGAAAAATACCTTTTTTTGTCTATTATAAGCATTGTATTGCAACAATGGATTTATAAACGATACAGAGAAAATATGAAAGAAAATGACGACAGTTCAATTACCTAAGATACCAATTGGAATATTTTCAAGCTGTTTCGCAAGCTTCTCGAAAATTTCTTTCCCTTTACTGAAATCCGCCACGATTATTTTTACTTCAATTGTTGGATTCTCTTGCGTAATTTCATTCTTTGTTTTCTCCAGCTTCTCCAAATTTCGACTGATTAGCACCAGGTTTATTCCTCTTGAGGCTAATTCTTTTGCATAAGCTTTGCCAATGCCATCGGTAGATCCAGTCACCACTTGAACAAAATATTTTTAAATATTTGCGAAATATTACCTATCTAATCTTTGGCAAGTTTTACCTGCCCAATCGCCGAACTTTGTTCGTAAATCAATCGGTTTCCAGTCGATAATCGGCACAATGATCTGCCACAGAGTGCTGCCGATTCTAGTGACGACACTCAAAACTATCAACGACGACAATAAAATGATGAACAACCAGAATATAATTTCCAGCATTATTTCGCTGTAAAATAATTGATACGATTTGAACTGTCTGAATTAAATGATCGAAAGTATATTAATCATTTTTATATGAGAAAGAAAAATCGAAGTGATTTGATGATGATGAAAAATTGTTAACACCAATATTTTCAATACATAGACATAATTTGTGTCGATACTTATAAGTTATTGGACACTTCTCTTATTTCTTGTGACAGCAAAAGTATTTCACGTTCATGATCGTGACATTGTATGACTTTTACAGAATTCTAGTTCTCCTTATTCTTTTTTTTCGCGAATTTTCTCGATTTTACAAATTTGGTAATGTCGATGGTTTCTTGATTTACTACGATATTTTATTTCTCTTATTACTTTTAAGCGACGATCAGTGAGCGAGGACTGAGACAGGACTAAAGCTATTCGTGATATGTAGACGGTACAAATGGGGATTGAAGGCTATTCACTTTCTCCAGTTGGTATAAACGACATAGCAGCTGACTACTATGTGCGCGAAGCACATAAAATGACAATTATTATATTACTATTTTATCTTATCTTCTTTTTATTATTTCATGTTTCCATCTTAGGAATACAAAGTTTACTTACGTCGTAAATTGGTTAAAGTGGAAAATTACTTACGTCGTAATTTGGAAAACACTGGCTTTTCTAAAGATACTGTAGTAATTGCGCAAAAAGCTTAATTTTTACATATATTTACATATGCGATAGTCAGTAATTTACATATCTATTAAGACTTACTTTTCTGTGGAAGGAACTCGAAGTAATAAAGTTGAAACGTTCCGATGAAACGTAGCCGAATATAAATTATCAAATCGATTGCAGGGAAAACAGATTTTATGATATGTATCTACCAAAAATATTCATGGCAGTTTTGATCGTTGAATTTTCTGACGGAGAAGAACGGTTAGAAAGCGGGAACACAGGTGAGAAAGGAGGATTGTCGTGTTTACCAGTGAAGAAACGAAGATGAAACGTTGTAGGCGCGCGCGCAGCTTCTTTCACTTCTACAAACTGGCACCACGTTCTATCCTTATGTCAGAGGGACTTCTGAGGGAAGGCAATAGTCGTTTGTCCATCGGCTCGGTTGTTCGAAGTCTTCGGTGTTCAAAGTCGGCGTGTTCTCTTGAGAGATCTGCCACGTTTTTGATGATTTTTTACGCGTTCGTCTAATTAGCGGTTAATCAAGTTGGATCACAAAATATATCGCTGTGAGTGAACACGGTTGAATCTAAGAGACTATTTACCGTGACATTCTTTTGAAAGGACTCCCAAGAAATTTGGGGCAACGTGGGAACATTCGATAAAGCTTTTACGAAAGTGCACGATCCAGCAGATTTGCCACGTAGATTTTGGCAGCGTATGGTCCAATCTGTCGCCGCCTAACAGGTGAGTCTTTTTTATCTTTCGACGATTCAAGAATTCTCGCGTACTCGAGCAATTTTCCGGCTCGGTGGCTCGCGTGTTCGCATTGACAGCTGAGCGCGACGATTTATGTTATCAATTCACAATTCCTATCGATGCCAAAGATACCGTTGTAATAACGTACTTATCACATTTGTGGCTATTAACCAGAGGAAGGAATCGGATGATTGCGGTCAAGAGCAAATTCCAATGTCATTGCGCAATGGAGTACACGGTTCGATTGGCGATGTTGTTTGCCATTCATTTGTTGTATCGCTCCATTGACGTAATGAATTTTTGACGTTCATTATTCTATTAACAACAATGCTCGTTTCTGTGCGTTAACTTAAACCGATATCATGGACAAAGGCTATCAAGGATTATCAAGAGGTTAGTTCATTACATATCTTTTGAACGAGCAGACGTGTTCGTGTGCCGTTAATTTTTCATTTATTACTGTTTGGATAAGGTCGGCTTCAAAGTATATTATTATATTAATTAAATTATAATAATAGTCGTTGAAAAAGAACTAGACTATTTTAGACTTATTTTATTATTTTAGACTATTTTAAGAAGACTATTTTTGTGAATTTTTTTCTTATGATATTAAAAATTGGCGTTAACAACAGAATGAAATATCAACATAATACACGCATAATAATTTCATAGTTATAGTCTTTATGGATCAACCGAACAGGCATTTAGATCAAGAAGCTCAAATTTGTTATAATTAATTACGATTTTTATATTTTATTTTCGTGCAAAAACTATTTAATTAATATACCAAACACCTAATATAATATAATATGAATATAATATCCTCGTATAATGCTGTATATTTTGCTATTTCATAAAAGATTATACGTTCAATTGATATTTTATTATTATAACTTATTTTTTTATACATATCAATTGATAGCATTTTATAAATTAACGTTGAATTTTTTCTTTGCAAGAGAATGATGTCATATCTAAACGAAACGTACTACGTTACGAAAAAGACAGGTCTTGTGTGGCAATATTTCCGTTTTTGCTTATGCCTTTCAAGACTAAATTTTTGATGAAAAGTGATTTAATTTCGAATCATGCCGAATTATAAGTGTAGCCTACTTTTAATTTGTCAAGAAGCAGATATGCTCTAGATGTCCAGATGTTAAATGGACCGTGCGCTGTCCATTCAGAACCGGCTCTTATATCGCTTCGAAAAAGAGTTTGAAACAGTAACACACTGTCTAAGTATCACTTCTTTTGCTTTTCGTTTATAATACAGATCGTTCCACGTTCCGACTATACATATTAATAATTCTATTTAAATGAACTTTATCCATTCCTCATTTTCTGTTTTGGAATTACTAATTTGTGGAATTTGTATGTGACTTATGAAGAGAGAGAGAGAGGGGGGAGAGAGGGGGGGAGAGAGAGAAGGAGACAGCATACAGCTGAAGTTGAAAAAATTGACGTCAATAATGTCTAATTGAAACAAGGTTGTCGAGCTATGTTTTTCGAACGATTAAAATTGATTCTCGTCGAAGTACGTAACATAATCGCGAATATATTTTCCTATCAATCCAATAAAGTATAAACATTTCACGTGTTTTGAAATAGCACTTTCATTTCTTTCTTCTTCTCTTTCTTCTGTATAAAAGATTTTTCTGTATAAAAGAAAATTCTTTTTATAATGGAGCGTGATTTTCTCTGATTTTACAGAAACGTTTAAACGAGCAGAAAAATTTGTTAAATAATTCTATATCAAGATAAACAAATCAATGTTCCGGGTGGATGGGAAAAACGATGAAAAAATGCCGTGTCTGGAGGACAGTTCTGTTTTTTCTCAATATTTCAAGTTTAGTGATAAACGCTAACATAATTGGAGAGCATACCTTAACGGACGATGGGAAAAGAAAATCCTTCGAAACGGAGGGTTCTGTGTATTCTTGGACTGGACCGAACGCCTTGGCAAGATCCGCTCTGGTGGAACGTCAAGAGAGATTGCAGTACAACTGCGACGAGATCTTAGGAGATAAAAATTCTCAGAACGACGATTTGAATCCGGAATCCTTCAGAAATATTCTTGTCGACGAACAACACGAACTTTTATATTGTTACGTTCCAAAGGTACGTAAAACTATTAAACTTAAATTGACTGTGGATTTTTATGCAAATTCATATTATAAATATAATTTATAGTATTGTATTTTCGACACTTTATACGTTTGTTTATGTTATATGCATTTTTTAGAACTTTGCACTTCCACATTTCTCGTAAATGTATAAAAATCCACAGTCCATTAATAATAATAATCTTTTCTTACTTCTAACAAATTCTGATGTTCTTGGAACGCTTCAAGCAAGCAACTGAGCATTACAGACATATGTAGTGCTATGATGTAGTTTCCATACATAATTAGTTATTCACTATAACACGTTAACGATTCTTAATAATCGCTTTTTTTTGCTCTGTTTTTTGATAACCTTCACTTGTAACAGGTTGCCTGCACAAACTGGAAACGAGTTCTAATGGTCGCTACGGGGAAATGGCCAGGTAATGATCCTATGGAAATACCGGCCGATCAAGCGCATTCCCCAGGTACCTTTCAGAGGCTTAGTAACTATACTTTGTCTGAAATAGAACGAATGTTGGCGACTTACGACAAGCTGATCGTCGTCAGACACCCTTTGGAAAGGTTATTGTCCGCCTACAGAAACAAGTTGGAGGCGAAACACGAGAAGAGTTCGAAGTATTTTCAAACTCGTTTTGGAAAGAAGATTATCAGGGTATCGTCCGATTTTTATGTTTCTTCTTCTTCTTTTTTGTTTGCCTTGCCTGAGAAAGATATCAAGAGGCCATTATAGTGGGATTCATTCTTTCTTACAGAGGTATAGACAAAACGCCACTGCAGAGTCGCTGAAAAACGGTGATGACGTGACATTTAGAGAATTTGTACAGTTTGTCACAGATGATTCATTAAATGAAACACAAAACGAGCACTGGAAGCCAATTTACGAGCTGTGTCAACCGTGTTTGGTCAACTATAATCTCGTCAGCAAATACGAAAGTTTAGTTGAAGATGCCACGGAAGTTTTAGAACGGATGGGCGTCGAGTCCGTCAGGTATATATTCAGTTATTCCTTATTTCAGATCCATAATACAAATGAGTGAACTTTTTTTGTATGAATATGTCTTGCACAAGTTACGTATGTAACAATCTTATGCAAATGATTATTTTATGCAAGAGTGTTGCAATCATTTTTTTAATAGATACGTAGATGTATTTTTTAATAGATAAGAATTAATGTACACTCACGGTTACATCTACTTGTACATATATGTTTTATAGATATGACACGATTGAGTAATGTTTGATTATTTAAATTAAAGTTAGAGACATTTATTGATGGATAGACATAAATTGAAACGAAATAAATACATAGTTGATCTATTCACGCTCATTATGCTTAGCGGATAACTCATATCTTGTTTCTAAATAAATATTCTTACTTGATTTATTTTCTATTTCGTTGCTACATGCGAACAAAATTTTCGAAATTTTGATTAATTAGAAAAATTAATTATTTTTTAAAATTAGAATTAAAATTAATTAATTAATAGAATTAATATTAGAATCAGAATTAATTGTTTGTTAACAGTTTCCCAACGAAACCAGCGAACAGCGAGCCAACCGCGAAGAAACTAGATAAGTACTATTCCACGTTGACGTACAAACAACTTCGAAAGTTGGTAGATTTGTACAAATTAGACCTAAGATTGTTCGATTACTCATTGGAGGATGTGCTAGGATTTTCGTTGGCGTGATTGAATTTTTCTCGACAATTTCTGTGTAGAGTATGCTTCAAATAGTGAATGGAGACGCGCCAAATAGACTTAAGTTTTCCTTATTTCCTTATTTCCATGTGCTCTGCTCTCAATATGTGAGTAATAGTTCGCATACGCATCTCTGTAATGTATTTAACGTGTAGTTATTAATTAATCAGCCGAGTCACAGAGAGCAGTGCTTAACCAGCATCAAACTGGTTGTTTCGAGAATCTTTCAGGTAAGCGCTAGTCGAGCAGAGAGATATTTTTCTCCTTTCTCGTTATTCTTATTTTTAAAACACGCGTGAATACCCGTGCCAAGAATTTAAGAATATAAAAACCAGTTGATTGGTTGTTCGTGCCAATGAAACATCTACTTGATAACTTTCTGCGAGAGTGTGATCTTTGCCGAGTTTATAGATCTTAAATATCCAGGTTTTATTTACGCAAATGTTTTATGTGGACGCTCAATAGACGAAGACTTTATGGGTTGTGCCTTGAGTAGAATTGTTATTCTAACAGAATAACTGCCATATGTATGTACCTAATCATATAGGGTACAAAAATCATATGATTTACATTCCTATAACTAACTCATTTTATATTGTCGTAAGTTACCAATCGAACCTCTTTTTACAGCAACAACTGTAAACATAAAATAAAGATATATTTTATAAATATTTATATATAATATCATGCATGAGTGTAACTGTAATAGTTCTATGGAAACACTCACATGCTTTTAGCAAATGTTACATAAGTAGTTGTTCAAAGTGTAGATTGAACCTGTTCTGCGTATTGTCTGTTATAAGGTTAATGTTTACTTTTCAAGTTAAACTTAACCGAAGGCCTGAAAATGATAAACGATGTTAGCATACATTAGCAACTCTGTGCAGAGAAACTCTATGCAACTCGATCAAATATTAAAACTACGCGAACTGATCAAAATAGCTCTGGCCATCAATCAAATTGAAGAGCTCTCCGCTCACTTCTTAAAAGTTGCTGGGAAAAAATCGGAAATTGAAAATTATTTTTATTCTTTTCGTTATCTTTTTTTCTTTTTGCTAGAAAATTGCTGAAAAAAATTCCTTGGGAAAATATCTGTTGAAACGGAAAATTCTTTGGAAAAATATCTATTGGAACGGAAAGCAAAAGACCTCCACGTACAAGCGTTTTTTTTTTTTTTTTTTTTTTTTTTGAGTCAGCAATATTTCTTCTTACGGCAAAGATTTTATACTTTCGCTACACTTTGTCACGTGGAAAATAGCGTGCCGCCAGCACATGAATTCTGTCAACATTCCAAATTCAGTGTGTAGGCGTTCTCAAGACTGACTTTTACTTAAAAGTAATTGTTGATTCTTTTTGGTCTCTCGCATACAGCTATCAAACGCTTCTTCTGCCGTGTTATAATTAAATTAGCGCTGTGACAGTGTACGGCTGGTTGCTTCTTATTGAACCATAACTTAGCTTATTGGTGTGAGTTTTTATTTAACTGAATGATTAGTATCATTTATGATTTGTATGCACAGAGGTCAATTCAATAAGTAAGTGATAAATCATCTAAAACAAAAAAGACAAGAAACAAAAAGAAAGAGAGAAAGAAAGAGAAATTTACGTTGAACTGTGGGTAATCTTGCATCTTCATTTTTTTGCTTCTATTCATTTTTTCTTAGAAATTGTATTCTTTAGAAAAATTTATAATTCGAGATATTTCAGATGATGGTACAGTTTACTATTATATTCAATCTAAGTTCTATTAATTTTTCACATTGTCGCGAGGCTTTTTAAAGGCATTGACTCGTAACAATCCGTGGTTACCACCCAGATGACCTTGAACCTTTGAACATCTTTACGTCGATAACGATCATGAATCAATCCGGAGTATTTTCCACCGAAGCACCGAATATCCAACATTCACGGTGCTTAATATAACTCGAGGTGGCGGAACTCCTTGGTTTCGCACCAGTAAAAGACGGTGGTGGGACCCGGGCTACCAATCCTGGATCAGAAGTTACAAGGGAAGGTGCAACGCGATCGAACTGGTGGGGGTTTCACACGGTTCCTGGAGGAATTTCGGGATCATCGTTGTATCGTGAATCCTGCGTTGAGTGATCTAGTCGAAGATCGGACGCAAAGTGGCGCGGTGCTTGATTGTTCGATCGTCTCGATCGTTTCAGATTCTCGTCGTTCGGTTCCAACGTTTTTCGACGACCAGCTGGATCTTTTAATCGTCGAGCGAATTTTCGCAGCTTCCCTCGGAATTTCGTTTGATCAGTCGATTAATAGAAGACGTATCAGAAGGAACAAAGCTATTCAACGCAACGATCAATTTTGGGTATTAATATTTCGAGTTATACACGTATATCGTCGATTACACGCTGATTTTTATTGATTTTTCTCCAGTGTCGTGAATCATCTTCTGTGAACACCGATAAAATGCCACAGGCAGCCCACGAAACGAAAAACATCTTAACTACCTACTTTATACTGATCCTCTTACTAATTTGCCTCTGGCTGTTGTACTCAGGATTGTTTTAACTCTAGAATATATTCCTAGCCATGGTAAGTTCGTTCAGCGTCGCCCGTCACAGACGATTGCTATGTAACGCTTGCTTCTGCTATTGTAGTGATCATTGAAGTCTCCGCGACAATGGTGCACTTTGCAACAAAGTTCTTGCTCCGCAGTAACGTCTCATTTTCATACTTTATTGATTTTAGGAGTAAAGTAAGAAGTACGGAGAGAATTACGCACGTTCGTCGACAACCAAATACCTTCGATTGATCAGGATACGCCAGATGCCAGTTTTTCTTTCATCTAACTAACGACCACATCCTCTCCGCGTAAAATCCATTTCAAAATGAACGAAACAAGTGTAATTCATTTAAACTGTTTCAACGTTTTCCATGAGTTTTATGTTCGTCCACCCTTTCCCCCCACGATTTTATGTATTTCACGAGCACGATAACCGGACGTCAAGAGATAGTCCTATTTCTAATAAAAGTAGTGATCAAAAATAACGTAGTTTCATCAGAAACAGGGGCGTGACTGTACCGAGTAGGATGATCAAAGAGACCCATGTAAACTTTTATCGTAAATTTGAAAAATTACACCGTGCGGAGACGATCTATCGAGGCTGGCAATAAACGTGGAAGAGTGTTTGTTCGACGACGACTCGATCTTTGTAGACGTTGAAAATCAAATAAAAACCGAAGGAGAAACAGCAAATGTTCGCGGCGAAGATAGGGAACATCTCGGGGTATACATTCGGTGGTTAAGAAATACGTGGGTGTTTAGTCGAAAATAGCGACCGATGGTTCCAGCTCTTTTCGTCGGTATACTTACGACCGGACGTATACAGAACTAAATCAGTATTTTCGATAGCACTTCCGAAAATAGACGATACGAACACATCTCCTCTATCCTGAATATTTCTACGGTATAGACGCAAGTGGATGGCGATGCCGACGAATTTTCACGGTTATTACGCAACTTTTCGTCGTGGATCGTATTACCGATTCTGCCTTCGATTACGAGCGTCTTGAATATTTTTACTTATAAATAGAATCCCGCCATGAGGAACCTTTCTTCCGTTATGACGAAGCTTCGATTCGATTTCTTTTCTTGTTCCTCCGCTACGCGCCATCGAATAAACGTACATTTACTCATCTGTCGTCGTATAATTTCACGGAGAAATTTTCTATGGCCGATCCAGATCGCTTTGCAAAACGTATTACTACAAACGTGTTACACGACGAAAATGAATTACACCGGCAGACAGCATGACTTCCGCTTTCGACACGGGTCGAAACAAGTGCGCTGGACCGTGATATGTAGTAATTAAGCTCGTACGCTAGATGAATTCGTAGTTCCTGGATCTGTTGGTTGAAGATTCTCTCCGAGTGACATAACCAGGAGGATGGAACTTCAAAGCGGAAACACAGCGTGGCAAATATTTTTACTGGCCGGCGGATGGTAAACGTTGCCTCCGTTGGCGTTCCAGTAATCGCTCGAAATAGATCTAATTGCTCCAGATTCTTGTTGACTGCGTGTACTGGCCTGAATTACACAATAGACCGCGTGTGCTGAACCCGTGTAACGAGTTGTTCAATCAAATTATCAGCCTGTTGCTCTCCGGGGGAAGGAGAAAGAACGATAACCCATATTGTCGATACGGGGAGGAATTCGTACGGAGAGAGAAAGGCAACGTTGCTGGATCTGTTCACGAGTTTTATTGAGATTTAATAAACACGTCGACGGCCATTTATGAAATACTCGTTGGTTGTCCGGCGTGTTTGAGCCTCGAGCCTCTTGCGTGCGAAAAATGCGCAACAACCCAGGTAAATGTAGTAAACGATCTCCACGACGCTGAGGAAGCTGCAGCCAAGGAACAAGCTGAAGATTCCACCGACCGATGCTGAGACATAATATATATTTGTTTCTTTTTTCCAAAGGAGCTTACTCCGACGATAGGATTACAAGAATGTTTAAACTAAAAATACCTAAGAGATAAGTTTCGTCAGCGGCTGATAGGGTTAACAGTACTTCGTAGGATTGCGAATACATGTAGACTCTAACTATAGCTCTCTTGTCTGACGTATTGCTGAATATAAATGCGTTCGAAATGGAAAGAATTAACGTTTCTTTAAATTAAGATTCAGTTGATAAATTAATTAGGTAGTCGAACTTACGAGGAGCTGGATTTCGCTAGAGATATTAAGTTTGGGTATCCGTCGTAGTCTATGTTTTCGCACGGAGTCCTGCATAAGCAAGTAATATTCTTGTTTTTGATATCTTTCACGATGCCTATCAATTTTGCATTCTCCTTGATGCAAGGCAGACGTTCTATCTCACATCGCTGAAAATCGAACGAATTATAATGTTGCAATTCGTGTTGTAAGTGTGTATATGTTGCTGTCTGTTTTACGATAGAAGACTGTTTACCGGGATGTTGTAGGATTCGGCTATGTTGTCGTAGATGAATGGCAAGCAACCGCACATTTGGATCATGGCCTTGATCCTACAATTCGCGTAACAATTTGAGTATTGATAGATAGAGAAGTATTCTAAAGTGTTTTGATGTTCCGCAATGCATATGGGAACTAATTGCTTCTCCTTATTACGATGCTGAAGTCCTTCCGGTTTCTTAATGTATTGCGGTTTCACAGCGATCTGCAATGGTAATTTGAAAAAACGATATTTTTCTATACGTTTGCTTCTTTTACATCGAATGCATCACCTGTAACTCATGATTCGCTTGCACCGTGTACACATCAGTATTAAGCCCCGGAAAACCCATTCTATGATGTATCAATACCTAAAAAGGTAAAAACGAGCGATATGTGTTCGTAGATTAATATCTTGTAATTCGATTTGCAATTGATTATTTTTTTTTTTTGTACCTCTATACCATTATTATTCATGAGTCTCGTGAAATTACGTGTATTATCGTCTGAAGTGAACGTCAGTACTTCTTTGTTGATCACGAGTTTTAAACCGCTCCATAAACCAAAATCGGCGGATGCCAGAGGCCTCTGCGTTTGTTGACTTTGCCTCTGCCTTTATATCGTAAGAAATCATCATAATTACGTTACAGTACAATAATTTCACAAATTATTGGAATACAATCGAGATACTTGCTTCGGGGATTTTACATAATTGTCGAGGAAATAATTAAAGGAACAACATAATCCATAAGAAGTATACGATGGCTTGATGGATTTGGCACAGTCTATGCGTTCCATGCTCCACCAACACGATTCGAAAATATCCTCGCAATTGATTAGATTTTTCACAAATTCCGCCGTGCTCCATTTATTGGCGTCCAGAAATGCTTTTAATTTGTCCATTTCTTTGAACTTTTGAGCGGTGTACGGAGCAGTTATAAAGTGTCCATAACTATATTGAATTTTAATAATTATTTCACTCTGTCTTACACGTCTCGATAATTCTTGATATTCTTCATATACTCACGTTAAAATCTCTAGAGCAATTTCCCTGCTCACGTTCTTAGGCAACACGGAGTTCTCCAAAATAGCCAAACTTTTCTTCAAAGGAATTGGCATCAATGGACAGATGGTTACAGCGGGAAACGGCGCTTCGAATATTGGCTGGTCGAAGGATTTTACGTACGTGTTGGTCGGATTCTCGTTGTAACGGTGTAAAAATTGTATCACCATCAAGCTTAAACCTGAAACCAGACGCGTCCATAATCGTGTGTATATTTTTCAGATAATAATCACACGTACAGACGAAACAAATGACTATGGTAGAGGTCCACAGGATTTTCCCAAGAATTCCGACATTTACGTTCGTTTTACCGAAATATTGCAAACCGTGAATGGAAGTGTTCTCCAAATATGTTTCTAGAATTTCTCGTACTGTTGGAATCTTCTCTTCTTTCTTTGGTGAGTTGGTTACGTTCTTCTTGGAGTCTGAGTTGATATTAATCACGCTAATTTTATTAACTGCGTCTCTACGCAATTTTGTGTTGAAACGCAGAAAATCGTGATTTTGATTGTTGAATCTTCTGGACATTGTTGTCGTGATATTTTCACGGTTTAAATTATGTGGTGTCAACATTGTTCGTGAAACGATACTGACTTTTTTTTAAGAGGGGAATACTATGTTTTTATAGCACGACAAGGTCGCGTGTCTGCCACTGATATAAATTATTCATTAACTCTGAAAATTTAATACGATGTGAGTAGCGTGTGTGCTGATTTCGTCGCAACTGATGACACACCAGAATACTAAAAGTTCAAGGTTCAAACAACGATACATATTATTTTAAAATAACAAATAGTTGAAATTTAAAAAATTCATGATTTAATTCTCTTTTGTTGCACGATACGTCATTACAATATTTTACACGTAGCATCTTACAAAATTATAATTGTTTCTGTTATTCGTATTAGAATAACACACATTCGTGAATGATTTCATCCCATGAGATGCATTTGTTTCGAGACTGCTACTCTTTTTCCATCGCGTTACACTTTTCTTTCCTTTTCATACCTTCCGTTTTATTTACAATATAAAACAATGAACAAAAATGCCTAATATACTCTCTACGGTACAAATAAATAAACGAGATGCACAATGAGATGATACAAAACGAGACTGCTATGTACAAAATAAGGAGGTACTATCGCTTGAAACGTGAGCGAAACTTTATACACATCACAGTGCTGTTAACTCGACGATCCTAAATCTCGACAAGGAAGTTCCTCGAACGAATTTGAATCAATGAATGCCTGGCACGATTCGAACGTTCGAACGACTGTCCATGACGTTTCTTTCAGAAATCTTGAAAGAGAGCCAGTTGTTCCGGAGGCAAGGGAGGCTGGGATCGCCAGTCGATCTCCGGATAATCGTCGAAACAGCTTGGATCACCTGGTGCTGTCACTTGTGGTCTTATTGGCGGTGTTAGAGCTCTCTGCGGCACCTATTTAAAAGGATAATGTAAAATCTACTTTAGTTTATTTACCAGAAAATAGAAGTTTTTGTAAGAAAATAGAATAGCTCAGGTACAGTTTATGCATATGCATGTACTTGCTTGTCTTATGTTGGAGATTGTACGTAGTTTCAAGAGTATGAGAGAGAGAGAGAGAGAGAAAGTACAATTCAAAATAATGTAAAACTCGGTAGAGAATTTATTGTCAGAGCGAGAGAAGGTGTTGTATAGCGTAGAATAGCGTATATCTGGCTTGCTTACAAAACCTTCTAATTTCGTACTATTTTATATTCTTTTTCATGCTCTTGATATATTCGTGAAATTGATTAACAAATTACCAATGGCCATTCGACTAATTTGAACCAACGATGTCTCTTCACGTCATCAGCACCCTGTCTCATGTTCCCTAGCCTCTTCGTTCGATCTGCGATCAGAAGCTTCTTGATCAGATCCTTGGCAATCGGATCCATATGCTTTGGCCATTCTATCCTGCCGCTTAATATCTTCTCGTAGATGCCAAAGGGATTGTCGTCAAAAAATGGTGGAAAGCCAGCCAACATTTCGTAAATGAGAACACCGAGCGCCCACCAGTCTACAGCCTTATTGTGCCCTTTGCTCTGAATTATTTCTGGCGCCAAATACTCGGGCGTTCCGCATAAAGTCCATGTCCTATAATACGACCGTCATTTAGAATAATTATTCTCCAGGAAATGAAGCGTTATATCGCGTGCAGTTGTCAATAAATTTTCCATTCACGTTGCAATTATCGATGTCTAGATACGAGAAGAGAAGCCTATCTAGATCTAAATAGATGCTGGAAATAAATAATGCATTAAGCAATTAATAGTATATGGAATATTTCAATTCATATAGATGAGTGATGCCAGTTTGATAAATTGGCTGCATATGATACTTGTGTTGGTAATTTAGTTACTAGTTGATTAAATTATTCGTTGTGTAGGATCTTTTTCACGCTTGCACGTTCAATTACAAAATCTCCTTGCCGTTCTTTTTCTAATCATTTGAATTTTAAAGACAACTACATCTTTTGAAATCAAAACGGAATGTGGGAATTTTGGAGGTCGCATGCATTCTCGCCGATTACTTGAAAATTAATGAAACTCGAAGAATGCTAAGACATTTAGTCTGTTATGATAATTGTATCATTAATATCTGTCCCTTCAATAGAGATTAGGTCACACAAAATCCGTAAAATGCCTAAATTTGCTTAGATCCAATTTGCCTTTGTGTTCAGAGATAGATTATCGTTGCACTAGAATTTACACAGCTTAGAGATAACGTTACCTGTCTGTGAGCTTCTTGGAGAAACCGAAGTCTGTGATCTTCAGGTGTCCCTGACTATCCAACAAAAGGTTTTCAGGCTTCAAGTCTCTATAAACTATGTGTTTGCTGTGTAAGTATTCCAAGGCACAAACAATTTCTGCCGCGTAGAAGCAGCTGGTGGGCCCGGAAAATCGGCCAGCTGATCTCAAATAAGAGAAAAGCTCGCCACCGGCGACGAATTCTAACAACATGTACACTCTCGCCTCGTCCCTTCCGCTCCAGAGCCTGAAACCAAGCTGATCTTAAAAATATGAACGATTTTCCTTGTGTCTTCTTCGTATTTAATTGGACGAGAATTATTACACATTAAGTATGCTTTCTTTCAACTTTCTTGATCGCACCAAGAATGCTTTCTCGCATTGTTAGCGAACAATTTTCGATTGTAACAATGTTACAGTTCGTCAGCGATCAGGAGAAAGGAAAGGAGAAAGCAAATTCGACTTACATGTTCACGATGAAGGGATGGTTGACCTCTTTCAACACGGTGATCTCGTTCCGTGCGTGTTCCACTTGCTTCAATCTGATCACGTCTACCATTGAGAGGATTTTTAAGGCCAGAGGAGTACCTTGATGCCTGCATAGCACCACTCTGCCAAAGGTGCCGGTACCTGAAATTAAAAGAACACCTTAACTTGTCTCTCCACGTGTAACAAAGTATTTGTCTTTCAATAGTCGAGGTTATCGATGTAAATACGATCAAAAACACACGTCAAGCGGTGAGTTGTTAATTATTCATTTGCTTTTTGTTCAAAGTAACAATGGTACACGTATTATTGATCGTACGAGGCAGTGGGTAATTATCAACGCTCTCTCTAGTCGCATAATCCGTGTCCACGGTCTGTTTAATGCACTTTCCCACGAATGCAGGTGACTAAAGTTGGTCTGCTCAACGTACCGCGACCAATTAACGGAACAGCGATGGCCGCCGCGCCGGGTCGCGGGTGCGTGCCGAAATTAACCGGCAAATTGCGTGGTTCGAGGTGTTCTCATCACGGACGAGCGTTTTACATACAGAGAGGCGTTATTATAAATGCAGACAAAATTGGCAGACAGCGCGAATAAGGGGCGAAATCGTGTTCTACGCTCCGTGAAACGATCGCGGTGACTGCCAGCGACAGCTGAGAACAGGTGTCAATGATGGAACGACGAGCGGTCTCTGACGGAAACGGCGCTTTAAATATCGCGATATTTGCGCAATCGATCGCCTCCGAAACTCTCTTTTCACGGCACAAAAAAATAAAATCAACAGCGAGAAATAGCCTGTTCTATCGATCAGCTGTGAAATTCTGGTACGATCGGAGTTGTACTAGTATGATTTTCCAATCACATAATTAGATTTTAACACGTGGAAAATCTGTGTGACGGATGATCGGACCATCTCCGGTTAAAAAGGAAGTCGCCGAGTGGAAATAGATCAGATCGGAAAAGGTTAATGTTTCAGGTAACGCCGTTCATTCATCACACGAGTGGCCACTTTGCTCGAATTACGCGCGCCAGACGCTTCTCCTCGACGCGTTGTTTTTTCTTTTTTTTTTTTTTTTCGAGCGTACCGACACTCGAGAGAGGATTTTGGTGTGCGTCCAAAACTTGTTCTACGTCTCTGAAGAAACAGCTTGCACATCTGTTCTGATCGATCTTCGTTTACACGTGTGCAGCCGCTGCTTTACCTGTATAATCCAACAGTGTTCGAAGAAAATGGGACAATAAGGAGCCGACAGTCGTTGTTTTTGCACATGTTAGATCACGTGGTCATTCTACTGTCGTGGTCAAATTTGATGATTAAAACTTGGACATTCTGTTTATTATGCAAACTTCACGCGGAAGTTAGGATAACGTGACATTGCGAATGTCCACGCTGTTCCATCGTGCAACGTGACGTCCTCAGGTCCTCCTTCCCGGATCTGACAATCTTAATCGTTCGAAGAACAGTTGCACAAGAGACGAAAGAGTGAAAAAATCAGCTACAGTGAAAAACACCTGCATTTCACTGATCCCGTGTAACTTGAACTTAACGAGCAGTTAAATATACACTCGGTGGCCTCTCACTCTTCAGTGGCCCACTTCCTCCACTCCGAGGGTGGTTCGCCTCGTCTCTGATATTTTCTCGCTCGGAGAGTCAACAGTGCGTAACACTGACTAACATTTCCGTTTCCAATTGATTTTAACAAATCTGTTAGCGACTACCGATTAATCCAACAATGGCACGCTATCCAATTTGATCCGCTAGTCTCGTAGCTGAAGGAAAAGTTACGGGTTCAACGAATTTCTATATATAGTAGCTGAACAGGATTTTGCTCAAGTATCGACATACAGACGAATAGAAAGTTTTCCAACGAACGGCACGAGTTGCTACCGAAATCGATGGGACTCGTGGGGCTCACCTATGGTTTTGATGATTTCCAGATTGTCAATGTCATATCGCGGCGAGTCCTCCTGCGATCCCTCTTCGTCAGACGTCGTGTCTTCCAGCATGTTTCGCGAGTTACTGTTGTCGACGGGCGTTTGGTGAAAGTTGCTGATTTATTTCTCTCTGCGGCCGGTGGACACGTGGAAAGAAAGGAAGCGAAGTTCAACGATCCACTCGCGCGATATTCTTAGATCGTGTGACGACCGGCCGACCTCATATCTGTTTCTTGTGATTCTTTGTGACGGTTTCCAGTGTTCCTCGCCAAATTAACGAGCCACGAGCCGCGAAATCGGGGACGCGAGAATTTGATTTTCACGCGTGACAAGCGTATAAATCGGGCCGCGAACCGAGGCGAAAGCGAGAAATGGAGTGTTCCTTTTAGAAAAAACACTCGCGGTAGCAAAGGAAACACCGAAGGATGCAGTCGTACATTTATCACACCGCGTTAGCTGTCAACGACCTTCTTTTCTACAGTTGCTCGCTCGAAGCGGTGAAAATGTGTGCGTTGATTTCACAAGTGTCATTTACGGCAAGTGTACACCGTGTTCCGTGTTAACGAGAGAGAAACAGAGAGAAAGAGAGGGGTATAGGGAGAGGGAGGGGGAGAAGAGAGTTCCTGCAGTTTCCTCGTTTCCCCCTCGTCAATGTATGCAACTCGTTTTTACGTAGCCGCCTGACGTTTGTTGATTTAAACGGAGTGCACGTGTTGCGTGTGCCGTAACGATCGCAGCACGACCGTGGTCATCTTTGATGCTCTCTGATAGAACACGGAAGAGAAATATGATATCCGTTCAGCGACGTCCTCGTGTCGATTTTGCGCAAACACTGTCTTCTTCCACTTTGACTCGATCAGCTGACATTCGACAGTTTGCGACAGCTTCCCGAGAGAAAAGAATAAATAATTAGCGCTTGATCGACGCTTAGTGAGTCCGCGGTAACTAGCTCACAGACACTTTACTGCCGCGTGATCGCGAACTGTCAATCACGATCGATCTCCAGGAACCATGCTCCGAACGGATCCTAGATCGAGAAGTGTGCGCGAGTCCTAGCTTGTCTTCTGTCACCTAATCTCTGACGCGGTTCGAATGCCAAGCAGAACTAAACTGGTCACCGAGGGGTCTCAAAAGACTATCCTTCTCTTGCCTCCCCCCCTCCCGCCCCTTCGCCCCTCCATCCCTTTTCACCACGTTTCTCTCCCACCTCCGGTGTCCACCATTGGGAGAACTCTCACTGAGAGCGCATCTCTCTCTCGTAGCCTCTCGGATTTCTCTCTCCTTCATCTCTCTCCTTCTTTCTCTCTTCAACGAGAGAGCGGAGTGATTTATAGGCGGCGATCGAGGAAGATCCGCGGCCGGCTGCGAAAGATAAAAGGCGGCATTTAAAAATACGGGCCGCGGAACGATATCATCGTAGGACCAGTTACGCGGTTGCGTCAACGCGATGCGGATTATAAAAGAGATCGATCTCGTCGTTCTTTTCTTCGACGCTCGGCAGATGGATCGATGGATTCGAACAGGCTTGCGGACTTTCTTAAATCGATCGTGTGAATCACTCGCGACGCGAGTAGGAGGACGAGACAGTTGTCGCAGAACTTTTACGCAAGAAGCCTGTCATGTTTCTTTTTTTTACGAGGAACGTGTCTTTTATTTCAAAGGGGATGCGATCGAGCGTGGGACAACGCCGACTGCACGGAAATAGTGACGATTCTCGGAACATTGAAAATGTATCCTAGGCGATTGAGGAACGATACGTTTGGAGGATGTGGGTTATGCGTGTACACTCGATGGTGCAAGGAGGATGCCAGGCACGATCATGGACGATCTGCAAATCCGACGAAATTTGGCTTATTTTTGAATTTGGCCATCGTCCAGACGCATTTCGCCGTGGATGTTGAACACCAGCGACGATGGAAGACTTCTATCGGCTGTCGCGATTCGTCATCGATTTTTCCAAATCTCAGATGGCGCGTGTTACATCTTTGTGTAAAATGACCGTCGTTGATTTCACGAGAGAATACGCGCTTTTCCTTCGGTAGGCGTGCCCCCGAAATTGGACCGACTCGCCAATGTCGACTAGCCTTGACGGAGGACAAGTATAATCCCACGGAGAGAGATACGATACGAATTTGTAGTTCTTGTTACAAATAACGTGCAATAGCCTATAAATAACGATGATGCCGGTACTTTAATATTTACGTTTCTAATAATAATGCAGCGACGCGTTATCGGCAAGCCAGTACGATTTACAGTAAATATCGCGAAACGCTCGATCGATTGTGTAATAATACCTGACCGTGTAAAGACGATCGATTTGTCGGAAACTCTGCGTCGAATCGAATCGCATCGCTCTCGTATCGGCGCAACGATCGTTATTATTATTCGTTATCGTGTCCAGAGGATGATCTGCCACTGTGGTTTTCGCTCTTGCGTTGGCTGTCGTTAATAACCAAAATGAAAATAATGGCTTCCGGGAATCTATTTTATAGGCACATTCGTTGCCAAAGGTCTCTAATTAGGCTCTTCCCTGCGTCTCTGCGAGTATCGTTGTATTCTTTATAAAAACTTCGCATGTATGTCTTTCTCTGTCAGTCGTTTTAATACATGCGCGATCTTGGGAACTGTCGACGCCATGTCGAATTCAATTAAACGATCTCCGAAGAAGAACTGCACAGAGATAGCGAACTGCGCATCTTTCCTCTTCTCAGAGGCGAACAATTTTTAGTCAGACGCGATGGTCACAGGTTTTTTCCTAGTGTAATTCCCGATTTCGTACCGGAGGATCGGCAATAAAGTCGGCGATTTGTGTTCTCTACGAGCGTCTGATCTCTACGACACGCATCGACATTTATCTTCTTTATTGCCGATTAGTTAAAAAGCGAATGTACCTGAGAGGATTCGGAGACGAATAAAATAGAGAGTACATAGAAATGCTCGAGTCTTTCAACGTCGGAAAGACGAGACGCGTTAGCGGGACAGCGTTATGATTCTCTCGATTATTTTTACATTTGATATATTGACGAAGCATCTGGACACTTCTTGCGACGACACTGTGTGACTTTTCGACGAAAAGGTAGTTTCCTACTGTCCAAACATCGACGCTGACACGGAAGAGCGGTCAATTCGTTTTTTCAGCCCACGGAAATATCGTTCGCCCGTCAAGGACGAGGAAGTTGCAAACTTCAATGACGTTCGTGCTCGCCTACGACTTCTGGATTCGAATCAAAGACGGCGTATTCTTCGTCTGAGGAACGATGCGATCGTGAATATCGCGACAAACGTTATTTCACGCTCGAAGGAACAGGTATCTTATGCCTTCTATTTAATACATGTTTTACGTTTCAATATATCGATTTGATCCATCGAAACGATCGTGGCGAAAGGCCACGAAGCAAATGACACGTTAACCTCGTACGTGATAAAATGTTATTCGTGTCGATGCGCGCAGACTTTACACGTTCATGTTGACTCGGACAAAAGAGGGACTCGTCTGTCGTCCACCTTTCCCTATTGTTATGGAACCGACGGTGTTACTCACTTAACCATAAAGACAAATTTCATGAATCATAAAGTTAACCATCCTCCGATGGTGTGGGCATGGGCGTGCGAGTCGTGTGTGGGTTGCACACGTACTCGGAAGCGGATGGGCACGTTCGTGACTAGCTAATTTGAATCATCGACGATCAATATCCTATTTTATCCAATGCCCGTAACATAACGTAACAACGCGGTAAGTGTGCGTACAAGTGACCGCGCATTTACGGTTGCCAGAAAGAGATCGGTTTGTGGTAGAATCACGAACGAGTATCCTCGAAGATTACCTGTATCGTATAACGCTAACAGGTATTACACGCGATGTGCACTGTACGCGGCCGCTTATATGCATGTGCGTGTCAAGTTGGCAGTTCCCATGGAACACGAAGGTAGTACGCGATATTTTCAAGCATCCGTGCGGTCCCACGGCGACTTCCGGTTCCGCGGTGCGTTCGCCGGCTTCCGGTGTCACGACAGTTTTCCCGTCGACCGGTGTACACCTAATGGCGGGGTGGTGGTGCGTGGCTGTAAATGTAATTACTTGACGTTACTACCAAATTATCGCTCGACGTGATTTTCTTTCGTCATATGTCGTACGGCGGTTGAAGAAGTGAAAAAGTGAGAAAGAGATACGGCAAGAACAGCCTCGTACTCACGTTCGAACGCAGCGACAAGCGGTTCACAGCGGTGCAATTTCTCCCCTCTCCTTCATCTTTTCGTGGAATCGGCTCCAATTATTCGACTTCGGTTCCGTCGTTGCATAACAACGTACATACACGTCGGAGAACTGTAAAAAAAAAAAAAAAAAAAAAAAACACGCGATCGTAACGTTACGACGAATTGCGTCTCGGGAAGAAGGATGTAACGGATAACCTGGTTGAGTGTTTCTCTTTGACCTTGATCCTTTTACCCGTAAAATGTGGTGCAGGTGTTTAGCTGGACGATCAGGATGCAACAAGGGCCCTGTGCCCGGTTCGTCTGTGTGCTTCGAGTCAACCTGAAACCGGAAGCGCTGCTTTCTGCCCTGCTGCTCACGAACAATGAGATCGGGAGATTCCTGCGAGGACGCGAGCACGATCAAACGGCGAGGTGCTTTATCGACGTCCGGGCATCGAGAATATTCCCTCCGAAGGAAAAGGATTGAAGATCCTTCGCGGTGGAGCCGCGAATCTGCAATCCTAGGTTTCCGTGAAAAAGTATTCGTACCTGGAAAAATGTGTAACAGTTGAGTCAGCTTACCAGCATTGACATATAAAAATAGAAAAGAACGCAGTATCCATGATTCACGATGAAGATACCGCAAACGCGTGTAACTTTACGAAAAAGATAACGACATCACCTGCGTGGCGATAACTTTGGCTTACCCTAACTTCGCTTTAGAAAATCGGCGGTAAAATCGATGTGTGTTATCCGTATTGTCCACCCGCTTCTCGGTTCTCTCGGGATCTTTGATCTACGATACGGAAACAATTTGCATTACGAGTATCGTTCCGTGCGTCACCCCTATGATTTCATGCGTGTATGCACACAGGAGATAGTGGATATAATTGTGATATATTGTTTGGCCGCTTTCAGCAGACGGTGTGTAACGATGGCATCGGCCGCCCGGGCTTGTCCATGCGATCGATACAAGCCTCGTGAACACAATGAGAAAATCTTTTCACGACCATTGTCGTCACGTGGTTCCCGCACAAACAGCAACAGGTGTGATGCAACAGGTAATCAAGCCTAGTCATTACGATCCGTTGGTTATCGGCGACAAATTCCTTATACTATACGTAGCAGAAATTTCAACGCAAATTTTCACTGATCCATCCTGTTGGGATCCGATTCAGAAACGATTGAGAACCAAATTTATTCTCGAAAACTTTGAGAGAAAAGAATAGGTAACTATACGTATGAATCGACGCACTTTATTTTTACCCGCGCGTACCAACTTTAAAAGAATCCTTCGACAAAATTCCTCGTCATCCCCCTCTTGTACGGTCGCTTCGGACTCGTCTAAACTCCATCTTACACGCTTACTAGCCAGTCGCCGTTAACAGGATGACGCGTCGAGAACAGGATTCAAATGATATTCCTCGTGCGTTTCTTCGGCTTTTCGCCGCGGACAATGAAAAGGGACGTGTGTGAACTTACTTGGTCGGCTCGTGCGACAGGTGTTCCGCGTCGAGTCGCGTCGCGAATCGATCCACGCAGAGAGACCCTGGCCGTCTTTGCTTTTTTCTCTCCGACACTTTCTTCTTTTGCCAGTACGGGCTGTATTTCCGGTTAGGTACGCGCTCTCCCCGACCCTCTCTTCCACGTGGACAGCCATTTCTCGCTCGACAAACGTACGCTTCTGCCTCGCGTCCCTCTATACATCGTTCGCGGTCGCGTTGCCTTTTCATCGGGGAAGGTCGCCGCTTGTTGCCAAGTCAACGCGAAAAGAGCCAGCGAAGCTTTCGTGTACCACGTGCAGGCAGACGAGGCCGTAGCCCGAGAAATCAGGCACGAACGTAAAAGCGTTATCGTTAAAAAGTCTCTTTTCGCGGTTTTTGCGCGTCCCTTAGGCGTTCCGCGGCGGAACGAGTAGCTATCACGGTGCTGAT